AGCGTATCCTTGTCCTAGCCCACTACATTCCCTGTCCAAGCATCACATTTTATTTCCCTCTTTTGTGGTATGGGTTTCTTTCATTATAAATTATTCTGTCTCAAAAGCAAACCAAAGGCCATTTTGTCGCAGCTCTTTTCAAATTACCATCACTCTGATTTCCTTTGGGGGGGGGGGGGGGGGGGGGGGCCCCGGGCCTTTCCTTTCAAGGGGAAATTTTTCCGGGAGGTAAGGGCTGGCGGGGAAACCTTTAACCTAGAGAAAGTGGGGGAATATTTTCAACTTTTGCCCTGGGCCTGACCCTAAAATAAATTATGCCTAACCAAAGCAAAAAAACAAAACGTACTGTGTTGCTGCTGGCTACTGATTCATTAGAGGATTAACTAGTTGACTGAAGGTTGGTTTTCACAAGCTGTTGACATCAAAGGATTTATTCATGCAGCTGCTCAGAGGGCTCTCTGGAGAGGTATGGGAGAACCCAAATCGTCAAAATGTCACTGTAATTCCAGCCAAACATGCTGATGGAGCGTTTGTTTTTGGGGGTTCTTTAACAACTGCCCCATCGCCGGCGGCTGCTGCTGTAAGCTGCTGAGGTCGACTGCAACAAGAGTTGCTTATCGTGCTTCAGTGGGAGGCAGGCAGGGGACTTCGGTACAACATCTCAGATTTCCTGACCAGCACCAGGAGCGGCTTCACTCACACCAACAACCGTGCTGCTGTGCCCCTGCATCAGTGACTCAGCTATAGCGAGAAATGAAAGCCCTGCCTTCTCCAGACACACAGAACAAGAACATGGCACACCGTGTTTAGGTGCTCTTTGAGAGCAATTCACACAAGTTATTAATGAAATACTCGATTTAGGCCAATTTGAAGCAGTCCTCCACAACGAGATGACAATTACCTCAAAACGTTGTTGTGGCTGACGTTATCTCCCAATCTACACGTCTAGCAGAAACTCAGCTATATCAACAATCCTTTCATATGAGATATCTGGCAACATCTGCTTTCTTTTTTTTAAAACAGCTGCCTAATGCAGCCGGAAACAACACTGACAAGAGAAGTGAGACCTAAGAGTCAATTGGAAGTTTTTGAAGTGAAACAATGAGCTTGAATATGCTGAAACTAAGTGTAGAGCCACGGGGAAGCACAGAGACAGGTGTCTGAGGGACTCCAGAGACTCCACTCACCGTTTTTTCATTGACGTTATACTATGAGCCTATACATGACGGGCCAGATCATTTGCTCAGATAACACCCACTCTCTGTCTGTCGTGTTTCTTTTAAAGAGCAAAACAACAAGTGTTAATATTTCAGACAGCAGCCAGGCCTTTTCTTTTGTCATCTAGCCAAACTTTGGAATCGTGGAGGTCCACAGACAACACTCGTAGTTTAAGCATGAACCATCCTCAAGTTCAAAGGCTAATAAGATGAATCCCGGACTACCATTGTGTTTTTAAAGTCAAAGGGCGGTTTCATTTTTAAGTCCGCAATCAACCCGTACTTTGAACAAGCCCTGGCAACGTACAACACTACTCTGTATGTACATGGCTGGCACACGGTGCACAGTTGGGTCTCTGTGTTTGCCTCACTGTATGGTCAGTCCAATATCGGCCCCCTCTCGCTTTGTCTGGGGAGGCACGTTTTATACAATTCTCTTTTTACACTCCTCCCATTTGCAGATAATATTACATCTACTTGTTGTTGTCAAAAGTGTTTGTTGACACAATAAAAAAAAGCCTCCAATTGGTTTATCAGTCCCAGCAGCACGTCTCACAAGTATCTCCCATTCGTCAAAGACTAACTACATGCAAATTACCTCTACTCAAATACACGCGGTTACATTTGGAACTTCAACTGTTTGCAGAGTGGACTGCTAGAGGCTCAGTGACAAACCATTCAGTTGGATTTATAAGCTCAAAGAATAGATTAAATAGGTGTGTGTGTGTGTGCATCCTGTACCAGAGGGTTCATTACCTCAATAAGAAAATACCCTGAAGGTAACCACACACATACACACAGGCATTAAAATAATAATAGTATATTAGAGTGATGAGATAAGCGTTTCGTAGAAATAGAGGATTAGACGGTTGTTTTCTCAGTGGACAGTTATGTCACCGTGCCAGGGGCGCGCATCGATGGAGATAGGGGCTAGTTGCTACGCCAAGCATGAGACAGAAAGCAGAATGAAATGCTGCTGTTCCTTTAAGACAATGTGATCTCCCTTTGGGAGTAAAGCCTGCAGTGTACATACAGCAGCGGCTACATGGTCCTGCCTCCATCACATAAGCGTTTGTCAGTGTGAGAAAGCATCCAGCTGAACTAAAGACTGAACCACTGTGTCCCAACAAGGTCCGCAAAACAAAGAGGACCTTTCACCACTCAGCAGTTTCCCCCTTTCTCTCTTGCGGCAGCATTCACAGCGGTTCCAGATCCACTGACAGAGGATCTTGTGCATCTCCATCCCTGCAGTCACATGGTGGAGCCGGGCGACACTGGCATACACCTTTGTCCCAGGTGCAGGCAGGCACCACCCACGTGCCCTGCTCTGCAAGTTGGTACACAGGACACTCAGCACTTAGAGGCAGCAGCTGAAGGAGTGAGTATTATGAGGCTTCCCGCAGAGGCTGCCATCTACAACTCATTAGGTTGCAACAAAGGAGAGATTAAACTAGATTTAACCAGCCAGATAACAAGTCACACTTTGTTAGAGGAACGTTTCCATATTGGTTGCTAGCGGAAAGTAATAATTGGCATACTTCCTTACAAGTTTACTGAGATCAACAGTTGATCAGTTAACAATGAACTTGATTTTAAATAATTAATTTGGTATACCATAAGTATTCAAATTGTGTTTTAAGTATGCATGAAAGTGTAAAAAAATGTGTTGCTATATATCCTGTTAATGTAAATAATAATAATAATAAATATAAATAATAATAATAAAATAAAAAATTGAATTTAGTTGCAACCTTATTGTAACATTAGGATCGAGAAATAATCCATCCCTACTTGGGTCGGGTCATGTCAAATCTTGATAATAATACATCACAATTAAATAATATCATAATTTTGTATAGCTTTATGTGAATGTAATCAATTAAAACTACTTATGGAGGATTTTGTCTTCTAATTAAGCAAGTTAGCATGTCCTTTCTTTAAACGTAAACAACGTAATTCAATATGTAGTTTTATCATGATACGATCCCATTCAAAAATACATTTTTATATAGAATTATGGCCTAGCCCTTCTCCTTTCACATGAAATAATAATTATAAAGTTTCCTTCATTCCAGCAAACTGTACAACATTCTTAAACATCAACAGATTCTTGATGAGTCTTTTAGGGAAGCTAAAAGCTAAAAACATAACCACAACTACTTTCTTCCTATGTTTTTGTCTCACACTTATTATTATATCCAAGTTAACGGAAACTTTCTCGAGAAGGTGTTAGCAGATGATAAAAATGGATAGCATGGCAACTTTGATTTGGACAAAACCAGTCCTACTTGACAGCCGGTGACATTCATTGGTCACCCAGTGAGCTGCAGGAGCAAACTGCAACATTTCGTTTCAGCCCGAGAATTGGAAAGTCCTCTCTACATCAGGTGTAGAAAACACCAGTAAAAGGGTAGAAAACTACTTTGAAAATATGAGTCATGTTTTTTCTAGTTTGTTTGGAAAATCGAAATCCATAAATAATAATAACAATAAATGTATTAAATTAAGCGAAAGGAGTAATCAAAATTGCTCCAAAAATGCAACAAAGAAAAATTCATCTTCACCTGAAATTAGGAACATTTTTAAATGAAATATAATTATTAACATAATTAATCAGGAGTACAAGCCCTTTCAGTAACTGGGCTTTGTTGACACCATTACCTCACTTCTGATTCTCACTTGAATAAATTCCAATAGACAGTGTGTCCAGTGGGCTACAAGATCCAAGGAGCAATGAAATGGCCCTAATGCCAGATCCAGATATAGCTGGACACCATGAGGATAAAAATACCCAAACAGATGGGAGGGTTCACAGGCAATGTCGAAGAGGCAGCCAGCACAACTAGAGATTTTAGAGAAGAGAACTGTTATTACAGCTTTTTGCTAACCTCTGCCTTCCATGTGGTCAACAGAGCCTTCTGTGGATGCCCATTCAGAGATAATAACTTTGCTGGGAGATACAATGCGGTGGAGGTGAGGCCATGCCCTCCAATCAGCTGTAGTGCTGACTTATGCATTGCTTACTTTAAGGCAGGGCCAGAGAACGAAAAATATCTTCCACTGAACAGAGTGCTACAAGTAGCAAGATATTTATAGCAAAGAAAAGATGCGATGAAGGGAAACGTTGACGACCGGAGGAAATGGTTGGTCAGTCACTGCCTGGCCTGGAAATGGACAATCACAAAACAGATCTTTGACATTTGATGTGGTTTCTCACAACCTGTCTAAATGGTGCTCAACCAGTGCCTCTGAAAAAGGGGGTTTGTGCCGACACAAAACAAAAATGTTGTATATTTATTGCTCTTTGGGCCTGGTGTGAGCATCGTGAATGTTTACATTTAAGGAAACCTTAAATGTAAACATTTCAGTCCATAAGACACCAAGTTAGCCACACCACACTTACTTCTTCAGAACAACTTTGAGGAACTAAAAATAGTCATAGTTAAAAAAAAGAATAATAGTTCATCGACCGTTTAAGAGGTCATCCAATCTACCCGTCTTCATCGCATTGATAAAGACAAGAATGGTTGACTCATTAACAGAACATTGGCCCAACCTGTCAGAGGAGGGAGTGGCTGACAGTTCCGGTTTACTTCCTTTGTTTAACTCTTAAAGTCAAAGTGCTGTTGAAAAATCAAATATTAAAAAAAACAAAAAAAACACAACAAGTGAGTAGGATTCTTCACATAGGTTAAGGTTTGATGTTGGAGTAATGTGGTGCGCACATGAAACTGTCAGTTCATTTTTTCTGTGTTACTTAACAAACCCCAAAAATGCACTTACCAATTTGATGGCCACATATTCGTTAGTATAGAGATTTTTTCCCAACCGGAGCTCTCCAAAGTTCCCGCAGCCAATTTTTTTACCCACACGGAAGTTTGGCCCAACCATAAGAACTCCAGAATTGGCCCCCGAACTCCGGCCCCCATGTCCAGTCCTGCTGCCTGCCGTCTTAGACATCTTTTTGCCTTCCTCTGTCTCTCCCTTGCCCCCTCTCTTATCAAAGTCCATAAGCTTGTGATACCCTGGCCTCTCCACGGTTATTCTCCAGCCATGCAAACCATAGAAACTCCAATAACTCTTTAGGGAGGGGTAGGGAGATGAAAATCTCACAGGACAGATGGAAGGTGTTGTTGGTGCTGTTAAAATGGGCAATGGTTCAGAAGAGACTTAAAAGCGCCCTGTGGTCCAATCCAAGAGCTCTTCTGGTGAGTGCTTCCTTTTTACTATGCGTTCCTCGTTCACCGGAGGGACTCCAATCTTGAGTTTCTCCAGCTCCAGTCTCAGAGTAGCATGTCCCTGCCTGAGGAATAGGCAGGTTGTGCTAGTATATGCCTGCAGACGCACATACAATACTTGTCATAAAAAAGCACTCCAAAACCCAGCTACTGCATCCACAAGGCCTCTTTGGAACATCTCCTGGAGTTCCTCATTCCTTCTGGTCAGCCTTCAGTGACACAGTGATCACTCCCCATGTTGAAGGGTGGCATCAGGCGTGGCAACCCAGAGTCAAAGAACAGTGAGGCGAGAGACGGGTCACTGATGGATTTGATGTCTGGTGGATATCTAAAAAGGAACAGACAGAAATCAATTTTTTGTATGTACAACAACATGGATCCTCAGTCACAAATAAACACTATTTATTTATACTAGTACTTTTATTTCTATTAAATATACTGGCCAATATGTCAATGTTCTATCAATACAGTGATACGAGTCTAGATTTCTTACAGGGATAATGTAGATGCAACAGACAACAATTCACGGCACAATTGTGAAATCACAAGCATAATTTCAGGTTATATTGGTTGCTGTAAGTAGACGATCTCTGTGCTGCTTTTAGCCAACAACTCCATGTTGACAACTCTGTGCGGAGAGCAGGTAATACAGGCACTTGCATATGGCAGCAAACCCTTTTCTATAGAAAGTCACTTACACGGATCAATAATACGGTTTCAACGCAGTATAACATTTACATCATTGGGAAATATATTAATAACATATTATTGGGAGGCTTTGGATAGAGCCTCCCTTACAACTAATTCCACTGTGTCTGACAGCCTAAGAACTAACATAACCCTCACAGGAGTAAAATACACTACAATCAAAACATAAGGAAGACATTTAGTTGTAAAATATTAATTAAACGTTTTTACACATACCGGATAACTTTGTGATATTAATCTGAGTAAAGAGTTTGTTGCCCAGACAATTGGAGGGATGACATATTATATCAAAATGAAACTACAGTCTTCGCAGTGTGAGATACTAAACATAAACACAACACACTAAAAACTGTGAGAATGTCTGTACTCTCTCAAAAAGAGGACATTTAGTATGTAGTCAATCATTAAGTCCGTCTTCCTCCCTGCAGTGTAAAATGAGAAGAAACTAGCCTGCTTGTTCACAAGATTAAGAAGCACAATAAACATGGTTGGCAAAGTCAACAACTGCTGAAATGGGAGGGTGCATCATCAAGGTGACACGCGGAAATGCACTTGTACACTTTTATGATCATCTTTGAATATGAGATCTAAGTAATCTAGGGTCTGCGGGAACGTTTGGTCACCCTGTCCCAAATGTATAGGCTGTGTCATCTGAGGAAGTTAAGTATTGTTTTTAGGTCAACTGTTTGATATAACTCAAGTTGTTTAAAACGACGACTGAATGAGTAGTCACAGAACTCGCATTGAGGAAGCACATGCAATACAGAGATAAAAATAACTGAATGATACCTCACCGAAACAAAACCTTACGTCAGCCTGCTACATTCAATGCTTTGCTCGATTCAGTTACGTTAGCTGGAACGAACACGATACAAGACAATTTCAGAGTAATTATATATATATATCGAGCAGCAGAAACAACAAATCGAAAATGAACACTGGCACCTAGAACAAATTGGAAAACGTTTGTTTCCAGTGGTTAAAGAAGCTCGCGTTATTGCCGGCTAGAAGCTAACACTAACTGGCTTAGTAATCGACTAGTGGATAGCGTCTGTCATTTTTCGCTAACGGTTAGTTCCGGGTATTAAGTACCATGGTACTCCTTTTCATGTCATGAAGTTTATTTAACAATACGATATTTTAAAAGTAATGCAAGCAATCGTATTCGTACAGCGTGAGAAACCCCAGGGTTTACGTTAGTAACGTTAGCGCTCTTGTTCGGCGGACAAGGCCAGATACTTGTTTAGCAAGCTCGAGTTAGCCTAATATCTTCGGGGGCCAGTTTGCGCATTATCTAAGTTTAACGGTTACTATTTCCTTGGAGTAACGTTGAGTAGAAACATCATTAACTAAATAAATGAATATAGCTGGAGTGCCGTTGGGGAGTTTATCTTGACGTTGCTGCTAACGTCAAATCGAAAAGCCACATAGCAGTAAAAGCTAACCTAGCTAGGACCTACCAAAAACACCGCTCCTCTTGGCCCGACGCCTCATAAAAAAACACCTAACGTAACGACGAAACGCCAGCTAATCTGTTAACACTTCACCACGAGAACACACGCTTACCAAACAGTTATTATTTCGAGTAAACAACTTTAACCTGGACAGAACATAACATATGAATAGATTGCCATTCCCTGTGCAATGTTAACCTGGTTAGTTAGCGTTAGTAAATGCTTAATAACAGAGATAACGTCCCAGGCGAGGTTGTAACTACTTAACGTTAACTTAATGTCACCAACAGGATAGACGTTCAAATAAAAAAAGTGGTCTTTGTTTCACCTGTAAGAGTATCATTGTCAAGAGTTCAGATTCCTGCTACAGCCATTATCCTGACCACTGGTGGGCAACTCCTTAATCCCGAACAACCGAATGCACAGCAACGGCAGCCTGGGATCTCTTACCGCTTAGCTCGCTAGCTAGCTATTTAGCAAGCTAACGCTAGCAGGCGGAGAGACCAGCGAGAAGGTTTTACCTTCCGGCGGGGCCGCCGGCCTCTTAAAAACAACCGTCGCGAATGCATTTCTGTCGCCAAAGGGGAAGCGCGTTACCTTCACATTTCTGCTATTTCCGCAGTCGAGGTCATGTTTCTTCGTTTGAGGGTATGTTCTCATTTCGTTTCTCTTGCCCTCAAGTTCCTACGGTTTTGCTGTCTCTTTAAGCCTCAGCCAGCCGCCGATACCCGGGCAGGCGTAGCGTCACGCCGGCTCACGCAGTGATACGGTGGAAAACTTGCGCAACTGGTTTGAGGAATTAAAAAAAAACAGCAGGTATGCGCAGCTAATTAGGTAGCTGCAGCAAACTGGTCGATTTAGTTGACGTACTTTTAACATGTTTGAGAGACGGGTGAGGATGCAATGGAGTGAAGACACAGAAACATACACGGGCCACGCGGTCATGTTTTCTTATTGAACGCCACTCAGGTTTTTCGTGTTCTAAATATGATCCTCGAACCAGATTAGTGACAGGACGACTTTAAAAAGTGTGACAGCTGTCACCATTTTAGAACAGCTGGGATGGAATGGGCAATCAAATGCTATAGAGCCTAAAAGTCACCCATCCAAACTTTTATGTACTATCGGCTTCAAGTACTCCAAAGAGTACTCGTTATGCAGAGTACATAGCATATTTTAGAATTACATTCATCGTATGAGAGGATTATAACATGTATGCATTAATGTGGACATACATTTAATGTTGACATGGCTACAGTTGAACTACTATTCACATTGCTGCCACTTGTGAACCTCGGGCATCAATAATGTTTTTCTCAATTCAAGATATTGAATCATAACTGATGTGTTGATTATATTTTTATATTATATTTTTCATTCATATTTTGAATGCGCTTAATAACAGCTAAGTAAAATCATAAAATAAATGTATTGGAGTAAAAGGTACAATATCTCCTGTTGGAGTATTAAATAGAATAAAATGTGACTTCTGCGAAGACAAAAATTTAATTGGAATATGTTTATTTAGGCTTGGGGAATTGTAATGGTCATTGTTTTACTGTTTTCTGACGGTGTGTATACTCAATAAATCAAATTATGTTACAGAATGAAAAATTAAAACATGCTATTAAGTCATCTTAATTCTGCTGTTCATAGATAATAAAACTGAATCATTAAGTAATTTACCACAACAACAAAAAATTACAACTGATTTTATTTTAGATTTCCATGTTGCAATGCCTGGTTACAATTAGGAACTTCTCTCAAATAGTTTTACCATCATTATAACTATGTTTCTACTAGTCAGTGTAAATGGAAATAATGCTGAAAGAGACAATTATATCTGTAAATGGTGTTTACGCTGCTTCCGGAGGATTACATTACAACCTCTTTCAAGCAAACTCGCTGACTTAAAGCAACCTGTAGATGTTAATAATTAAGGCAGACCCCATATCAGTTTTACGTCCCTTCAGACATTCAATAAAGCTTTCTAAATAAATTCACATTCTGTCTGTAGTCAGGTCTACAGGAACAAGGCAGTAAGTGCTTCTACCTCTTGTATTTTCACACACACGGTTGCTTCAGGTGTACCCGAGTCCGCAACGAGCCAAGACCTCTGACTGATGGAGGACGACGCTACAGTTGCAGCCCCAGGTGAGGGTGTGGCACAGCTCCACTGGAACAAGCCGTCTGGGGGGAGAGGCTACAGTTTTTAGTAACTTCCAGTGTGGAACTGTGCTGCCGTATAATGGGCCAGCTCGTTGGACAGCACTCCAACAGCTGGCTGGTGATGAGGGTGGCCGTAGCGCTCCCCCGTCATGAAGGGAAAAAGTGGAGGAGAGCAAAGTCTGAGGGGGCACCGTGAAACATCAGAGTCCGATGGTGCGTAAACATCCCTCGTTTTACCCACACGAGGTGGAGGGAAGAAACGAGGACGGGTGTTCCTGTCAGTACGGGATGTGCTTATGTCCTTTTGGTCTTCGCTCCGGACCTCTTCCCGTCCCAACATGGTGCAATGTGTTGCTTCCTCCGAACTTTGGTCTCTGGGGAGCGGGGAGCACCTCTGACCTTTACGAAACTTAGCCCTCCTGTTCTTGAACCACACCTGGATGGCAGGGAGAAGGTAAACGGTCATGGCAGGCCTTTGTGAACATGGGTAGAAATCTAGAGGCAATCCCGATATGAAAATGAAAATAATGATTTAAACAAAAGCCATCGTACAGATGGATGGATCTGTGACAATAAACCCGTTTTAATGTGCAAGAATATGCATATATTTGGTGTACTGACTATGCAGCTTAATCCATGATCGCCGGCTCAATGTTCTTCGTCAGTAGCACCAGTGTTGCTTTCAGCAGGTTTTGCAGCCAGGGTTTAGGGGTAGCGTGGCCTCACCTGAATGCGAGCTTCGGGCAGGTTGATGCAGACAGCCAGCCTCTCTCTCATGCCGACATCTGGGTACTGAGTCTGCTGGAAAGCTTTCTCAAGAGCCTGCAGCTGCGACACCGTGAACGCTGTTCGGCTGCGGCGCTGCTTCTGCTGGTTCCCATATCGAGCCTCAAGAATGAGCTCTGGCAGGACGGAAAGAAAACAAAATGTCAACACCTTGATGTAGTCAGCAGTAAGTTCTCATGAGAAGAGTGAGAGGAATGTCATTTGTATTTGTTCTCAATATTTCCATTTTGTTGTTTTTTCTTATCAACAATGCAGTAAATAATTGACCTGATTTTAGACATATGTAAGAGGTTTGTTATTTTCTTCTCTGTCATGCTCCTGTGAATATAAAAACTATGAATTCATAGTAAGCAAGTAAACAAAAATATTACATTACACGTGATAATTATCAACAACATAATGCAACAACATGCATTAATATGTAAGTAGTTCTGTAATGCTAATAGTGTACCTACATCCTTTTAAAACATATAATATGACATACAAAATCTTTATCTGCAGTCCGCAATGGTAAAAGAAGTTTGAGCAATACTAGAGTATAGAAATACTCTGTAACAAGTGAATGTCGTGCATTCAGAAAGTACACAAGTGTTGTAATCGAAACACACCTCCGTAATCTGTCAAGTAGCTCCAGAAAGTAGCAGGTTGATTAGTGACTAGAAGTTTAAAGTATCTGAAAATTAGCATCTCAGTATTGTTCTTCGGAGCTACTTCAGTAAATGTATTAGTTACTTTCCCACCACATCAGTTTTCATTAAACTTTTTGTTATCCCTATTCATCAACCGGCGACCGGCATCCTTTTTTCTAATCACAACATCCTGGTACTTTATTCATTATTCACATACATTTTTAGCAACAAATTCCTGAAAAAAAATAGAAAATAATGTTGAACCCCGGAGACTAAGCTGTTTGTCTGGAGAGTTGAGGCCCAGGACGACCCACCTGCCAGCCTCTCGGCCACAGACAGGGTGTGTGCTGTGGGGCAGGCTGCAGAGTAAACGTGGTACTGCTCCGCCATCTGGTGGTGGAGGTCAAACAGCATGGAGGGAACGCCGTGCAGGGGGTACACACCACCACCGCTGGACGTCCCGCAGAAATTCATGGCATTCATATTCAATCTATGGAAGCGGAAACACGTATTGACTTAATGAAGGTTGTGTTTTTATATGCAAAGCATTAGAATGTACTTGTGTACCGACCGTATTGCAAAGTAAATTAAACATTCTAAACATGCGTTTCATATTTTGGGTAAAAGCCCTTTGAATTGCCTTGTTGCTGAAATATGCTACATAACTTGACTTAAGCTCAAATGTACGATTTAGGAAGCAATTACTGCTGATAAGTAAATAAATATGTTGACTTGAAGCCAACAATCTCCACATCTACGAGTTATTACTGAGGGGACTAACAATAACCCTGAATGCTCTTTAAATTAGAATTATTATTATTAGGTATTCACCTGCCGTTCTCATTCCTTGGCATATATTTATTCACCGTCCAGATAATAATATTTGTATTACTTAATATCGCTGTATGAATCAATAAACAATTGGTGGAGAATCCACATTTTAATTAAAAAAACATAATTTTATTGAATTTCTGGTGAGGTTTTTTAATCTGCAAAAATACTACATTTCAACACCTACAACCGTATCTCCATTAAATCGGCATTATAACTCAAAATCTACTTCCGTTTATATCATCAGACAATTTAGGCACAATCCCTAAAGGAAAACCTCCAATGTTGGCGGTTCGTTGGCTGTTTACCTGAGATCCGGAGCGTGGAATGAATGTGCACAGAAGTCTGCCTCTGGTGAGCTGTGTACTCCAGTATTTCCTGATCCAGTCTGGCCCTTAAATCCTCGCACACCAGCGCTCTTTGTCGCGACACCAATCTAATTCCCTGAAACCATTCTCACCCACGACAATTTAAGAAGCATTTACCCAGGCTCCCCTCAGCCATTAGCCAATAGAAAGAAAGGTATTAGCCGGGATTAGGTGGGATGAGGGAAGCGAGGGGGGTTGCAAGGAGCTCAAGTTTTTGAAACTATTGAACTTGAGAGATTTATGCCAAGGATCCCCCTATAAGCGAGCGTTTCATTCCCTCCCGTTAAAACAATTAAAACAATGCGGTGGGCTAATCTCCGAGGCAGGCCAGATTAAAATAACAGCCTTTGATTGTGCTCTCGCTCTCAGTCCTCTTTCTCCAAGACCGCTGGCTTTGACAGTCTCCCTTCACAGGGTTTTTTTTTCTCTCTCCAAGGGTTTGTTTTGCTAACAGGCACCATATTTTGCCCATAAACTGTCACCATGTGAAGTTAATCTGAACCTCCTCAATGAGAACTATTCCTTTCGAATCCAGCTGAGCTCAATCAGAAGTCTTCCCAGGGACAGAATGCAGGGAAGAAAACTTCCAACGAGCTGCTGGTGATCAACACTTCCATCACCTTCCGTCACCTTCAGTGACTCCTGGTACGTTTTAGAAGCCATACTGCATTGGTGGAAAGTGGCTAAATGACTTGGCCATACGGGTTTTAGGTTGTGTGTTCTATCTCACGCCACTGCTAATTTCTACAATCAATTGGCTAAAGTTACATAACATTCGTATTTAACAAAACAACATTAATTTACACAGTATGCATGCAGCCGCAGGGCGTTCACGGTTTCATTTGTTAACAACTATAACAATTCTACTTTAGAATACTTGAACTGTTTTACTCATCATCTGTTTATAAATTAGCCTCTGAGGTATAGTTCTAAATAGGTTTAAACAACCTGTATTTAGCTTTTTTTAAAGTTATAATCCATTTACTAGATGTTTAGATATACACTTCAGAAAGGGGTCATACGTTATTGTTACTCAAAAACTTGACTTGAATACAGTTTTTAAGTTGGTACTTAGTTCTACTCAGCTACATTCTGAAGATTAAAAAAAAAGCTCTCAGACAAATTATATTCAATGCATTAATAATATAATTATAATAGTCAATAATATTTTCTATTATAGAAGATATCTCATTACTTCTTCCAGCCCTGATTTCTGATCAGGCCAAGGCCATAAAGTCCAACAACACACATCAACATCAACGTTTACATCTTCAATTTGGATGAGAAAAACTTCCCCAATAAAGAACCACTTTCAAATTTGACAACTACATCATACTTAAAAATGGAGGAGACAGGAGTGTAATTATTAGTTTCAAAGTACATTGTCTTGAAGTTGATTCAACATGTGATTGTAGTTACTAACTGTTTTTGGTTTAAAATGGGAAAGTAATGTCCCTGATTGTTTTTCTGTGAGCACAACTTGTTGCACATCATTAAGCACAGCCGAGCTTCCTTTCGTTCAATTTCAACCTTCACATTCTCATCCAACAACATTCATAAAGACATAAAGACACAGATCATTTTTGCAATGTGAGATGTCTCGACGATTTCTGCAATTTCTGCAAAAACTCCCCTCTCAGACTGCTCAGACTTCCAAAACACCTCAAAATGTTTGTGCTTTTTTTTCTCCACGATTTTCTTTTCCTCCTCCTTTCGCCGTTCTTGGCTGTCAAGCTATATTAGTGTCCGATAGAAATAAGTCATTTAGAAGAGGCTCTGTCGGCCAGCCCCTCAGCCCCACTAAAAGCCCCAGGATTAGGTCCCAGAGGTCTTTGTCTCCGCAGCCCACAGGATTAGGGGAGATTTACTGCGAGGAGAGAAAAAAAAAAAGTAGTTATTTCATGGCACTTTCATGATGAAACCTGGCCAAAGCTGTGTTGGCTGGGGGGATTAGAAGCACACAAAGAGTGCGGTTGTGTGTGACCCTCCCCATCCCAGAGCTGCCACCACTGACTCACTCAGCGCCCCCCCCCGTTTCCCCTTTCTATGGGCCGGGCAGGGCTTCACCTCGAACCTCATCAAGACTACCAGGGTTCACGCTAAACGGCCTCCTGCCATCCAGAACGTGCAGACTGACTCTGAACGACACTAACATCATATTCTTTTAGTAACATCATATTCTTTTAGTAACATCATATTCTTTTAGTAAGTTTCAAAACAGGGCTCGGGTGCAGCGGGTCTAATCACCAGTGTTTTGCATTATAGACTTAGGTCGAGAGGTAAACGAGAAGCTACTGGATGCGAGTCCCTCCTGTAGTGTTAAAAACCCGCTTAAAGGGAGTTATCCTGCTCTTAGAGGATCCACTTACACATGCGTGGATTACAGTGAATAAAAGACTAAAGGCTGAGTCACATCACCAACAGTCTCACCGGCAGGTTTAATAACTGTTGTCACGCAGCGAGATAGAATTACAGTAAGAAAAGAGCGAATGTCAAAACATTCAGTCTTCATCCCACTTGATGGAAAATAACACAAAGTTGCTAAAGTTCAGAAGGCGTATCACATATTTCCTGTGTTGCTGCAAACATTGGCTGAGTTGCATAAGATCTGATCCTAGGCGACACCTCCATTAACAATGATTAAAATCGTTTGGTAACAGCTCGTATGTGTCACCCTGTTGTAAAATAAATCTTTACATTTTTTGTTCAAAACCGCAGTGTTGAAGAAAGAAACGCTTCGTTAGTGACCAGGAAGAAACCGATAAACATTCATTAAAGAGCAACAACATTTTATTACTGCAAACGTTGAGGGAAAAGCAGCTTCCAACAACAACTTGTATTACCAATCATTAAGAATGTTAAAAGTATAAACATTTTAAGAAGACAAATTGAGCAGAAGACAGTACCAGAAGCAGAGATGGAAATTATTATTATCATTTTTGCCTTAAAATTAGTGATTACGTTTTCAAACCAGATCATTCGTAGAACAAATGTGATGTAAATTCCTTTGCCCCTTGTGAATAGCCACATATTGGAAGAGCCATTTAAAGCTCCAGTTCTTTCATTTAAAGTGGGTTTATCAATGCAATTTGAGTGACGCAGTAATTGAATTGAGGGCGGAGGGGGAGTCCATTTCTTCCTTTCTTGTCACTAAGAGTTTTTTGTTAATATCTTCTGTTTAACAGATGTTTCAGAAAGCAGTCCTCCCCTTATGTTCAAGCTAGCTTTCTTTAATTACTTATCAATAGTGGAAATTTGTATTGACAAGAGCCCATCAGGAGGGGACCTTTTGTACTCGTCAGCTATCTCAAAGGAAGAGCCCCCCCCCCCACAACGGCTGGATCGATCGGCATGCAGGACACAATTGAGGGGCGACGGCACGGGAGCATGTGGACTGAAGAGGGGAGAGCTCAAGGCTCCTTCGTCGGGGGGGAATCGATGGGGCCGGCTGGCCTTTGACCTGAGGGAGACAAGGCGAGCGAGCGGCGGGTCAATCGGTCTTCTTAAGCCCCGGGATCAAGCTGTGAGGCCTGACACCGGCTATGACACACTCGGGGCTTAGAGTGACATTGACCCAGCTGCAAACACACACACACACACACACACACACAGATACACACACATGTGTGGCTCTGGATGAGAGAGTTTAAACGAGAGGATCATTTTATATGAACAAACCGATCCATTGGTCTGATATTATTGATCAAAAGCAGTCTCAGAGATGCATTACACTCTAATAAGACCTGGATACTTATTACATTCCTTTTAACCTCATATGATCTTCTTTGTGGCCAAGCAGCGACACCACGAGATCAATACGAGGCACTGAGTAAAGATCAGACTCCTAATTGTGCGTTGAGTGTTATATGTTTAAGAGAAGGGGACTGAGAGCTGTGGGTCAAGGGCACACAACGTGGGCCAGACTGGGGTGAACTCACACCAACAGAGACAGACAACAGACCCAGTTAAAGCCTTCTGAGCACCATCTGAGGACCAGTGATAATTCAAACTCAGCACACGGAGATTTAGGTTTAAGTCTCAGCAAATGAGGATGAGGATAGAAGGGAGATAGGAGGGAAGAATTCAACTACAGGGACGTATGAACACTAAATATGAAAAATACAGGCCCAACTCCAGGCAAAGGGAAGTATTTTGATCATTTAGAAAGCTTTTCCAAACCATCTTGAGTCAGTTGATCATTGTTCTTGGGAAGGGTCGACAGACGATTGTATCGCAGATTTTAATTTCAAGAGAACACACATTATGTCGAGTTTCCATTATCAGGACAGCATAAATTGTCATATGAGAGACTGTAAAAGCTACCTAGCTCACATCTCGGTAGAGAAGGAAAAATAGAGCGGTTTATTTAATTAAAAAGGACTTGATTATTTCTTTAACTAAATGTAAAGATTATAAATAAATCTCATTTAAACACATAGATTATATAAATCTATGATCACAGCACGTTTTAGTGCTGGTTTAAATAGCATATATTGATGATCATCAGTCTATTTCAACTAATAATTTTGAGTTTTGAGTTATGGTTTTTTTAATCTCTCCCGCGCTGCCGATTTGCTGTTTAGAGATGGTAGAACGGTGGTAGAACAGATTGTGTAACCATTTCTAAAATAACTCTATAGCTGAAATGAACTATTAGTAGATCGGCAGACAACTTAATGGTAATTATTATGATAGTTGTTTGAGTCCATAATAAAGCAAAAAGGAAGATATCTGCAGGTTACAGCTTCCTTAATTTAAGGGTTTTCAGTTTCACTTTTGTTATATGTAATAAGGAACTGAATATCTTTAAAAGATGATGCTCGGACAAAAGAAAAACAGATAACAAGATGTAGCAGCCATGTGCTTCTAATCAATAATCAAAATAATTGCCCATTCATTTTCTTTAGCGGGACGGTTAATCAGTCAATAGACCGATTGCTCCCCTCTGCAGGCACCGAAGTGTTTGTTTGCTCTGGCTTTTTGCCGAGATAATGCAGCTCCTCCATCTCTCAGCATGGGGTGGGTTGAGGACCCCCGCCAGTCAAAAGGTGATCACGGTGGGAGAGAAAGCGAGGCACTGATCGAATTTGATAATGAAGACGACCCCTCTAAGCTGCTTTGCTCCACATGTTCAAAATCTCTGCAACACTCAATAAACACTAGGAAGCCCCCCTCTCTGTCACTGGAACATTGTGTAGGTATTGATCCCAGCTAACTGGCTCTTTTAATACCTGGGTCCGTGGCGCGGCCCGGGGAAATGCATACTGACATGTGACGGGAGGAGCTTAACAGGCAAACACACCGAAGAAAGGATGGGCCTCTCAGTTTAGCATTTCTTTCCCATTTTTTCTCAATTTACACATCTGCTGAAGAAAGGAGAATTACGGCAGCTGCACCTGCTGTTGGAAAGGGACATATAGCCTGCACGAGGCACGGCACTGTACTGAGAAAACGCTGTCACACTGTCAAAAACTATTTGTGCAGCAGAGGAAGTAGCCAGATATTTTACTAGAGCAAAGAGTAGCAACACAACTGTGTAAAAAAAAAAAAAAAAAAGACATCACAAATAAAAAAGGTGCCAACGCCAAAAAGTTATGTACGTTTCAAAAGTAAAAGTAAAGTTTTATTCATTTTAACTTCATACCAGAGCACTGCATTACATTAGTTGTTGCTCTGCAGTCTTTTTTGTAGTTAATTACTTGTACAGCTTAACAACTCATGAGACACCTTTGAACTACTTATTCAACCTGAGCTCAGTTCAATCCCATTTTTAAAGGCAGCAGTGGAATTTACGTTAAGTTGAACCCTCTTAAAATGGATTTACAACAACAATGGATCTGTAACTAAAACACGGTTCAAATATTCTGAAAATAGATTAAAAATATTAACAAGCCAAGCAACCAGTAACTATAACAAGAAGTGAGATAATGTAGAGCAGCAGCATAAAATGGAAGTGAAGTACAAATATCTCAAAATTGTACTGTGCTTTAATAAATACACTTATATTATATTGTATTATAAACACAGAGAAACATACCTTTGTCTAATATCTTTTAATATAAAAAAAAAGATTAACAACAAAAATTGAACAAATACAAAAGGAAATGTGGAGTATGTACAGGAGTCAAGTATTTCTCAGTCATTTTCGACATAAAAGAGCAGAGATTAGCTGGTACTCCCTAATTAACCCGGGACAACGGGTTAACAACATCATTTTGTCTTCATACCTGCTATCACAATGTTTCATTCCATGCAGTGCACATGACACAGAGATACTGGATATTGTATCACTATTTCATATATATATACACATCTATATATATGAAATACAGAGAAATATTCCATCAGCTAAACCAAATAGGTAGCAAGCAGAGTCTTTACATTTCTGCTGAGTGCCTTTTATATGATCAAGTATTATAGGATTAGTCAGGTTTGAGAGCCAACCAACACAATTAACTTGCTAAACAGAGATCAGTGACAAGGTGCAATGTGAAAAACACAAGTGCCTTTACACAGCAATGATCGAGAGACTAAGACATCAATGCACTTAAGTGTAGCTAAGAACAGGTAAGGTGTTATCCATTATAAGTGAATGCTTTTAAAGCACAGGTGAGGTGCCCAGAAAACAAGCATTTCTATAGTGCAAATTAAGCTGAAGACACAGCTTGGTATGATATTAATCACCATCGTTCAGCGGACAATGCCCCGACGCTCATGTAGATCTTTTATAGAAAAGGTTTATGCATCAATTGTTTGAGGCTTTAAAAGAGACACTGCTCAACATAAACACATGTACATATTAACTAACATTATTTACAACTGAAATACAAATTGTCAAATGAAAACTGTTACTTTGAGCTCCTATTGCTTTGACTGGCAGTTCTCTGTGAAGTAAAGTCGGCAGCAACAAGCTCCTCCTCCCCCACCGACGCTCTGACCGTCACTCTGTGAGAGCGGGGACAGGCCCCCTGAACATCTGTCCCCCTGACACCAACATCAAGACTGCAAGTTGAACTGAGGAAAGTTGAGCAGAGGGGTCAGAGGTCATCTTTTCACCTTTGCATCCTCCTTGATCTTCCAGAACATGAGCTCCATGCAGGCACACGCGTCTTCACTCGAGTCGTGGCCCTCCACTGAAAACACAAGGAGAAAATGATTGTTGTTGTAGCCAAATACAGAGGCGGTGAATTTAAAATGTATACAACACAAAGGATAATCCAATAGGAACAGAAACAAACATTAAATTTGACTTCTGCATTCTGCAACTCATCCTAAGCATGGAAGTGTCCTAACCAGACCGTAATATCTCAGAAACACATCAAGAGGAGTGACGGAGGAACAATACTTTTTAAAACGTTGAGACAATTCAATCAGTCGAACAAAAGTTGGGTTTTTTACAATGTTGTTGCATGAGCGACACCTGCTGGTGATACGGAGGAACTGCAGTGCAACTTCAGTGGCGTTCACTGCTATGATATTTACTATATTACTATCACTGGCCTGGGAGAATCCTACTGTTAAGTCTTCCATGCTTACTATGACAACTTTCTACTGTCATGTTCCTTAAAAGCCCCACAGTAGCCCCACGCATTCAAATGAACAGGTATCGCTCTTTGAATTTCCCCTTGTTTCACCATTTTTTATTTGGGGCATAAAGCTTTTGAATCCACTGCAGCTCTATAAAGCCCATTAAGACATTGGGCTACACACGTGAAACCTAACATTATGTTGACTTAATCTTTTGAAACTTATTTATATTAATAAGACTCGTCTGAATCTGTGGGCGATGCTAAAAAGAAATGTGCTGTACACATGAAGATGTAGAGCTGTTGACTGATTGCATTCAAACAGCAAAAGATGAACCAATGTGACGAGTCGATTACAGAGATTATGTGATCATGCTGGTCAGGGGTCCGGTTGTGTAATTGGGGCCATGTTCATGTGACGGGGGATTATGGAAGTGTGCAGTGTGGCTGATAAAGACACAAACAACACAAATAACCCAATATCAATAATGCACAATATTGGGACTTAAATAGTTTCTGATTAATTGTTCTCACTTCCCAGTTTACTTATTTGAAATCCTACAAATTTGATCATTCATGAAATATTGATACACATTAGTTGATGAACCTCACTAGTCAGAGCACCTATGCACATGAAGAGTATTCATTACAAAATATGAAGGAACACGCATTAGATGTTTGAAGTAGACAAACTTTTTTGTCATGTCATCACAAAAACTAATGGAAAACAGTCTTTAAAAAGCAACATAACCACTTCTGCAAGCTCTGTGCGATTTCCCCACCGTTGTCCTGGATGATGCGTTTAAGGTGTTCGGCCATCAGGTTCCTCAAGGCGCGCTTGTAGGGCAAGCCGATGCGGTGCGGGAACACGATGGCGGTGTCGATGACTGAACTGTGGATTAGCTGGAGGCAAGAGAGGTTTACATCAAGAGGTTTTCTTTTATTTCCGCACACTAGGCTGCGGAAACACAGCATCTAGGCCTACAAATGTAGATAAAAAACAAAAACAAACACACAACCTTTCTTCCTTTGAAAACAAGAATGTTGTAGTTATAAGATCCTTGAGTTTCAGCTGTAATTGTACACAAAAGCTACTAAATGAGGTTTTGTTAATGGCGTGAATTATTTTTCCTGATTATTTGCACTGGTGCTAATCTACATTTTTGTTGTCTCAGTACTTGTTTAATGTGGAATGACAATTAAGTTGAATCCAATCCATCTATTTTTTATAACACATACTTAAGTATGAATAAAGCAGAGATTTAAACAATTTAAATAAAACTAATTTGTCACCAGAGGAATAACTCACAATGTTGCAAAAGCTGCCAGTGAATTCATCATTTCAATAAAATATCTTGCAGATCAATGAGGGGCCTCGATACCTTGAGAGCGAGGAGATCGCTCTCCAGACTGTGTCCTATGAGGATGGATTCAGCACTGAACATGCTGAGCAGCACGGCCTGAACGTCCCTCAGAGTGATGGTGGCGCTCTCCAAGTCCTCCTCCGTCACACCTGAAAATCTGAGAATTACATTTGAGATTTGCAGTACATACTGCGTTTAAAACACTGTGACCCTTTCAAAGACACATTTAAGACAGACGTACAGCCGACAACTTAAACGCCGCCAGTTAAATCCAATGACGGACGCGACCCACGTGGCGTAGAGCCTGAGAGACAAACTCACCGCGTGTTGTAATCGACCACTTTGCTTTCGGGTTTCACAAATGTATCGTAGATGACTTTCAACTGGGAGTCGATGACAGTCACCCTGGTCAGCTCCAGGCCCTGCTTCGTGTAACACTGTTTCAGGGGAGAGAAAACAACAGTTATTGGGACTAAGCCTAGAAAATATAGAGACAGTGACAACTTTTTATTTTAGTTTTATTTTGACTCATAAGCACGGAGTCTCTCCCAGTCTCATTCTTATCACACTCGCCTTTAATAAATGAATTCTCGATTCAAACACGCACACGATATAGTAAACAAAGGCCTAAGTTTGCATTCAGCAAGTAAAAACCTGTCTGGCTCACCATCTCACAGTCCAAAGCAAACACCCCTCCGTTGCCATCTGGTGGTAGAGCTTTACTAAACGTAGTGACGTAGCCATCGAAAGTCTCTTTACGCCCGTCCTGAACATGTTGCTGTGGAACAGAAAATGTTTGGGGATGTTTAGATAATAAGCCTACATTAGCCCAATAGGTCATGACAGTCCATACAGTCCATTTGGCTTTTAACTTGTGAAGAAGGTAAACTAAAGACTGTTTGAAAAGAATGATACCTTGCAAACTTGGCAACCCGGAGCACCGACAGCCGCAGCGCAGCAGCTGTAGTTGGTCTCCCATCCTCCGGCGCCTGACAGAGAAACCAGGGAAGAACAAGGAGGACCGAGGTAAATAAAAGTTGAGGAAAGTAGAGGGAATATGGCAGCATTAATTAAAAGAAGAAAAAAAATGTGCTTTCATAATATCATCAAAAAGGCAAACAAACGCACCTTTACTTCTGCGCAGCCGTCCCCAATGAAAGCTACATTCCTCTTTCCGTACACAGTTGCCATTGACGTTGATCTTATACTCAGCTCCACATCGACAGCATATCTTGTTCAACGCTGGAAAAAACATTACACAGTGTCAGCTGAGAGTCAAATAATTGTTGACATGATTTCGTATTAGTTCCAGGCGAGGTGAAGGTCACTCACGGTCTGAGGTGGCCTTTTTCTCTGGGAGGTTATAGATGACGGCTTTGCCGGAAACCTCAGGATTGGTTCTCGGGTATCCGTGCTCCTGGAGCTGCTCCTCCGTCATCAAGTACGCCTGCAGCTTCCTGTACAGTGTGGCTCCTACAGCGAGACACCGCAGCGAGTTAAGCTAAAGCTGTTTATGTACAATGAGGTGTTAAAACTGACACTGCAAGGGTGCATAAACACACAAAGAAGATGGAAAGAGAACAAAGTCCTCATGCTTGTGGCAAGTACAGTACATGTTAGGGCTGGGCGCTGTGGCCAAAAAGTCATAACGGTATTTTGTATGATTCTGGCGGCATCTCGGTAAAAACACATTCATTCATTGACGCCGAAAAGGGGGGACGACAGCAGTGTCATTTTATAAATGTACAATTATTAATGTATCACAAACGGTTGTGTTGTGGTGTTTTACTCTGTTAAAGAGCGCTGTGGGTTATTCATTGTTGTTATCAAGTTATAACCTTGACTCCGTCCGCTACGCCCACTACAATAATATTTAGAATTTTCAGTTGACCAAGCAACCTATCACCACCTAATTATGGATTATTTATGATATAAAAATGGGAATTGTCTTAGATTAGTAGCATTTCCCTTTTCAGCATTACTACAGTCTTGAATGTTCCCTCTGACCTTTCTCTTGTAATCAGGACCTACAGATTGTCACATGGTTATTTTAACAGCTTCAGTGTTTTGACACATCACCAACAATAACAGTTATTTCAGTGTTTTATATTTATATTTCATCAAGGGACTGAAGAAAAAAAAAAAGAATGAGAGAAAAATGGAAAGAGAAAAATATGTTGAAGAAATACGTCCATAACAGCTTTAGAGAAGGAGAACTGAAAACACTGACTCACTCCTGAAAACGTACCCGTGAGTTTCTCTTCCAGCTGTTTACCCATTCTGTTGACAGTGAAACTGGTTGTAGCAGCATGACGACCTCCAAGAACCTCTTCGTGTGACTGAGCCCTCTTGTTGGCAACTAACCCTGGGTTCTCTGCAGAGAATCACACACAAGAAAACACCTTACAACAGAAATACAGCTGAACTCACGCATAGTAAAAAACTGCAGGGCTTTCACAGAACGCAGTTACTGGCACATTTCAGCCATCCTTAATGTTGTGTGCAGGTTCTTGTTGAGGAAAGCGTCGTATACGTGTTGAGTAAGAGCAGGTACTATGAGGTATACTGCACGGGGGCCGGAGGCGCGTACTCGTGACAGGCGATGGACATGAGGTGCTCTTGCTCCGCAGCTTCTTCAGAGCGTTGACCGCTACGTTGAGGTAGATGTTCTTACTGCTGCTGCGCTCATACACCAGTTTCTCCTCGTCGAGTGCCTGAAACCACAACGTGTTCAACTGAGGCTCTTATTCAATGTCCCCCCTTCATTCAAGACAGGGTGTGACTGGAGCCTCACAGGACACTTTCATAAGAAGCATTTTCCAAACTACCAGTATAAAAGCTTCATAAGCTAGGCTAGGTTTATGTATGGCAGGTCGGAAGAAAATACACAGCCGTCCACAGGTGAACAGGGTGTTAATCTTACCAGCTGGAAGGCAACGTCCTCTGATGGGCAGAATTTGACACATTCATCTATGAAAGTGGTGAGGTAGCGCTGGCGGACGTTGTTGGGAACCTTGGCCCCGAACTCGATAGGGATGACGGGGCGCTTCAGTGAACTACTCTGAAAAGTTCAAAACAGAAAGAGGACATCAAATGAATGGGAGCGATAAACCATCTCCAGCTGCAGGAAACTTCTCTCTTTAGAGAGAAAGCCCTCCTGTGCAGGACACTGTTGGGGCTATGAAGGGAGGGATGGGCAGACTTGACAACACAAAGCAAATATTCAGGAAAAAAACACAAAACAGCGGGCAGCTTTACCAGATCGTGTGCCCTGCGCATACCTTCATGGTGGGTGTGTGTGCCATCCTCTTCTGCGTGACGGTCGACATAGTCTTGGGCAAGATGCCAGCGGTGGTTTGGGCCTTGACGGTATGCTGGGTCTGGCTGGGGGATAAAACTCGACTGGCAGCTGGTTTAACATCTGCAGGACCTGAGGAGACACACGTGACTTTCTACTTAAACAATCAAATTATTAAAGGAAAGCGATGGTCAACTTTGGCTAAGCATCCTTCCGAAGTTATCCTGCCCCAACATAGAACGTGCAGCCACTCGTACTTGTTTTGGAAGATGTTGTCGGCGGGTTGGTGCGGTGAGCTATTCTCTTCTTCTCTCCAGAAAAGGAGGCCACGGTGACTGAAGCAGACATCTGAGCTGCTTGCTGCTGAGCCATCTGCATACGCTTGTAGCAGACCTCCTGGGCGGAGAGTCTCTTGTGCGGTCGTGCCACAATCGCTGCGTCAGTCTGATTAAAAAAAAAGTAAAAGCACGTGAAATAGTAAAAGTTCCATTTTTTTTTTATTAATACAGTAAATTATGCAGCTGAAATGACAAGGATTAAGTAATGTTATTCGTTGGCTTCCAGGATTAAAAAATAGGTCTATGACTGCAAAGTGGTTTTGGATGAAGGAACTGAAATGTGCAAGTTGAGTAGTGAAAGAAGTAACGGTACTTTCCACAGGACAGCTACCTCCCTGTGGAACACACAACTCTCAAATGATAATATGAACAAACAACTGCATATTAGCAAAAAGTTGGTGATGCATGGCTGCACACGTTAAAAGTTGCATGTTTAGGTTTGATTTACCGTTTAAATGAAGGCTGTATTTTTACATCTATGTTTAGTTAAATTGGTTAATATAAAATATAATACTAAGAAGTTTGTGTTTGCAATAATGATAAGGGCAAATTAACATATAATTTATGATCAGTTAAGAAAAACACAGAATGACAGTTTCCAATCAATAACCTGAGCTCTTGTGTATATTCCTCAAAATGACCTGACCAAAAACAAAACAGAAATATACTGCAGCTTAAATGAAGCTCCCCCCAAACAAATCCGAAAATTCCAAGCGTGTCATCAAAAGAAAGCCAAATATCTTTTTTTTTTTTAAACATTTAAAAAATACAGCATGTACTGTGCAACCATTTAATATTGTTTTTTTAACAATTGAACGTAGCTTATTTACATTCCTTATGTTGTACATTCCCATGTGAAGTTCGTACTCCTTTAAAACGATTTCTGTTCCGTTCACAGCCTTTGATAATGGGGTCATTGATTGCTGTATACTGTGGTGAAAGCATATGTTGTGACTTCATGACCGCACCAAAGAACAAAGAGAGATCAGGTAAAACTCACACTTCCTTTGGCAACAAAATGGGAGACTCTCTTCTTTTGACCGGGAAAGAGGGTGGTTAAAGTGCTCTCTGTGCTTCTCTCGTCGTCCGAATGCCTAGAGGGCTAAACGGGCACAACATGTTTCACTGGCCTGTGTGCATGTGACAGAGTAACAACACATAGCGTTTGGTAAAATGATCAAAACAACTTGGCAAGACAGAAATACCTGTTTAGTTTGCCTTCCCTTGTCTTCTGTCTTCACGTCCTTGGATTCATTGAAGATCCGCAAACACTCCTCCATGGGGTCGGAGTCGAAGTCCAGATCGTCCTGGTAACTAGAGAAGTTGATAGTGACCTCGTCGTTACCTGCCCCGTGGCCCTCCGCGTCGCGGACCCCTTCGTCGTCGGAGGAAGACGGAGTCAGCTCGGACACTTTCCTCTTGTTCAGACGGCCCCTCTTCAAAGCATCAGCAGACTTCCTCACCAGCACTTCTTCGTCATCATCGTCGTCGTCGTCGTCATCGTCATCATCATCCACCACCATCGGTTCAACCTCCTCTGGGCTCTCATCCCCAAAGAGATCCGCATGGCTAAGACTCAGACTTCGCCGTTTCTCTTCGCGCCTTTTCCTATTTGGTGAGCTTATGTTTGGCTTCACCTTGTCTTTACTCCCTTTAATGGAACTGCTGCTGCTGCTCCCACCACTTAAACTGCCTTTATTAACTTTCTTTGCATCCTTTTCTCTTTTACTGCTATGAAGTTGACCATTTTTGTGTTGGGGGTCCTTGCACTTGCTTTGTTCCTTTTCAAATACCTTGAGTTTCTTGCTTTCCCCGGAACCATTTTCTGTAACTCGAACTCGTTTACTCGAGACCGTTTTGCATTTTTCCACAGCTTTGACCTGATCATCACTTCTCTTTTTGTCTCTGCCTTCCCTCTGAACTTTAGCAAGTGTCTTAACCGTAGTTGTGTTTGTGCTATTGTCTCTTTGTCCATGACTCTTGTTCTCCTTCTTTGCATTGTCCTGGGTTGAGCTCTGAATTGACCCTTTGTCTTTACTGCTGCTGCTGCTACTACTCTTTCTGCCAGTTGATTTGTTTGCTTCTTTTCCAAGTTTATGCACTTTCTCAGATTGGCCACCTTTCTTGGAACTAGTTTGACTAACCACCTTCTTTTTCTCTAAACCGTCCTCCTCTTTCACCTCTTCCTGGAAGTCTGAGTCCATGTCCTCTTTATTTCTTTGTGTCAGTGCTTTAAGGTTACTTTCTCTCCCATCCCTCTCCTTCCCCAAAGCACCCCAAAGGGACCCACTATTGCTTTTTTTCTGCTGGAGATTACTAAGCAAAGTGGGTCGGTACTCTGTTCCAGAGCTTTCCCCATCAGACTCAGAGATAGTGTACTTTTTGGAGTCTACAGGCGGCTGCGGAGTTTTTCTCAAAGCGACAACATACTCCTCGTCTGACCTATCCGACAGTTTGTGCTTCTTTCTCAACTCCGTCTTAGAAGCCTGTGCGTCCCGATCCTTCTTCCTTTTTGCTGCAATTCCTGCCGAGTAGTTAGACATTGGATCGTACTCCATGTCTGTAGATGGTTTTGAATTATCCACTGTGTATTTACATTTAGAGGAAGATGTGCTGTACTTTGGACTGGTGGGAGGAGACGGGGGTGGATGCGTTTGTGTCCGAGATAACAGCTTCCTCCTCGTAGTAGGAACATATTCCATGGAGTTACTATTTTTTCCGTGGTGGTCTGAATCCAAGGTATACTTACTGCAGCCAGGTGGGGGGTTATAACCTCCAGATGTCATCTGATAACTCCCAGGGTCATACGCCATGTGGGAAGGTGGTGCTTTCCTTTTAACAGAACTAGATAGTGATCGTTTTTTGCTCTCGTTGGGATCATATGGTTCATCCCCAATTCGAGAGAGCTTTCTTTTCTCCTTCTCCACCTCGCCGCGGACCTCCTCGATGGCCTTGTTGACCATTTCCAGGGCCCCGCTGAGGTCCCCCGAGTCAGGAGACTTTCCATTCTCCTGCACCTGGGGTCTCACCACTTCTGGGTTGAAGGGATCATAGCCTTGTTCTAGAGGAATGCATGAAAGAAAGTACCAATGTTAACTTATTAGTAGGTCGGTCGGCCCAAATATTTGTACCTTACTAAAGGATCCATTTAGTAACAGAAGGCCTCCATCAATTTCAATTTCTGCAGCCTTACATAAAGAATTTCGGTAGAGTGACTCTTTTAAATTTAAGTTTAGATTCTGGGATTTTTACTTTTTGGCACTCAATCCAAGGAACATACTCGACAATATGCAACTTCAGCACGCTGAGATGTTCCATGGCTGAATAATATTAGAATTATCCAACCTATGAATGTTAGAAATGTCTACAGCGTCAATACAAACATCTAGTGAGTCAACATTCTTCCAAGCGTTTTGTTTGGATGCCACAAGTCCAATAAACATTAGGGTTTTGCTACCGGACTGATGGGCACAGGGAACTCGTGTGTGACACATTCATTTACGTTGGTTATGTTACATGTATGTTCTGTTCTGTTTAGGATGTAACATGCGTTAGCATGCTCACAATGTGGTACCAGGTACTCATTCTAAATACTGTGCTTTGTTTCTTTGACACTTCCTCGTGTGGGCTCAATACATCGGTTACTTCGTTCTATTAATTACCTCAGTTCATCTTAACCATGGGGACCATTTTAAAATAAAGCATCAGTGTTTTTTTTTGCCCCCAAATTCCCTTCACACCGTTAGTGCGACGTGCCAATCCACACACGCGTGGTCTCTGCCGACAGATAAAGCATTCAGGTGAATGGACGGGGTTCAGTTGAAGAATACTCAGCACCTTTCTTCGAGGCGTGAAGGTCCTTTTGCCTTTTAACATCCGCCGGTGCTCCGCAGGACGCGCGTCTCTGCTGGCGGTGCCTGAAGTGGCAGTACGGTCTGTTACACCCATTTCTGCTTCCGTTGCCTTCGATGTACTCCGTGTAAAACGGGCAGTCAATCCCTCGAAAAAAGCCGGTGGATCTCAGCATTGTCCCCCGGTGTCGCTCTCATGCCCGCGTGAACACACTCGACGCGCTTCCTGCGTGGTATTTCAGTCGTACAGCGGGAGCTTGAGGAGGCGACGGAACAATAACAGAGTCTCTACGTCGCCATGTTGGATTGGTTTTCGCGTGTGAAGTCTCGCGTGATTTCTGACGTGTCGCTCTGCATTACGTCAGAGGACGTAATCTCAGCCTTCCGGATGTGAACGTAACGTTCGGCTGTTCAATTTGACCCCTGACCGAACAACAGCTAGCGAAAGAAACGTCGTGTTCTATGTTAAATCATTGACATGTAATGCAATGAGGGTATGTTGTAAAGCCAATGCCATATGAATGAACATGCTCAGTTATCGGTCTGATATCTTACTAACCATTAGCTCATTATCCGTATTAACGGAACAGGCCTGTGGGCAACACGGCCTTTGTTCAAGTCAAGGCTTAGCCGGCGTTGCAAAATAAGACTGACACATTTTTCAGCGTTTTATTTCACAACAATAAATGAAAGGGGTTGGTCTTGCAGTTGTAGCAGATGAAGTGCTCATAATCCTTGCAGTCAGTGTGGATCTCTTTCACAGGAACTTTTTTTTTGAGGTGTCAGTAGGAAAAGGACAGGTGTGTTTTATTAACATTACAGCAACTGCGTTAAGATTTAAGTGACACCCACGTTAGTCTTTTTCCTTTATTCATAGAACAGTAAATCGACAACTTTACATTTTCTTTTAGAACCCTAGCAAAATGTTTTATAATCAGTGAGGTGAAAAATACTGCATAAAGACTACAAACGTACCTCTGGCCATAAAACAGACTGAGACATCTTAAGAACTAATGAGACCAATTGAAAATGTTATATTAAAAAAATTGTTACCAGTTAAAATGTCAGCGGTGCTTTTTCCCCACACTATGGAAAGTCAAAATGACTGAATATATTATTTACTTTTCAGTTTACTGACATAACTTACCTTCGGTTGCTGAGAATTTCAAAATGCATTAGATTTGCCTCAACTAGCCCAATACAGCTGCAAAAAAAACAATTAAAATGTTGAATTAAAATTAAAACTTTGAAATTTGCGGTTCGTAAATTGGCTTTAATTAGCATTGATTTCCAAATCATTCAACATTAAACAAGTAATTGTACCGAGTTTATAGACACAGTTAACAGGTAAAAAATTAAAGATTGATAAAGCATCCATTTAACAAGCCTTATCACCTTCATTCATTGTGATGAAAATCACACAGGTTCTGAAAGCTAGTTCTAAAAACAAATTTAAACAAACACTTCTTAAAATGCTGCACAATATCTACCTCCAGCTTGCCTTCCAAACCGCTGCCTCACGCCCGCTCAGGCTTTTTGTGCTTTACAGCAAACCAAGCGTTGCAATTAGAGCACAGGCCTGATCTTCATGAACATCAGGTGTGCTGGTAATCAGTGATGTAATGATTGGCATCTCAGCCAGTGAACACTAAATTGTCTTTTTTCAGGTCAGGTTGTTTAAAAACAAGAAATACCTAAAATGATTGAACTGATAACTATCTTTTTAATAACAGCTGATATATGAGTTTGAATAATCACACAGGGTTGAATGGCACGCTGAGAGTGGTGGCAAAACATGACACAGGTTTGTGTGATAGATGTGAGGTGGTGGAAACGGTTGAGCATGTACTGTTTGTCTGTGGGAGGTATGATAAGGAGAGGGTGGTGTTGTATGGTAGTGTCAGGGAGACGAAGCGGGGCTGGGACTTAGGTGGGGTGCTTGGGGGTGGAAAAGGGAAGGAGGCAGCAATGAAGGCAGTATTTCTTTTTCTCAGGAACACGGGGCTGTACAACAGGATATAGAAGGGAGGCCGTGACCGGCCTCACACTCCAGTGCAGTAGGTGGCGGTATATGCACCTTTAAGTTGGTTGCGATCTGCCAGTAAACTAAAAGAAGAAGAAGAAGAAGAAGAGTTTGAATAATATTGGTGTAGTTCAGCTTTTTCTGCTACTAGCAATTGTTTTCTTTTCAGTTTAATAAAGCTTGATATTTTTATTCTGGTATTATTCTACAATGTAACATCAATACAATTAATATTTATTTTTAATCGAAGAACAAAGATAGCCTCTTGAAATGTATCCATAGGCTTGCATTACGTATACAGTACACAATATTTGCTAACGCAAAAATATGCCAAAATACTATTTTAGATTTAAAGTGATTTCCTGGGGAATTATTATTTCCTCAAAATATAGTCTTAATTAGATATTTTGGATAGCCCAACTTCTGATATCACAGTTTCATGGTCGGCAAGTAGCCTATTATTTTTCTAAATAAAAAACATATTTGTAGAGAATTTTATGTCAAGTGTTAAAAGATTAAACACCTGCAAATCTCAAAGCAGAAACAATGGTAATCCATTAATCAAATCACAGGGTCCATTTAATTTAATGTTGAAATGTCAACCAATAGGAAAACTACAGGTGTAAATGATGGAATGAACGATACTTCAGGGTATTGTGCAGGCTGGCTCGCTGACACCCTTTGACAGAAGGTCGCCATCGTTATGGACACCTGTGTCTCTCCTGCTGCATAAGGGTGTCTGCTGGGCGAGAATCCTGCTGCAGGACGGATAGCAGCTTACACGTTTACGTTAAACTCTGTTTACTGTAATTGACCTCAGCGCATGAGCACGTCACGCGTGATGGTCGACGTATCGATCTCGTGAAACGATGAGATGAAGAGCAAAACGAGGTAACTTCAACCCTTAATTACTAATTTAGACCAGATGGTGTGACATTACAAGAATTTAATAAATCAACCTGGAAAGTTCCCTGAAAGACTAAGCACCGAGAATGTAAACTTCCCCTTGAATGTTCTACTCGAGGGTTCAATTCACGTTGAGCAAAGCATCCTCTTATTCATTGATGCAGCTGCTGAACCGTCTCAGCTATTCCTTGAAATATTTCATCATGTTTTAGCTAAAGATTGAACACAAACTACAGTAACGCTTTGGTCCAGCATTATTTTTCTTTTTATGTGCGAAGTATTGTCGCTTTTCCTTTCACTGGTATTTTATTAGTATCCCTATTGTTATATCAAATTATAATTCGATAATCTTCTTTTGATAACTCCTTTTTCATTGGTGAAGAAATTAAAAGTTCAGTAATAAAACTCAATAGTTCAAAAGTGTAAAACATATAATTCACATTACAATGTTTCAAATAATACAATAATGACTTTACATTTTTAAAAGGCACAAAGAGAAGATCCCCATTCTATGAATTGCTTTTTGTGTACACAGTACATGACTAATTCACTTTGACTGCCTTTTGGATCTGAGAAAATCTCATGACTTGAAATCCCATGATCTGTGGCTCACACAAGGCTGATCTATTCCTCTCTGAATTATTCTGAATAGTCTTCAATTTACTCTTTGCAGTGCGACTCATCTGTGAGAAATCTCCACTGGAGGGAGGCAAACGCATGTGAAGCTACTCAACCATCTGCATGTACAGACTATCCTCTGCAGTTGCGTCATCTTAATGTCCTCCTGCCTCATGACGTCTGCAATGTTGAAATAGAAATTATGCAATCGACAGTGTTTTCTCTGTATTTACATTTTAGGGGCAGCAAAGAAAAATGTCATACACATAACACATCAAATGTCAATGTGTTTTAGAAAATAGTACATTGATAGTTGAGCTCAAAGTATCATTTTGAGAAATCATTAATTGTTGAATGATGTAATCAAACAAATTCCAAATATTTGCTGGTTTCTGCTACACTGAGGATTTGTTTTAATTTTGAAGTGCATAATGAGTTTTATACGATTTTAAAAAATTAAACTAGTTGATAAATCTGACACAGTATAATAAAAATAATCCCTTCTTGACAGATCAAGCTCACACACACAGTGCCAAATGGTGGTCCTGATGGTCTTGTTTTTTTGACTGTATACATTATGATTTATTTGAATCACATAAAAGCGAATCCCAGCTTGACGCAGTGTTGAAATGGCGCACCGGCGTTCAGTCATTGTGTAGTTGTGGGCAGATCATGAGATGGCACATAAGAGGCTCTTGCAGCAGGTTGCATCAGTCTTGTAAGATCAGGCCTGTGCAGCTGTGAATAGCGCCGCGCCCTCCTCCTCCCACCCCCCAGCAGCAGCTCAGCTCGTGACTAAGAAGGTGAAACCACCTCACATTTCAGAGCGTGAAGAGACGACTCGGCTCATATTTACCAACAGCCAAGGCCGTGTGTCACATGGTGAGCTCAGGTATCGGAGCTACAGATTAGGATTAGGGGATTAACGGCACCAAATCAGACGAAACGCCTTCAACCTTGGGTGAGAGATAAGGTAGTTCATGTGGAACTAGAGATACTGTAGAGCTCAAAGTAACATTCTCACTTCAGACAGAACGACAATCAGACAAATGTGTAGTTCAAAGCGTTTTATTGCATTTTTTTTTTTTTTTTGAAAAACAATACAAAAATTCTGTAGCAACTGTCAACAATGTTGCCTTGAGTGAACTGCAATCACTTGCGTGGTACAGTAAAGTGCTTTTCTTAAATCAAAAATATTTTTGTATTAAAGGATGTATGTATTTTAAATTTTTACCCATGAACACTACGGTCTTGGGGTAACTCAGTGTTAAAATATCCACTCATTCAAAATAAAGAATCGAGGACTGAATCAACCGAATAACCCCACACCATATTTATGAAATGAACCACTTAGAAAACATTGGATCAATGTTGCTGGATTGTAAATGCTTTTGCCTGTGGGCTACATTCAAATGGTGGTGGGGTGGTTGATGGACAGTCTGTTCGAATGACAGGATAGAACACTTCCTTAGACATACAATATAAAAGGCTTAAGGATACAACTTTATCCCCCCCCCCCCATCCCCAATAAAAGGCAGTCCAAAAAGCTACTGCCATTTGACAAAAGTAGAAATGGTCATGACCAAGAAAACTCTCATATCATTGGGATATTACGGAGTATGGCCAATATCTGTGCATTTGAGTTTCTAACCCTATCAAAAAAAGGTAAGAACCAACTCGTTTGATGCGCAATGGGGAGGAAAAAGGCAGAATACTGAACTGTATAGGTATTTTCTAAACCCAAAGATTGCCTTGATCAGCTTAATGCTGTGAGATTAGTGGGAGCAAAGTAGTTTCCCAAATGAAAAAAAAAACAGCTGCAGACACATTCAAGTAAGTCTTATTATAAGACATAAAACTCCCGTAATGACGCATCTGTAGAATTATTACAGTGTGTCATCACCATCAGCATATTAACACCAAGAGAACAAGTTTGAGTACCGGTGCTGCATTGTGGCAACAGGGCATGGACAATCAGAAGTCCCCACTTCCACTGCGCGGTAAAGATCGCATGTTCAATGTCATGACTGGAACCCTCTTTGGTGACATTGCTAAAGTGTTGTGAGACGACCTCATCATCAGTCTATTTCCTGGCCATTATAGAGTGAGCTTCAACCCCCCCAAAAAATAAAAAAAAATCCAATTAAAACAAAGATTTAAAGAAAAAAAAATATTGCCAACTCTCAAACAAAAATTAAACTTAAACTTTAGCTTTAACTGGGCAAGAACGCTCCAGAACCACTAAACGCTTTCCACACCTCATACATCATACTCTGAACGTTTAAAAACAAAAAAAATACATAAAGGAAAACATCCGGTGTTTCACTTGAACTCGTTAAAAAAATTGAACAAAAAAAAAAAAAAGTTTCAAAAAGCTTAACCATACATACAAAAAAGAAAAAAAAAGTGGCACAATGAAATGGAGTTTCCTGAAAAATAACGTAAACTTAATACAGCTACATGTCTATAGAAGACTTTATTATTTTTCTGGAATGTTTTTCCTTTTGTTTCTCTTTTGAAAAATCTCATTTGCTTCTAATTTTTGTAATGCGCATTCATACAGACACATGGGTCATGTTGGCCAAAATGGGCTTTTAAACCCCTGAAACATTTAACATTTACTGTCAAATAGTCAGGGTGAAATCTAATGCATAAATTAATTAATTTGTAGGCGCAAAAACTAAACAAAAAAAAATTATACAAGTTCTGGTTATGGAAAGGGGACAGGAAATGAATTACAATGAAAGTAACAGAACCAAATTCACGTACAAAGCCATTTAACATTAAACTTGTTCCAACCATACATCGTAATACAAGTAAAACAGCTTAATTCAATACCATTCAACTTGACTGGTCTCAAACACTGAAAGATTTAGCCACAGATAATTTGGCATATATATATATATATATATTCATGTGAAAAACTGTATGAATGGTTGCAGCAGAAGTCATGGCTGGGTAGACATTCTTTGCTCTCGGAGCATTAAGTGCAGGGACACTAAGCTAGATGAGTGCTTGGTTTTATCTCAGACATTTACAGGAGGAGGCTCAGCGATGAGGAATTTATCTTAAATGGAAACAAAAAGCTTTGAAGTCCCCAGCCACATTAATGCTCTGCACCAGGCACGGACAGCATCGGCTTACAGCCCTTCAAACCCTCTTGTACTGAATCCCTTTCGAGACGAGAACAGCCTTCATGTTGGCATATTGCATAAGCTTGTACCTATGTGCAGATGGGCCATTGTATATACATACAGGCAAAGAAACGTTCCAGATAACTTAATTCACAGTGGATCCAGTTGTAACGTGGGAGCAGCACAAAAGGTTGTCCTTTGGTGTCCAAGCTTAGTTTTGAAGATAAGTGGTCTGCTTACTTCTGAACTGAGTTTTATGAAAACAAAAAACTGCTCTCAAATCATGAACTGGCCCTCCTCCCAACCTTGACATGCATGTGTTTGTATGCGTGTGTGTGTGCATGTGCGTGCAGGCCCTGGGCTGATGTGCTTCAGAAGTGCTGTAGAAGGCATTTAGAGGAAGGACTGCGAGCAGCATCTCCCTTTACAGCGAGGCGAGAGAGCCTGAGTGACAGAGGAACCAAGGCCAGCTAGAGGGAGAGAGGGGGGCCAGCATTGGGGACAAAGAGTCTTAGATGGGGGGGGGGCTTAAATCTTAACGGAAGGTCGGAGGTCACGATTGACAAAGATCAGGCACAATCTCCCACAATAACGAGAGGGGCCAAGAGTTGACGAAGCTCTGCGGCAGAGACGGGCCCCGTCTTGAGCTGGCTGGGTTGCTGGCTGGGTTGCTGCCTGCGCCGGGCCAGCCTGGAGTTGGAAAGAAGGGAGAGGCGCATGGAGGAGCCAGTAGCGGTAACGACGAACGGGACTTCCTGGTGCTGCTGGTCGTCTATGCCATCTTGTTCAGCCAGCTGCCGGTTTACGGCCATGGCCTTGTCAGCAAAGAATGTAAGATCCCTGGCTTTGCTGGATCTAAAATGGAAGAGACACAAAAATGGTCATTACATTTTAAGCTCAAAATTTGGAAGTTGGTTTATCTGTTGTAGCTGTAAACAAATGTTCTCACCTTTGATGCAGAATGGATGTTGGTAAAGTGTCACACGCACCCTGAATAAAATAAAAAGTTACAACTTAAGTACTCAACTACCTTTAAACCTTGAGTTTCCATCAAAGACATGCATTAGAGCATTTTTGACTTACCCCCTGGACCCAGGGGTGGTGCAGCACCTGGCGGGCACTCAGGCGGTTTTTGGCATCTCTAACCAGGAGTTTGGAGATTAGGTCTTTGGCACTTGAGGAGATGTGAGCCCAGTCTTTCTCTGGAAACTCATATTTTCCTTCCTGGATACTCTCAAAGAGTGTGTTCTGAGAGGAAAGAAGAAGAAAAAAGGGGGGGGGGGATTAAAATCTGCAATGTTTTTAACTTGACCTGACCGGAGAAGATTTGTCGTTTTACTCCCACTTCTGTCCCACAAAGGGGATGAATTATCCTGTCAAATTCTTACCTGGCAGGTGTGGCATGGCTCCCCTAATTCCCAGCCACAGTCACCTCCACAGCGGCCTACAAAGGGAGGGTAGCCACTCAGCATGATGTAGAGGATGACCCCAAGGCTCCACAGGTCGCAGCGCTTGTCGTAAATTGTGGCCTCCTCACTGAACGCCTCAACCACCTCGGGTGCCATGTACTCTGCTGAGCCACACTGAAAAGGAGAACACGAGACTGTTAGTTTTGGGCCCGCATACCCTCGTTCAGCAGATACCTCGTGGTTGCAAATGTCAGAGCTTAGGAGTTTCTCTTGAGCCTATGTGACAGTCACATGCTTATGTTCAGAAATGGAGTCATTTAAAACGGGTGTTAGACACCTTTTCTCAAGGTGATAACCGACACAAGTGGAGGTAGCGGAAGGAGGGGCTACACTACAAAGAAGCAGGCTCTTGTGCATGGGCGGCAGCAGCAGCGACTCCCTGCTTTTACCATCCAGCTGTACACAAGTCAGGCCGAACAGGCAGAGGGAAAGTTTGCTCGGCAAAAAAAAAAAAAAAAAGACTGGAGCCAGAGAATGGACTGAGCAGTCGATGGTTACATGACTTAGCGACAACAACACCAAACTGTTTTGATATTTTAGGAACAGGTCACCAGTTGCATCCTGGCCTACTTCCTTCCATCTGGGTGGGTGAGCAGACATCTATATCCCAGCTGTCCCCTCACTACTCCTCCTCCACCTCTCTGGACCATTATTATGTAATGGCATTTGCTTCACAGGAATCTCATCTCAAACAAAGCTGCTTCTGTCAGAGGCCCCAACCCCCACATTTACACCATCAGCGTCATCACGTCTGGCGCGACTGCCCCCGCAGACAGACCCCTGGTTTCAGGCTAAATGCAGCTGCCACAGAAATAAAAGGCAGTCACAAAAGAATAGTTTTGCCTACTAAGTTGCTGCACAACTAAAAAGGCAATGTGATAGCTGTGCTAAGCAACCATCACCGGTTCCAAATTCAAATCAAATGGACAAGTTAGGGTTACGCAGTCCAGAACTGTCAGAACAGCAGCAAAATAACATGTGTGCTTCCTGTGCTGCAACCACCTTCTGAACTTGCTCACTCAAATCCTCCTTGAGACTTTCATGCAGAGAGTTTCTCGGCAGCGGCAGCTACCACAGGATTTGATGGCAGAGCAACCTGGGGCTTTCCTAAAACCATGTGACTAGTCAGGCCATACTGACACCACAGATTATAGGGTGAGGCTTAGAAGGGAAAAAAGACTTGTGTAGTCATGCAGCTGCAGGTAATTTGTGACAACACCAGAGGCAGTCCTTTGATTTCATTTTTTTTGACTGTTCAAGTATCTTTTGTGTAGTGTCTCCATGTTGCGGGTCATCCCAGTTCCTGCACTTCATTCAAGTGCAGCACACAAGAGCTGACATTTGATCAGTCAAATTCATTTCAAGCCGAGCTCGTAGGTAGGCAGTGATTTGTGCAGTGCCTTTGCAAACTAAAATTAGCCTGGTAAAAATCTAGGTTTTAAATCCACCCCTAGAAAGTTTATTTGACACTTTCACTCGGATGAGGAACAGGCAGACAAAGTGAAAAGGCACGTTATGTGCAGCAGCAACTGTAGGAATGTGGGCAGGGGGGAGTAGGGCAACAGTGAGATGAAAATCCGATAACATTGTTCCTGTGATCAGGACATTGAAAACAAGCAACAGCGCATGAGCAGAATGGTTCTTGTCCCTCCCATTTACCCTCCCCCTCCCGCTGCTGTAGCCAATCGTATCCCAGTTGCTAGGTATGAGGGGAAAGACTAACATTTCTAGAACAAGCCCTGTGCACTGCCTTTGTATACAGAACATAAAGAAAGCGCAGACCAGCGCAAGCGCCGTTGGGGCCGGTGGGTGGAGACTAGGCAAAGAGCCTGGAGGTTGTGTTTTTTTTTTTTTTTCCCCTCGTACCAGAGAGAAAAGTGAAATGAACAAGAGTTGTGTGTTTTGGTTTCAGTGCAACCTTACACCGCAGGATAAGGCCTTGAAAGAGTCACAATGAGTCCCCTGCAGCCTTCAGGGCGCTCACATCGTGCTCCGTCCTTAGGCATAAACTTTTCTTCCACTGAAATCTTAGCATTAGATAAAGTCTTGGGGTTGTGTTTAACAACTTCAGGGATAAAACAAATCCACATCAAACACATTTGTGCACCCATCTGCACCAAACCCACACAAGGTTGATCAGGCCAGACATCCAAGGCTAGAATGAACACAAAACTAAAAATCTCACCATCAAACCGTACAGGGAGGGGCTCTAGCAATTCGTTCTGCTAAAGGAAGATCAAGTTACCAGTGTTAAACCCCCGCCATACATTCCTGCGGACTAAACTGCTATCCTTCACCTGCTCTGGTCCATCTATCCACCCCCCCAAGACGGCCAGCAGACAGGCTGTGCATGTTGACAGAAAGCCTGTCAGTTCAACGTTACCTAGTCTCCACAGAGTTCACAAAGGGTCCCACTTCTCTGGGCAGTGTTTGCTTTGTGTTGCAACAGCAGGAGAGCTAAACTATCAAAGCCCAGAAAAATGCATGGGGCTCAACTGATAAGCAGAAGGATGTTGAAGTTTAACTGAGCGATATCTATGGAAGTTTGTTGATAATTGGCGTTATAAGGCAAGGTAAAAGCTGCCAGATCGAGACATTCAGGAGGCAATGCATCTTGTGTCAGATAAGGTGCCCAACATTGAACTACCGTAACCTCACAACGCTTCCCCACTACCAATCAGAGAGCTGCCCTGCAGCCAACGCCACAAGATTGACCAACAGGCGAGCAGACCGCAGAACTTGAGGAAAGGTAATGTTTTACAACCCGGATCTATAGTCTTAGCCACACTCCTAAATGACTGGCATGCATTTTCCTTCTGTAGCAACCTCCCATTCACGGCTATAAAAGGGCTCGGCAAACAAATTAAGCACAACATGAGGGTGGACTTACGGGGGTGAGGAGCTCAGGGGTGGAGATTGGCGAGCTGTCGCTGTTCAGCTTGATCCCACTGCCAAGGTCGAAGTCACAGATCTTGACTGGGGAAATCTGAAGATACAAGTTCAGAATCATTTAATGATATTTACATTTCGTGGTTTTTGATCTTTAATTTTTGTAGACCAGCTACTTGTGGGGCCAGAGAACTTTTACTGCCATTGATAATTACCAGTGTTCCTGTTATCATTTTAGAGGGCCTTATTGCACGTCATGAGATGCCTTTTGGACTAACTGTGCTGCAACATGGTTGTAGTAAACTCACCTTGTCTGCACTCTTGCAGAGAATGTTCTCAGGTTTCAGGTCTCTGTGTGCCATTCCTAGAAACATAAGAACAGCTTTAAAAACAACCACGCATTTGTATCCCAGGGCCAACAAATGGGGCTTTGTGTCCTTTAGTTTGAATATGAAAAAGAATGAGCTAGCGGCAGCAAGCGGACGTTTACGGGACCGGAAGTAATCAAATGTACGTTAACTACGTTGAATTATTTTGTTGTTTTGCATTAATCTCTGCCACATTAATAACAGATTAATGAGTTTATGTTTACAGCCCTAATGTATATGTGAAAATGTTCTTAAACTAGGGTATTAAACCCATGTCATTGATGTTGATCTTTTTTTGGTGCTGATGACGAGCGCCAACATACGTGACTATCTCGTACAAGTGGTCTTACCCTTGTTATGCAGGAAATCTAGAGCACTGGCGATGTCCTGCACAACAACACTAGCTTCCTGCTCACTGAAGTACCGTCTCTTGTGGATATGCGCCAAGATAGACCCTAAGGGGGCAAAATAATGTGAGTATTTAAGCTGTATTTGCAAGTGTACCATCGCTAGTCTACAGAAGGGTACACTTGCGTTTAAAAAAAAAAAAATAAGCATCCTGGAGCAGCTATAATTTACAAACCTCCTCTAAGCTTTTCAAACACCAGGTAGAATTTGTCTTCCTCTTCGAAGAACTCCACCAGCTCCAGGATGTTACTGCAGAAAAGAGCACTGTAAGCGCCTGTCAACAGTCATCTTGGGTTGGTCAGTGGTACTGTCCCCATAAAGTCATCATTTGGCATTACTTTAGTTGGCTATGACAAAAAAAAAAAAAGGACATTACCTGTGGCCCTGGCACTGATAGAGCATCTCAACCTCACGGAAGACACGGTTTCGGCTGTGACCCGGTCGCTTCTCAATGATCTGTAACGGAAAAACATGTTCAGTCCCTTTATCACATTATATTCCACTGAAGAAACTAGTGCAACCTTTCAACAGCAGTGGATACAATTCAGTCCCGCTGCACCCAAAAAGCCCACCAGGTGTTGCGTTTGCTGTATAAAACAGGGTATATAATACATATAACAAGCGTGGGGGCTTGTGTCCTTCCAGACCAGCATTATCTGCTTTCCTACCTTTAGCCGCCGCCCCCCCGTGACACAGTTCTAAAGATAGTCAACCTACTTCCAGTGCCACCTGCCAAAGCAGGAAACGAATGGGAATGTAACAATCTATATTTAGCACTTCACACATGACCCATATATAAATCTTAGTGCTCTTAGGGAGCCAAGTTTGTGCTTTAAGAACTTGTCATCGGCTAATCAAACCATTGCTGGCCACAAACCACAAGCTGAACGACCCCCTGCCGAGCGAGCCAGAAAGACAGACTGCTGACACCAAAGAAAAAGGCCTGAATTTTCCAGCCCTAGTTGGTTATTGTCTGCTGGAGAGTCTGTGCACATTTCTCTTCCTGGTAGCTGGATTACAGTTGCTATTGAAGCCCACTGGGGCCAGAGCTGCAGTGTGAGAGTGCGTGTTCAGGATTAATAAACGAGGCTGGGGAGCAGTCCAAAGCCTCTGGCACTGTTCTAGTGCGAGTGAGCAGAACAAACAGACCCCCCCCCCCCCCCCAAAAAAAAAAAAACAACATGCCTAGATTGACAAGCAGATAAGAAACAGCCCAAAATTGCTGACAAACGCATCATCCACATAAGTGGGGGGGCAGTTATTAAAGTACTAGAGTTATGGTAATTTGTCCTAATAAAAGATCAGAAGTACCGCAAACTGCTGCCAAAACAAGGGCCCAAACCCAGGTCGGGCTGGCCATTCCCATGACCAATTGGAGGATACCTTTAAAGCATAAGGATTTGTGGGGGAAAAGCTTCAGATGGCATGCAGGGCACAGCCCTCTGCTCACCCTTGGCGCTCTGAGGCTTTTGTTGCAACACTGGGAGCCCACACATGCCACTCACCCCAGTCTGGAGGGGGAGGGGCGAGACAGGACATCTGGCAGCAGCCCCCTCAGACTCCTAAATGACCTCCAATAACTGCCGCCCCTCCTCCCCCAGAACTGCAAAGGCCCAAGGGATCTACCAAACTATCGAGGTAAACAACGCCAACGGATTGTTGTCACACGACACATGAATGTGTGCTGAGAATCCTCTGAAGTATTAATTAGTACAATATGGACACTTGTCTTAAGGGGAAGCCCGTGACTTGATAAAAAACACATTTTTTAAACACATTTTTTAACCATCAACAGAACTTTACTAAAATTAGAAATCAAGCCACAGTTTTGTTTTTAAACTTAAGGGCCAAGTATTAAAAAAAAAAAAGAAACTCACCACAGCTCTACTTTCAAGCAAAGAAAGAATCTTTCAATAATTATATATATATATATATATATATATATATATATATATATATATATATATATATATATATATATATATATATATATAAATAAAAGCAGTGTATTCACATGTCCAAATCCCCTTGACAAAAAAGAAAAAAAACTGAACGGAACTGAGAAGACTAACAAAGCTGTACAAAACACTGGGTCACAGCCCTCACCCGGCGCCCCTCCTTCCACTCAATATGCATTTTGTTTTGGCACAGTAACCAGTACATTATGTTCTCACAACGAGCGTCCTCTGTAGGCAATAGGAGTAAAGCAAAGGGAGTAGGTGTACCCCTCAGCTCTGATAGGCTGGCCATCTGTAAAAACATCGAGGGGACGTGTCTAACATGTGCACACTCTGGAGGAGAAAAAAAAAAAAAGAAAGTGCAGCAGTAGCACAACACAGATTAGAGCCTGCAGACATTCACTCTAGGAAGCTCAATTTAGAAAAGAAATAGACTTCCTCTCAACACGATTTCTAAGGAATGTACAGAGAAAATAAGACCACGCCGACTCACATCCTGCAGGAGGCTTTTCTTTCATTTAGCAACAAAATCCCATGTAATGACACTGTACAAAGGCATGTCATCATTCTACTCCTATCTCAAATTTAACCACGGGCAGTCTCAAAAATGTGACCCCTCCATATTGCTCACCAGCCATGGTGCCCCTCACAGACAACAGGCAAGTGCCGTGCTAGGCTACGCTACGTGGCAACGATGACATCCACAGACTCGTGAAACCGAAGCAAATACAACGCGGTCATACATCACGTGTGTTAGAATGCCTGCTTACCTTCACAGCATACTCTTTGTTGGTGATGAGGTTGAAGCATGTTTGCACTCTGGCATAAGCACCTTCTCCTAGTAGCTCTTCATGCAGCCTGTAGACATCTGTAGCAGAGTTTGCAGCGTCAGGAAAACATTCAAGCTGAATCTCTCAATGCGCACCACACTTAGTGTAAGGAAGCGTTTTTTTGCATGATGCTAGAAATAAAAGCCTTTACCCTCGAATCGTCCAGAGAAACTGTCCGTTGCCCTGCAACGCTTTTTCTTCTTGTTTCTCTTCTTGGCATCGGGGATGTCAATAGGCTGGCTGGAGGGCATGTCTGTCGAAATACGAGTGACAACATTATCATGTGCTAGTGAAAAACAACCCAAATCAAATTGAGGAAAGCACCAAAGAGGCAAACAACCCGTACTCTTGAAAGAACTACGATGCCCAGTTATCAAAGCTAGACGACAAAATAACTGGGTAATTATTACAACTAAAGCATTGTTGATTACATTACATTACAGGTCATTTAGCTGACGCTAAAGACACTTAGACACTTTAAACCCATGGCCTTTACATTTTGCCCGGGGAGCAATTAGGGGTTAGGTGTCTTGCTCAGGGACACTTCGACTTGAGACATAGGGCAGCCGGGACTCGAACCACCAACCTTGCGGTTCCCAGTGCACCCGCTCTACCCCCTGCGCCACGACGCCCCCTGATTACATTGACGAACAGATAAGACCGTTAAAGATTACACTTAAGGTTAAAACGCTCACCATGTCTTGGGGAGGAATCAAAATTAAATGACGAATCCAGAAGATGGGATCCATTTTTGGTGAAGTCATCAGATTCAAAGGGATTTTGGACCTAGAGAATGAGGATTAAAAAATGTGCTTGTTAACATTTGACAACTCAATCTACAAGATATTGCAGGGAGAGGATACATTGTTAGTCGTAAATGGTAGGAGCATTTGTTATCGCTCATCCTAAAACGATAAACTGTCAAAGTTGACTCACAACAGAAAAACAGCTGACGGTTGCAAACTGAAGGTTTGCTTCAGTCACGTAATGCAAACGCCTACAGCGGTCCATGGTAACAATACAATCGTGGATCTTGCGGGATTCGAATGAGAGAGCCACACATCCTGCAACAGTCCCACAACTCTGCCACCCGGTCATGGCCCACCTCCATGAGCATTACTGACTGTGCACGTGCAACCAGACCACACATTTTGGTACGTGGGAGGGCAACAGATGTGTTTATATATAGCGAGGTGGGGTCCTTCTCATGCATTCTGACAAACGTGCGATTATAGAGACTTCACAGAAGGGCATGGTGATGATTGCAGCTCTGAGTTTTCATCCTCGAATGATTTTAAACTCACCTTGAAGGAGCGATGGAATCCAGTGACTTCGGTCATCTTGTTTTGCACCATATTTGTTTGGGTTTTTTTTTTGGCGGATATGCAGCGTCAGTGGGCTTTTTAGTCGGTGTATCAATTTACACGTCTCCAGAAACAAAGTCGTTTCAGAGGGAGAGTCGCAAGTGATCAAACTGCGCTGTCGGCTGCTGCGGCGTTTTATACGGGAGCCCTGCGGACGACACGAAACACAAACGCAGCGTTAAAACCCCCAACTCCGCCATGACAGAGCACCCTGAAACCAACGGAAGTCTAATCTACAAAGAGTTTACACAAAAGCTTCAGTTGACGAACCCAACCACGGCAGAAAAACATTAGCTGATGTTCGTCAAATGTTCCCGAAGACTCCGAAACAACAAATCAAGAGAGCAGCAACAGCAACAGAGAGCTAACAGCGCCAGTCGTGTTTAACCGTTACGTTGCGTGGCAGCCATTAAACGGTAAACGAGCCAAGTTAAGAATGTGTAACATTGAATGTCCTAATAACTACATTTTGGGCAATATTAGAATACTATATTTAATAAAGCAACGGTGTATTTAGTCCAACAGTGACGGAAGCAACCGTTTCAACAGGCCGTTACCGTCTTTAAGTGAACACTGAGTCGCAAAGGCTTAACGTCACACGTCTAACTTGGACGTTTGGTAACTTAACGATGATTATTTAACAGTGTGACGACGAAGTTGTTATGCAAGAAGAATTATAACATTCTCCAAACAAGTGGCGAAATGAAAACCTGTCCAAATCATTTTTTTTTTCTTCTTGGAACTCACCCCGTTGTTGATATTATAGCTCCAGCGTTAGCGTCGTTGTTTGACCCGCTGCTTCATAAGCCGCAGAGGACGGTCGAGGGAAGGGGTCGCCTGATCGTGAATGCGTGGAAGGTGGTGGAGAAGCTACAACGGAGGTGTTTTTATAACCTCCCTGGTGGCTCCTCCTAGTCTCCGCCCCCTGCAGGGCACACTGTCTCACGCGCTTTCTGAGAACGGATATGGTACCATTTCGTTTATCTACGACAACTGTATCGCTTCTCAAAGCAATGCGCATGTATAGCTGCCCGACGTGGTGGATAATTCATACAATAATACAACAACTCCATTAATTATGTAATTTAAATAGTTTAATATCGAATATCGGAGCGTAAATCAAGGAAAGGTCCAGGAGAAAAAGATTGTGACCCACGAAATGGAACCCAGCCCGGGGGCTTTGTTTTGCTTGAGGGGCCTCAGCATAGGATGTACAGTGGAAAAAAACGACGTGAACGTGCACATAAACACGGTCAGCGCCTCCGGGTGTTCCGTGTAAAGAGACCTTGATGGAGAAGGAGTGAGGCGGATCAACCCGTATAACAAACCAGATCCACCGGTTTAAATATAGTGTGCGTTTAAAAAGCGTTTATATCGTAATAGCTGTGTGTTGCTGTCACTGGAGGTCAAGGCCATGTTGAATAGAAGCTGACCTTAAGAATGGCTTGTTGGCAAGTTGTTCTATGTTAATATATAGATAATGAGTGCAAGCAGATATTCGGCACCCGTCTCCCTCTCTCTGTAGTTCCGTACACCTAATTATTCTGATTTATCACCACGGATGTTGTTAGTAATCTGACTCATCCCAGTATCACACATGCACATGCACACGTACATGCACAGACCCAGTTTCAAGTTTAGAAAAAAATACATCAACCATTAAAAGTGCATGAAGTAAAGATGCATTAATAGTGTTACATACTAATGTCTAGTTCTATGGGCATCATGTTTTATAAGGTCATGTTTCATATGTTAAACTTACAAATATATACAAAATAACCACTAACTACATTTGTCGTGAAGTGTTGTGGAGTACAAATTACTCCACAAATTACTTTCAATCGCTGTATGCAACTAGAACATTTTATCCATTCTTTGGATTTTATCAGATTAACATTGATAGGTTTGAGGTCTATTTGCCCAACACACACACACGCGCACACACACACACACACACACACACACACACGCTTTTTGTGAGTGTTAAAGGTGGACAGAGCAGTGTTTGGAGCCACAGGGAGGCTGTTCCGAAGAGGGTGAAGACGCTGATGATGTAGAAATGTGTGCTCTCTTCACCCCTCAGCTAATTGTGAGATGCCAACGCAATACTGCCACAGACATGACAAATCCATTCTGTATTTTCAGAGATTAAAGGGCAATGGTCATTTTACAAAGGTATTGTTATCTCTTATTAAATAGTTAATTATTCTTTAAAAATCCATGTAAATAACTCCAGATACAGACATTGTTTGCCATGGAGTGTAAAAGCTTTACTGTACCACGTTCTTTATTGTGACACTGTACATTATGTTCTCTTTGATTGGCTTCGTTAACTATTAATCACTGCACATAATCCCTTGTCCACAGACCTGTTCCGAATTGCGTTGTGGTATTGTTTATCAAAGGTGTTCATGATGAAACCATGTATGGGGTGTTCTCAACTGTCTTATGACCAGAGGCTTTCTGCTTGCACTCCCCCTTTCACCTTCTACCCGTAAAACACAAGCCCAATAGCAGCAAACATTACGCAAGTAGTTGGCTGACTGTCCCGGGCTGGGAGCACATGGTGCGGTCGGTTTAGAGGGAAAACAAGATCACACGTTGAAGTTCAAGGGACGGGCCTGTGTCACCGTTGGTCAAAAGAAGAGGGAAAGGCCCCCATCAATAGCTTCAGATGGCAACACCCAACAGTTGTAATGTAAATGACACCCAATCAGGCGATATACAGGAGGGGGACTGGAATAAGTCTGTGCACTTGCATGGTTGTGTTTAAGGAATGGCGTTCTCGTATCGTTACCGTATCACTTTCCAACAGATGCTACACAGTCATTTAAATCTGCAAATGTTTCGACATGCGAACCATGCTGAGATACCAAATCAGGAACGAGACAAGTACGATACAATACTTCAGTTTGACACAGCGGTGCAAATAGGGGATTGCGTTTGATACCTCTGTCAGCGCAATTGTCAACATCATTTTGACTGATGTGTGGTTGGAATAATGTTTTCTCAACTGCAACGGTAACAGTTTTATTTACGGTTGGAAATTTTTCTTCAGTAGGAAAGTTGCCCCAGGGTGCATTGTGGTTCTGAAAAAAACTTCCTAGAAATAAAATTCCTGGAAAAGAGCAGTCTCTATCCTGGTAAACAGTAAAAATGTATTAACTTTACGTATTGCAGTGGAAAGACAACATACTGGAGCGCTGAAATGAATCCCTTATTATTCAGCACAACTCATTTAAGAAAGAGTCACTGAGGATTTTGCAAGCAAATGTTTGGCAGTTCTGCATAATAAATATATATCAATGATTCATTATTAACAGAAGGCTCGGGGGCTTAAATTGAGCCACGAGTTAACCTTTCACTGGTGATCCACTTGAATAATACTTCATCTTGTTGTAACATTTTTTTCTCCTCTTGAGCAACAGACCCCTAAAATCCTGAGGCTCTTCCTCTTTGTATTAACTGCATCTCTACTCGTGCTGACCAACGCACAAGACACAAACCCGTTCAGGGTGTGTGCCCAGTCCAAAAACAATGTGCTGAGTCATATTATCTCCCAAACCCTTGTCTCTACGTGGAAATGTACACCGCACCATGAAAACAACGGGCAGACATTGCTGTGTAAACCCTGACAAGAGTGTGACGAGCTGCCGCCTGATTGGCTGCGGCCGCATTCCCCGCCCCCCTGGAGCCTGGCCTCCTTCCAGTACTTTCCTTCTCCTCATGCAACCCCCTCTGGAGCAGTCCGGAACATTCCAGAAGAGGAAAACACGGCGCAGGGGACGGGGAGTGTCGGAGGAAGTGACAATCCTGCAAGAGGATCAGGTTTCAACAGGCCATGGGGTCATTTGCACAGTGGATGTTATTGCGGCAGATAATAACATCATGCTGGTTTATTGAAATTTGTCATAACATGTGCAATGTTATTGTGAACTAATTGCTCCCCAGGCAAAAATGTAAAAAAAACGAGTTAAAAATGCAATGTAAGTCGCTTTGGATAAAAGCGTCAGCTAAATTGACCTGTAATGTAATAATGTAATGTAACAGGGTACAGGCATGGGATCTAACTAAGTACATTCACGCATACTTAATTACATGGTGCGGTTCTTTTTCTCTTGACTACTTCCATTTAATATTAATTTAGAGGCCTACTTACTAATTCATTTGCAGATTAAAATCATAATTTCATAACGTTATTAATTCTGCAGTGTTACCATAGATAAAACAGCATATACGACCGATAACTGCTTCTAAACTGGACCAGTCTTGAGTCTATTCATGACCGTTGCTATTCGAAACAGAAGTTATTCATCACAGCAGTCTGGCCTGTTTCTTGCATAACAAGTTTAATCGAATCATTAACCCGTATCAGGTCCAGCAAGGCCTCAGTTCCTCTCCATGACAATAACTGAGACATTGGGCAGATTGCCTAAAGCTTACGACATTAGACTGCAGGATAACGGTTATTTCCTCCCTACAAATGCTTTCTGGTGTCTGACGCCACCCAGTGGACAGTTTAACATGTAGTCTTTCAAACATTGTGCTGCCACCTGACTTTCGGAGCGTGAGGTGTGAGGTTTAAGTCTCGTGTGACCTTCAGCTGCCTGGCATATCTCCAACGAACACCTGCAGGTCTGACATCGGAGAACCTGCCTGGCGGCCAAAGGCGCAACGTCGCAGACTTGATGTCGCCAGCAGGCATTTAGAACTGTGTGTGTCATGTTGATGGTACCAAGCAGCACATTTAGTTAAATATATCAAATGGTGCCTAAAATATTAAAAAAAAGACTCCCAGAAACAGAAAAAACATGTAGTTTTCTTATTGGAACATTTGTACATAAAACTTTCCCTGCTAGATAAAAATACCAAATTACTATTACTGCATTGATTGTTGAGATTTTTGTCATAAAAAACTGTTTTTCAGAAGAAATCTGGACAAACCCCCCCGATTGATTAGGTGGGCATTAGCCCGTTGCTATTAGCTACAGAAAGGACCACCATTCACAGTTAATTTAAATACTGATTGCCAAATTCAATTTCTAAACAGAAATGTGAACATAGTGATTTTATAGATTAACAGAAAGAAAGAATTATATTCATTTTAGACAGAGAAAAAAAGCATCCTAAAATAATTGATTCAAATAAAATAGAAAAATATCAACACAGACATATACCTCTTAATAGTTTGCTTGAAAACTGTTCTCAAAATGAACGGATTGCCTCATTTGACGAGGTTAAAACGCACATTAAGTGGCTAAAATAGATTACAGTACTTAAATATAAAAATAGACTCTTTTTGAATTTCTTTCTTCTTTTAGTTCTGCAGTCTTCTCGATGGACGGTTGTGTTCGGCGGGCGCGTGTCGACCGGCCAGTCGTGTTCCCTCAGTGACACATTCGAGAGGTCATCTCCTTCTGCAGACCCAACGAACACAGAACAACCAGTCAGAGCAGCAAAGGAAACACTCCTCAAAATGTCAACGCACTTTAGATTGCTGTGAGCGGGCGAGGGCTAAGTATCAACCTGCCACTGGCCGTCGATATCACGCTGCATTTCACCCCCTTCTGACATCTACTGTGCGAGGGTAGCTTTGCTATATCCTGTGCTTAGCGCCACCCATGATGATTGTAATTGGTTTAAGGAAATACAAACAAGCCAGAATGATCATGTGTGGTGCTACACCCTGTCTCTAGCTCTAAGGAAAGCAGCCCGGATGAGAGAGACATGTATTAGCTTATGAGGAAAATATCATGTCTCGATTACATGGTTTGTCCATCAGAGGACGTTTATTCATCGATTGTGCTACTCCCAAAAAAGATCGATCCCCTTTTAATTGTTTGAGAAAACCACCCTATTTCAACTCTGGTTCAAAATGTTTTTCATAGAGCAACGGCAATTCTACTATTTCAAAACACATTATTAATTTTTTTTTTTGCATTCAGCTGCAGGTCAGATCCTCTTGACTCACCAGAGGCTCCAGCTCTTTGTGGTCCGTGAGGTTAAACTCAGTGACAAAGTAATAGAAATGCTTGTAGCAGGTATTGACGTGAGCCTCGGCCCCCATCTGGCTCACGCGGTCAAAATGGTGGATGTAGACGTGGACAAACACCCGGAACAGACGAGACAAAATCTTCTTGGCCACCTGCATGAAGGTCTTAGGGAAGGGAGTACCTGTGAGACAGACAGATGGAGACGGGAGAACACCGCGGTCAGTCCAGGATAACCATATGCTAATTGCTTCACAGATGATGATATATTTGAACTGAGATGAACTTTTCAGTGTGTTTCTGTGTCGTCTGGAGGGGCTCAGGATGGATACAAGCATGATAAAAGGACCCAGCCAAAATTACGTTGCACATTAATGGAAAACCAACAGAATTTGGGCTGCACAATAAGCCTTAGCTTATCTGGTGATTAATCAAGTATTTTGTTTTGCTTTGATCAATTCAATGATATTTCAGGAATCCGTTCCGGAGGTCGCTTCTGTTCAAAGCCTCCTTTATGTTGTGTGACACATTTTTTTAATCCATTGCTTGGATGTTTCTGTAGTTAGTCAGATGCCGAGGCCACAGTATTAGGCATGCACAGGCGCACAGAGCTACAAGCTGGGATGATGGGACACACAGGATGCCACGCAGCATCAGGAAAGTAACTGCTGGTGTTTGCAATGTGCAACAATGAAGGAAATCTAATGAATGTGGCCTTGCCAATTAGATCCAAAACATGTTTTGGTTACTGCAAAACTCTGGCTTCAGATGCGAAATGGATTCCCTCTGCAGAATTGTATCACTATCGATTTGAGCATCGGTTTGATTGATGTTAATCAGCAGGATTGTTTTGCATTTGTTTGAAATGTCTTATAAATAAAGTTGAATGTACATTCAGCATGTCTGATTCGGGATGAGCACTGAATATATTGGGCAAATTTATATTGAAGAGAAAATTAAATTAATTAATTGTCAAAAAAGGTATCGGCCGTGTTTGTTTGGTTTCTGTGGACATTATTAATGGGAGGAGAGTTGATTTGCACGCAAGCTGAGATCGCGACCTGATTTCAACCAATCCCTCCTCTACTGTAGGATTTATTGGAAGTAAACTACGAAGATAAAGTTTCTCTCTTTTATAAGACGCACAGACCCAAAAGGCATAGCAAATGATTCTGGATCTCTGCATGACGCGTTTGTTAAGTCTTCTTAACACACAATCTGAAGCTTAAGCTCACCACTTACCTACATTGGTGGGGAAGATGTTCTCATTGTTGATTTGTACCTCAATCCAATCCATGAGCAGGCTCATGTATTTGGGGGCCGGCAGTGCCGTCGGCCTCTTGTACTTGTGCTCATCCTGCCAGCGGTACTCGTACTTGGGCCCGCCGGACATGACGGGGCAGGTCTGATCGGTGCAGGAGTCGCTGATGGTGCCGTAGATGAAGTTGATGCGGTGAAGAAGTCGACGACGTGGACGGCCACCCAGTCATTGAGGTCCTCGCCGTGGGGCAGCTGCACGGCCTGCTTCAGGTCCAGCCCCGCGTTCAGAGACGCCTGGGCCTTCTTGTGAAGGTCGAAGCGCTGCGTACCCGGCTCAAACTTACGCTTGGGACGGAATGTCCGGTCTTTGTTGAAGACCTGTTTCAGGGCCATGGACATGGTTGCATGTGGTGGCGCTACGGCAATAGGTTTCAATGCTTCTTGTGAAATGTTTACAGTTCAGATAGAAGCAGTCAAAAGGTTGCGTAAATAACCGCTGCCAAAATGTTATTATGGACAATGTTTTGGCCTTTGATTGGACTGTGATCCTGCGTACGATTAAAAGGAGGAGAGAGAGAGAGAGTTCAATTAATAAATGTTATGCATACTAATGAACTGAACCAGTGTTTTATTAATAAGCTGTACGCCACACAATATACAAGTCACTGATCAGTGTTTTAAGCTTAAAGCAACAGGCCTCACTTAAACATTGCTTTCCTGGCTGTACAAACTAAACGTAACAAATGTATGAATACATGTGATGTATTAGCAAATTAATAAACGGTACTAAGCAACGTGGTTAAGCACTCTTCAAAATAAAGTGTAACCATATGATTTAAGTATCATAGCAACATAGAATTAATAGTTGAGTTGAACAAAAACTAAATGAACCAAGTCCTCTTCTCAGCTCTAATGCGATCGTATTAAACGTGTAATACATCAGAGCTGGCTTGGAAATTACGCAACAATAGCATCTGTGTTCCAGTTCTCTCATTGTCCTGGGCCTCACGTTGCTGGTAGACATGTGGCAGCAGTATAAACCCCCCACCTTCCTTCTGTGGAAAGTATTAATCACAATACTTATAGAGCTCGCATGAAAAATGTGGGTCAGGTCACGATCGGACCCTAAAAGCGAGGGATCACCACACGCAGGACACGTCCTTTACCGCCAACATGTGAGAAAAAGGCACACTTGGCAACTTTGACTCTTCTGCTCGAGCATCCCGGAGGCAGAACAAGTCTCAACAGTGACGGAACATCGCCTCCAAGTGAACATGACTCATTTCCTTTTCTTCACCTCAGAACTCCGCCGCGACCAATAATCAGATAAGGGTCATCGGGGGCGGGGGGGCGAGACAGTAAAAACCGAATTAACGAATTAAGGCGCGTCGCTCTTATCGTCGCAGCGTAGCAGACGTTTTTTTTATTATCGTGTTTAGCACAACTTTAAGGGACGGCGCGAGAGCAGAGAGATTAAACCCGCAGGGCACGTGACGACTGCGCGGAGTTTAAGTCTCGTTCCGTGAGAAGCTAACGGCGCCGGACTTGTTGCTTCGCGGAAGAGAGCTAACGGCTAATGACACGGACGACACGGGAGAGCCCCGCGTTATGTAGACACGCTGTTCACACCACGGCGTAGATAGAAACCGTGTAAAAGACGGCCATTATCTCAGACACACGATGAAATCGCGCAGTGGAAAGACACTTTCACCAACTTACTTGTTCCGCCTTCCTGTTCCGTTAGTTTCTCTCGATCTTTTTTTTTTTTTTGTTAGATCGAAAACGATCTGATTACCAAACAATAGCTTTACGTTAACGACATGCGAAGGCTACATTATGGACACGTGGAGCGATACATGTTGTATAATTACCGTTAATTTGATAAACATGTCACTTAAATAAAGAAACTAACGTCTGACTCCTCCCTACGAAATGAAAAGTACACCAGTGTCAAGTTAGAGATGTTCGTGTCAACTTCCGGTCATCGCCTTCAAAGTAATGTACCCCATTTGACCGGTGTAATGCACAAAACATGTACTCATTTATAATTTGTGAGCGCCAAACTGAAATCATAGGATCAAGGACAATAAGCAAATATATATATATTGTAGATCCACAAAATGAGATGAAATGAGATGATTAAACTAAAATATTAGTTTTGAGCTCATGGTAGGGTGCATATTTACGAATTCTTCTCCACTAAATATCAGATCTCAAAAGAAAAGGTACCAGTGAAACCGTTTTTTATAAATTATCATGAATTTTGATTAGTTTATTGATAGTTTTTTTCAAGCGTTAAGATAAAAAAAAACAACCCACTGCATCTGCAACTATATTACTTGTGCAAATGTCACTGCGAGTAGTTGCTTACTTTGTTCCATTTATTGAAAGCATGACTTTAAATTGCTATTCATTCGAAATGCCGCCATCTGATGTTTTACTCTGTAAAAACGTTCCGCCATTATTTTGACTAATCCATCATCTTCCGGTGTCGCGTCCCCTTCAGATGTTGCCCGGCGACTCAGAAGCACTTCCTCTGATGCTCTGTGACTGCAGGCAATGGGAGGTTGACTTAACAACACGGTCAATGTAAACTACTTTAATTAAAGAGATTCTAAACATGCAATAATAATACGCAGTTCAAATAAACCCGTATATTTACACTGATTAGATATCTACTTACTCCTACACAAACACATCCTTAATGTGTATATTTATTCTAGAAAATTAGTAAACTTTTATCATTTGTGCGTTTATTTGGGGGGAATATTGTATGAAATTACATCAAATTTATTCACGTTTTATATCATGCTTAATATGCAAACCGATTTTATTAATTAATTTCGGAGTCTTTTGAAAACAAATTATTATATTGTTAAATGGTTATATATAGTTTGTTGTATAAGAAATTGCATACAAATAATCAAAATGCCTGTATAACCTGATTAAACAAATATAACATGCATGTTACAGGTCATCTTTGTGTTGAAATAAACCAACATCTCACCATTGATCACTGGCTTTACAAGGAATGTTAAAAAAAATATTAAAATATAAGTTCCATCGGTTTATTTCTACTTATATTTGGTCTGGCATAAAAAACGTGAATCCAGAGGAGAAAAACATGTAGCACATGCTTTGACTCTTAACATTCAAACCATGACAGACACACACACACACACACAGACACACACACACACACACACACACACACACACACACACACACACACACACACACACACACACACACACACACACACACACACACACACACACACACATTGAAATCCTCCTTCCATGGCGCACACAGTTAACTATACAAAATGCACCTTTATTGTCTCTGAGGCCTGTTTAGCTGTATGAGAACTGTAGTCAAAGCTTGTCAGTGTGCGCCGTTCATAAGAAGCTCTTTGTTTTGGTGCTTTAATGGCCGGTTGAAAGGATGCTTTGTCGAGCACTGGGACAGAATGTGCTTTGTTTCTCTTTAATTGATAAGCTCGGCGGTGGCTGCAGCTCCCTCCAGCTTGGCCTTGTTCGATATGGAGTAATGGTAAGACCTCATGGACTCCTCAACCTTCTTGAAGTCAGGACGCTCCTCGTGCCTAGCGAGGAAAGAGGGCCTTTTAAAAACCTCTTCACCTGATTAATCATTGCAAGTACTCACAAGTTTGTAGATAGCAGATTGTCTTAATGAACTCAAAGACAATAACAAATCCAATAGGATTTTCATACTAGAACAGCGTTTCATTTTTGAAAAAAAAACCAAAAGCTGTGTTTTCATTTATATCGCTATGTTATTTAACCTGCTGAGTTATTTCACTTTCTTGGTGCCGTATCCTCAGATAATCATTCGGTTACGTTTCCAAAATGGCACTACTTTATATGACTGAATTCTGTTCTTGTCATCTTCACGTAATTTGTTCTAAAGTCTTTTAAAGGGGATCTAAATCAGAATCAAACGCTCCGTTTCTTACTTGTAGATCCAGCATTCCTTCATCACTGTATACATTCGCTCTGGACATGCTGCTGGACACTCCATGCGGTTCCCACTGTCAATGAAGCGCATCACCTCAGGTCCTTTCATTTTCTAGACCAGATTGGGAAACAAAATGAGCTGTAATTCAAGCAGTTATATACAACTGATAGACGACGGGGCTCAGCAGACACACTCGGTACCTTGTACGGTTTCCCTCCGTAGGTAAAGGCCTCCCACATGGTGACACCGAAGCTCCACACGTCGCTTTTACTGGAGAATTTGTGGAAATTGATACATTCTGGAGCGTACCACTTCAGCGGCCATTTACCTGCCGTACGAGCCTGTACAACACGACATGTATGACAACGAGCAACATGTCAGGCAACTACAGTCAACATGCTGCATTTAAAGGGTAAAGGTTTGTGGGGTACGTTAATGATGCCGGGAACTGCAGGATTTGTTCATTTCCTTCTTTTAAATGTAACTCCTCTCCACCATAAAATTTAAAGAGGTTTACCGTAACTACATTTGATTACATGCAACATTTCAAAATCGATCGAAAAAGAAGAAAACAGGACTTTCACTTACTGTAAATACTATATGTCTATATGTATATGCTGATATGCTAAACCAAATAGCAACCACGCTGCAAAACCACCTAAAACCTCTCTCTTGTTTGGATCGACATCAGGCTTATATTATCACCCTCAATACTGATCTGAACTATTAGATCATTTACGTCACATATTTATTTTGATCCATCCATTTAAGACATGCTTCATATGTTTAACGCGGTTAATCCCTACACACCTGTTCTTTAGTGGTTGGGTCACTTTGTCCTGCAGTGCAGAAAAGAAAATCTGGTGTGCATACCTTGTAGTAGTTGTCATCTGCTCCGAGGGCCTTGGACAGCCCAAAGTCACTGATTTTGGCAAACTGTTGCTTGACCAGCAGGACGTTGCGAGCCGCCAGGTCTCTGTGCACAAAGTTCTTCTCCTCCAGATACTTCATTCCCATCGACACCTGGTGCATCAGGCTCACAATGTTCTCCACAGTTACGGTATCCCTATGTGGTCAAAAACATGTTTCATTTCTTATTGTGAAACCACGAAAGAGAAGAAAGGGGAAACTTTATGTTATTTGGAGCCGTGTAAACAAAAGTACCTTGAATTGGGGGGATGGGCTCTTTCCTTACTAACTATGATATAAGGTATAGAGGAGCACCTGAACCTAAATGTATGCTGATAATGATCAGCAGAGGCGTTAACTCACTTATTGGAGGAGAGGAACTTGTTGAGAGGTCCGGCGGAGGCCATCTCCATGACCAGCATCAGATGCTCAGCATTGCACAGACCCAGCATGCGAACGATGAAGGGGTTGCTCAGCTGGTACATGATCTCCGCCTCCCTCATCATCTCCTCCCTCACCAGCTTCTCGTTTTCATTCTTCAGGACTTTGATGGCCACATCAATCTGGCCCCTGAGGGAAAGCAAACCAAAAGCGTTCGGGATGAACGTTTGCCTTTGGAGGCATCTTTAGTAAAACTTCAATACAGTTAATGCTACATAATGTTTCAGTCCTCACGACTCGGTCTTGAGGACTCCCTTCTTGACGCAGCCAAAGTTCCCCGAGCCGAGCTCCACTTCATCAATCAGCAGCTGACTCCTCTGGATGTTGAACCTCCTCACTTCATTGGGGTTGTGGTAGGGGTTGAATCCATTGCAGTCCATCGGCAGAACGTCGCGGTCTGCCGGCACTGTGGTGATCAACTTTGAGGCTGCTGCAACAGCTGACAAGTGAAGGAGCAAACCATGAAGGGTAATGCCACATGTTTGAACGTGCTATTAAACAGCTGTTCAGTAAACAGTAGATTTCTTTGCTATTTTACTGATTTTTCTTTTCTTGGAAACACTGCTTTCAAAAGATTATACTTGTGTGTACTTGTGTGAGTTTGGAAATGCTGCAATTATTTATTTATTACTTTTCTAATGTATGTTGGTGCATTGTTGTAGAGTGCATTGCTAGAAAGAAGCAAACAGTATAGAAAGCACTTCAAAATCAGCTTCAACACTTGAACGCTGCTCATACATAGCAGGAACTTTGTCAACCATTGACACTGTAAGTATGTTACCAATAACAATATACTTCAGAAAAGGTATTATACTTTTCATTGAGTATTATTTTTATATTGTTGTATTGGTACATTTAAATAAGTTCAAGATATAAATATTTCTTCCCTGATTGATGCTTTCACTGTTTTCAATGTACTTTCTTCTTCAGTTGTGCGTATTTTAAAGGCAAATATATCCTGTTCAGATACTTTTTAGACCAGTCATTTTAGATGGAAGTGCATATGACAGAGCAGCTGTATGGGGATGAGATGCACTTCGGGTGGCTGACCTTGAGGTGGCGGTGTGTATCCATTCTGGCCGGCCCGCCTCTGAAGGAGAAATGTTCAAATTAATCTCCGTGAAAGAAAAACAGGCAGAATTAAAGAAAGCCGGATATTGTCAGTACTCACTGATGTAGGTAGGGTGGGTGTTTCTGAAGGATCATAAAATAAGACGTTTAAAGTTATGATCAACCAGGTTGAATGTTACAGTTAAACCATAAACATTAAGGAGTTTCACAGCCAGCGCATAATGTTGACGTGCCAGAGAAAAATTAAGTTTCAGTACTTCCGTTAACGCAGGCCTCCCCCAGAATAGTCACCAGGCCATCAGCTTTCATCTTCAGGTACTCCACCAGCTGGAAATGTACAGATAACATTATATTTTTGGAAAAATAGAAAGATCTTTATTCCTTTATCTCCAACATGGATGGATGGAGGGCCGACCTGCCAGACTGTGTCAAACTTTGTTCCCTCTGGCATGGAGTATTTCCCCGATTTGTCTTGGAGGATCTGGTAATGGTACACCGTCTTCCCGTACATCATGGAGAGAGCAAAACTGCCCGACTCCTCTCTGTCTCTAATCCTGAGAAACCCAAAACAGGGATGCTTGCAAAACGGCACAAAGACCTTTGACCTTATGTCGGCAAAGAAAATGACCCGAGAAAAACATCCCCTGAGCAACTTACAGAAACTTGCCGTCCGGTTGCGCTCCAGAATAAAGTCGCCTCTCCCCTTCCTGCCGGGTGACTTTACCGTGATACCAGGACATCTTCTCGTGGGCCGTGGTGGCGATCAGCTTCTCCAGCTGAGGAGCTTGACTGATGATGGCCTGCTCCATGGCTTCTCCCTAAGAAAAAAACAACCAAAGGAAATTCACAAATTTAGACTAATGGACAGTTCTTGGCATGGTTATTTATTCGGTGAAGTCTGTAAAAGTGTTTGCCTCTGAACACTTGACACAATGTGCTGTTGAAAATAAATGTTGCAGCTGGTAGCGTGTGTAATTAGTTTTTACTACTTAAATGTGGTTTGGTAGTTCAGTAACCTTGTTTTTTGGCGGAGAATAGAACTCTCCCAAATGAATGTATGTCTGTTTTTGATTTGACTTTTCTTTAATCTTACTTCCTTCTATATTTTTTGAAACATCAGATCATTTTTAATGTTTTGGGGGAACCCTTAATATTATTTTCAGCAGTGCTTTGTATAAAACACGATTTTTACATTTCAGTATAACTTGTAACTTTGAAATGTGGTTAAACAGAAACAGAAAGTACCTCAGAAGTACCTGATTTTATCTCTTTCTCTAGCACTGCAAACAGGTCCCACTGCAGAGACTATGAACTGTCTAGCTCTTCTTGAACACTGCCGGGAGTCCACAAACATCTGGAGCCAGTTTGGCTGTTTAGCAGAAGCACCCACTAATAAAAGGCTACTGGTCTCAGTGTGTGACTGTTTGCAGCAGGAGACAAATTATAAAACTACAGGATTTTGGAGGGAAGTTGTACATCAGAGAGCCAGACCTCAAAGTGAGTAAATAATAACACTAAAATTTAAAGGTGCAGTTTCCGAAATCACCTGGAAATTCTTCTTATTTTTATTAGTCGATAATAATAAATTCGGTAATTTGGGTGACCTGACCTGTGGAGGCAGAAGTACTCTGATACCTTTACGCAATATTAGTATTATTACCACAATGCAGAAAGAAACAGTACAGGTAGTTTAGCACAGTGGTTTCTAACCTGCGGGTCATGTCTTTCCGAATGGTCACCAGATATACCAGAGTGGTCACAAGATGATTATTAGGAGAGCAAAGAAGAAGCAGACGAAGGCTCTATTTCAGGTGCGTGGGAGGACAGGTAGATCCATCGCATCCTGTCCAACTTTCATTTTTTTGGAAGTAGCTTTAGCAACAAAACACAAATCCGCCCCACATTTTGGAAAAGCCCCCAATGGCCTCTTTAGCACAGGGGTCACAAGCCAAATGCCCTGTTGATTTGAACTTGATTTAATGTGTTGTATTTTAAATATGTATCACATTTCTGAGTATTATATAACATCTTGATCAGCACAGTTACTATATCTGTCAAATGAATGAAGTGCAGTAAAATAGTAGGCCACAATATTTCCTCTAAATTTTAGTGGAACACTCTTATAAAGTTAAATCAAGCCTAAAACATTTATTTAAGTGTATTAATTGAGTAAATCTAAAAAGTTCCGTTACACAAAACGTATCCTTTAATTACTAAATTAATGGCTTGCTTTAATTGTTAATGGAGGCCCCTAATGGAGGCCCCTAATTTGAACTCCAGAAGACTGTGCAACAGTAAGAAACAACAGTAAAATACAGCCTCACCTCCAGGTTCCAGGTCTGCTTCACATACTCCCTCAGCATGTTTTCTCTCACGCTGTCGAACACGCCGGGACGTATCGTGGCGTCCGGGGAGCGCAGACAGGGTTTCCTCAGGGCGCACACCAGCCCGTCGGGGTCTCTGCTGTAGAACTCGCAGAGCTCTGCGGGGCCGCAGTGAGGCTTCCCTCCCCCCAGGCAGTAAGTGCCGTTGAGCTGCTTTTCCACGGGGTAATGGTGAAACTCCACGCCACACACGACAGAGAGCACGTAGCCCCCCAGGCTGCGGAGACACTGCCTCAGCAAGAAGATCCCGTCGGCCATCCCGGCCAGCTTCAGGTGCTGCTCGGCCTCCGAGCGGCTGATGCTACCGTAGTAGAAGGGCAGCTCGGCTGCCGGGTCGATAGACATGGCGAAACCTGGGAGGGATGAGCCGGAGGTAGATGATGGAAGGTAATTACAGAGATAGGAAGCTAAAGCATTTAGCCAAGAGCATGCGATAAGATGAGAACGGTAGACCTCTGCACACCAACAGCGTGTGACCTGTGACTTTTACAGCCTCCCATCCACTGTCTGCTCAAGCAATCGCATTTGTCATCTACCACACGGCAAATTAGGATCTACATGGAAATAGTTTTGATATGGACAACATTCACTGCTAAGAAAGGAAAAACATCGTCATCCGTTGAACCTCAACTCCTCTTCGTCGTCTGTCAACTTCACACAAACAAGCTGCGAGGTGTCATGAGTCTGGATGGTATTTACAAGAAGCACCCGCACGTCGATACTGCGCCAAAGTTGCTGAAGAAAAAACTGGTGACAAAAGCCACAACAGGAAGTTGCAGTCCGCCCTCGCAGCCTCCTTTATCCAGCATCTTGTTTTTCCGTTGAACAGGTGCTTTTTGCTTCGAGATAATTCCTTCTGCTTTAGAGACACAAGTTTGTAAATGTTCCTTCATGCGAGTGAGACATGGGGGGATGCAGAAGAGCTTGTAATGTTATGAAGATATGCTATTATGACATATCACACCAAACCTCAGAATAATCAAAAGGAAAAGATACAAACTAAAACCCCTTCTACCACGATGTGTTGGAAAATGATCTGTGCATTTTTCCCATTTGACTGTTTGAAATCGCCCTCAGTTTCCAGTCTGGTTGAAAAAGGAAAATGCGTGAATGGGGGAGTTCTTTAAATGTAGGTTTGTTTAAAGTTAAAAGATTCCCTGTTGTGCTGAAAAGACTACAGTTTTTAATGCCTTATTCAGTTATGTCATACATATGAACAAAAAAGCTCAAACCCACATTTATTTAATTGAAACTGAGTCACACTGTGTCTTAGAGAAGAAAACAAGTAAGAAAATGAAAACCTCAGCTTCCTGGCTACAAAGCCGTGCTGCTGCCCACATCCACAGTGGACATCCGAGCAGAAACATGTAGATGCCACAAGACATAAAGGACCCACCACAACAAAGATCTCTACACTCAACGATGCGGACCAACAAAAATCGGCAGGTTTCAGCCTGTAACACGTGAGGACGTGATTATTTTTGTAATTATAAATGTAATTGCTTTCAAATTGATCGGTTTAAATTCTGGAAAACTGTCGTTGACATTTTTTTAGAAATAATTGTTTTATAGATCCAATAAACATTTGTCCCGTAGAACATTTATTTCCTGTTGAGATGGCACAAGAACACGCCGCTGAAAAAACAACATGACCAAAATAACCAAAACATGGATCAACAAGTCATAAAAATTCCCACCACGTCTTTGAAAAGAACCCAGATAGTCTTTGCTCAGCCAGTGTTCTTTTCACAAAGTAATTTTTTCGGCTCCTCCACTTAACCGGAAGACCCTGAACCACAAAAGCAAACGTTGGTGAGAGATGAGGTGACACATTACAGAACCGACAGCGTTGCGTCATGTCTTTCTTTTCCTTTCGTCTCAAGACGCTTAAAATGACAGAAACTACTCTAAATACATGTTGTGAATTAGAAAATGATTTTGTAAATGAGGTGTTGCACAGTGAGCAGATGGTGAGCCAGTGAGAAGTGGAAAAATGTTACTTTGTTTTATACAAACAGGGTAAGTGACTGTTCTACGGACCGTAGTGTTTATCCAGAGAGGGAAACGTTTTCTAATATTATTCAGATCACCTGGGATTTTTAATAAAATATAATCAAATATAAAACAAAACACAACCTGCCAAAAGTCAAACTCATCCAATTCAAAACTTAGGCACACAATTTTCTTACCAAGTAAAATAGTTATTTTGATCAGACTGAGCTAAAATTGTGCTATTGTGTTATTAAAAATTGTGGGAAGATATTATCCTATTATTTCACTGATAATAGGAGGAAAATCAGGGAATCTCCAAAAGTCAAAAGGATGTATCCTCTGCAGATCATTAATGTCTGCACAGAAGTTTATGGCAACTATAGTGGACCGACTGACCGGCAGACGTTGACCTCAATAGAGCCACTAGCATACCCTCTAATTTCAGAAATAGACTTACAAAACAACATACGTGAGATTCATGTAAAGGTGTGTCGACCTCATCCATTTTATAGAGGATGTGATCTTTTAGTGAAACACGACACACCCAAACTTATCAAAAATGTGAAAACTTCCGTAGCACGCCAACAGGATCAAGTAGGGGTTATGTAAATAGTGACCTCTTTATGTCGACTTGGAAAGAGTAAAAACACAAAAAGAAAAGCGTTCCAACAGGGTAAAGACTCAGCAGCGTATTGGTGCAGAGTACATCTCAACTGTTTTACTCTTGTTAATCATACATGAAAACACCACCATGAGGTCAGTGATGTAATTGACCATCTAATCCTTCTGAGGTTCTTATTGAATGAAAAGCCATCCTGTGATACCAATTCAGCTTTTAAGGGGATTTTAGTTTAGTTTAGTTTTGGATGTGCTATCAGCATGATGGGTTTGTTCTTATGTTACTCACAGCATTCCTCCTTATATTTATCAGCATTTGAGACCGTGTAGGCATCCTCCACATCATATATTGTGCCCTATTAACTATGCTGCAGCAACAGATTTTGCCCAAACTTGACCTTGTTTCAATGATGATTAAGAAACGGCAAAAGACGTAGGCCGACTTGGATAAGAGACTCATCTGCGTATAAGATCAGGGGCTCCAAACTGAATTACTACTTCCTGTGTTTATGGAAACAAATGACATTAAAATGTACAGTTTACATGTGTTTTTTGCAAGGATTATAATACTGCAGAGTTTTAAAAGATGGAACCTTTTAAAACATTTTTAGATTTAAATACTTTATCTTACATACACAAGCACAACAAAAACAATATGTAACACTCCAGCAGCAAGCTGTTGGTGAAACTTATTTAAGGTTCAAATTGTCTGTGAACTCTTTCACACATACACAGTTAATTACACTGCACATTGTGTGCATATATCCCTCCTTCTGCTTTCCAAACCAATATCGTCAGACTGTGGCTTGAACATTTTACAAATATGCCTTCGTCCAGGAACCAAAAATACATCCAGTAATTTCAAGAAAAGTTATGGGTGATAAAACACACAGGCACAGATCTCTACCTTTTTTTTGGTTTTCTATTTTAAGGCACTATGAAGGCAGCTATTTATATTTTGGCACATGTTAAATGTTGTAAGCCAGCGAGACAATGCCTCGATCCGACTGTGGGGAAAACGTACTTTTTTTACAGCTCATACACAGCTGTGCAAAATACAAAAACAACAACATTTAAGAAGTATATATTTATATTAAGAATAAATCTTAATATAAATATCAATCAATTTATACACATTTAGGTTCATCGTTTTATCGTTTTATCGTTTTTGTTTAATGTTCAGAACATTTTAGGTTTAGAGACTCAATTTGGATTGAATTGCTGTAGTTTACTTTGAGCACAGCAACTGCTTTTATTAAACACCTGTATACGGAAATGTGTGGTTTCAAATATGCGTCATTGAATAGAAAAAAATAAAGGTCATTAACAAGTTTGAGTTCATTCCGTACTTTAGGTTTTTGTTGACACATTACATTATTTCAATAGAATTTTTAAAGTCTGCTCTTAAATCATAACCTTTTGTATTGGCTTTTCGTTTTTAAAATCTCTGTAATGGACCAATACAAAACAAGCTGTTAAAGCAGAAATAATAATAAAACCTACTTACAGTACGTCTCACTGCTTCACCGCTGAGTAGAGCGACGTTGTTGCTTTAGAGACAAACGTGTATCTGCTAATCTGACAGCCGTGTAGGTAAGGATGTGAACATGTGCGGGTTAGCGACAATGACACACACACACGCACGCACATTGTGTAGACAAACGTTATGTTTATTCCTTGCTTGTGTGGATTTTGAATGAAAGATTGATAGTTGTTCAATTAAAAATCTCCACCATAAAATATGTATTTCTCTAAATCTAAAATTCTTACTTTAAATATGATATTGGTTAGCATTGTTTAGCTTAGCATACTGAGCAGAAACAGCTATCTTAATGTTATGTCTGTCCAAAGGGAACCAAATAAAACTGGGAAATAGAAGTTATTTCATTTCAGTTTATTTCTTGTGTCCATAGAGCAAACTATATAGAAATAAATAGTTAATTAATCATCTTTAGAAGAGCTGGCCGGCGGGTGTTATACGTATGTTATATGTATAATGTATAATAACTCCTTATGCTAAGCTAACTCCAGTCCTTGTTACTTCAACCGGAGCTAGTGCAACACAACTTCCATAAAGTAGTTACATTAAAATAACTGGAATTGTCCTCATTTGTATGAAACTAAAAACCATTATGCCACGTACACAGACCACACCGACACCTGTGCAATGACCGCGGTATCGATAGCAGGGTTAGATAAACCCCCCCAAACGCCCACAACCGCCCCAACCCCCCCACTTCTACGGCGGCTGCAGCTGCGTCCTTGGAGTCGCGGATCAGGCAGCCAATCAGCAGGAGCCCTCGAGATCAAGTCTAACAGATGGAAGAAAAACGGACCGGAAAAGGTGTACCTTCAAAACAAAAGCCGAAATCATTACTGAGTTTTCAGCGATGGGCTTATTCTTTTCTCTTATTTGGACACACAGACAGATTATTAACAGTCTTTAAAACATCTTATTTGCCGAGTTGTAGAAAAGCTGACATAAGTGTGGGACACACTTGATTTTCAATCACCACAGCATATAACGCATAAATTACAGGAAATATTTGACCATACAGTCTGAGTTTGAGTTGGTGCCATTTAGGTTCGTCCATTATGTTTCTTTGGTGCTCAGATTACTCGGATGGTTTTACACTCCATATAAAAATAATATATTGTTGTACATTAATAAAATGCACTAAAGACATAGGATGAAACATTTTTTATAACAACGGCTCTTCTCCTGTTTAGTCAATTTTAGGATTAGGATAACCTTCCGTAAATCTATATTGAAGGACAAATCATTTCACACTATCAAAACCATGTTGCTCATTTCAATTGCTAAAACAAGCTGTGGTCAATATTGCTGATATTCTGAATATTCATTGACTAGTATCGTAACATAAATACCTGGCATGTGCACAAGTAAATAAAAATGATCCAAGCAAATCTGATGGTGTGTGGCACAGATTTGAGGTTTTAATTGAGGACTCAGTGCTATTTTAGACATATCAAAGACCTGTGTTTTCTTTTTTCTACATCAATGATACACACATGAGGTGAATTAATTAATTTAATGCTAAACATGCAAGTTTGGGTGATGAAAAATCCAGAGGTCTTAACCAAGTCATATCAATAAACCCGAATGCACTTTCAGTTAAGCTCTTTGTGTTACCCCCTTTTTGAAGACACGACTTTTATTTTGCAAGTTGTAACCGGAAGTAAAATAATCACAGTTTGGGTGAATCGACATCAAACTGTGGCTCTGTGTGGTTCTGGAGGTGGAAACAGTTGAGTCTCCTCAGTCCCCGCCGGCGCCGCCTCCTCCCTGGTCTGCAGCGGAGGACAGAGGACACAGGACAGACTCACGGAGGAGACTTCTGCAAGGAGACGCGGGGGAAGGTAGGTCTGCGCTCTTTGCGTTTTCATGCACTACTCTGCAAGACAACGGTCATGACATGATGCTGCCAGCGGGCCCCTGTCAACTCTGAGTGCGCTCATTTCTCCATTACGGGTTCTGTAGACGCTGACTGTCGCTTTTTAGTCTTTAAAGGCTCTTCAGAGAGGCCTAGTGTCGTCCACCGGGGGGAGGGGGGGGGGGGGGGGGGGTTAATCCAATGTAGCGCAGATGTATCACATAATTAGGCTGGATGTGGTATTTATTACACATGGATGGGAATCTGTGCTTACTGAGTGAATTTGATCAGCTGACTTTGCAAAAATGTGTTTGTAGTTGCATTGTTGATCTTTTTGCAGCCTCATTCGATTGTAAGGATTTTATTTTGCTTATGCAGACATAGATTCTTTTTTTAGGGTTTGGGATTGTCACCATCAACCAAACCACACACACACACACACACACACACACACACACACACACACATGCATGCACACTTGAGATGAATGATCCAAGTTTTCCTCCGATAACTAAACAATGACTGTGTGTTTACTTCAAAATTCACTTGAATACCTGTGAGTAATTTATTGGCGTAATCTTTATGTAAGGCAAGATGAGGCCAGGCGTTTATATGGCACCAAAACTGTAGCTGGCAACTGACCATGAAGGCTGATAACTGACAGTTGTAACACCGAATACCATTATAACGTTGACAAAGAGAGGTTACATCACTAACACACATCTCAACAAACACACATTCACTGGTATTCATTTGAACTACACCAGTGTCCTTATGCAGCAGTTAAAGAAGATAATTGCTGAAACAATTAGTTGAACCTATTTTGACATGGATTCAAGACATTTTTCAATCAAATAAATGTTATACATTCATGTTTCATCCTCACAAAATGCAAAGATTATCGGCTTTCTTTGTCTTACATGGCAATTGTCCTGCACACTGAGTACATTTGGGCTTTTGGGAGTCATACATAAGACTAAAACTATGCAGAAGTCAATGTGATAAGAGACAGAAAGAGAAAGGCTTCCAATGCCATATGTACTCCGTTCCCAGTATTGCCGACTGACTCACTTTGTGTCGAGTCAGCTCTTGCTCTCATTAAATATTGTTTCAGACTCAAGACGCACATTTTTTAGAGTTAGGGGAGCACATTCAAGGTTCTCTGGCCTGTTTATGTTCCTACTCTTCATCTGCACATTGTGAAAGGAACCTCCGCCTTTTTCTCTTTCTGTCTTTGCACCAGACAAAGAGAATGAGAGTACAGTCTAGAAACATACCCCCGTCTCTATTACTCCTATCACCTGTTCGAGGTTTCATGTGGAGATCGGTGCGAAGCTCGACTTCTCGAGGTAGCGATTGCTGCTGAAACCGGCGCAACGTTCGTCTCATTCGATCCCACAGCCTCGTGGTCCTTTTTGAAAAGAGAAGCCGCACCTCCAGTTTAACCATATAAGAAACTGAACCTAAAACTGATTCCTGAGCTTCTCCCTGACAGTGGAAACTGTGTGTGTGTGTGTGTGTGTGTGTGTGTGTGTGTGTGTGTGAATGGGGGGGGGGGTGCTTGACTTGAAGCTAAGCTGAGGGACACTTAGCATCTGTTCGCTCCACACAGCCTTCACTTTGAGCCGGTCATATGGCTTTGATTAGTGTGCTAGTTTTCGGATAGCTCCACTCTCCCTGGCAACAGTTAAAGACAAGGACAGCATAGTTAGCTCTAGTCTTCTCAAACTGACCCCCGCCCCCCCGACCCGTTCTACATCTGTTACACTGCATTAAACACACCATTTAATAGTGGATGACAAGATGAAAGAAGGACGTGTGAAAACAGGATCCGCTGGCTTTGATAACGATGACATTTTTGGCCCACAAATTCCCGCCTAATCATCCCGACGTGTCCAACTCTCTCTCTCCCCCTCTAGTTAACAACTACCCCTTTCTTCTCCCCGCTCACTTTTCTCTTTTGCAAATTGTGATTGCATTGGAAACGATGTGGCCTGTCTTCGGACCATTTTCCCCCTCTGCCGTGATTGCAGCTATATGCTTGATATTCCCGGCTAATCCAAGCAAAGCTCGGAGCGGAGAGTCGGCGTATGTGCTTGCTTGGCCCGCTGACAAACATACTTTTTTGGTTTGGCTCAAAAGGGATAAAACCCAGAGTACGAGTTTTGCACACGGGACCACGAGAGATGTGCGACACACTTACCTCTGCTCTTCTTTTAATATAGCTGCGTTTCTGTGCGGTTTATAATGGAGTTCCTATCATTTAAAAAAGAAAGCTGTGCATGCACGTTACTGTGGAGATCTTTTGAAGGCGGTCCTCAAATCCTTTTTAAGCAGTTGTGCTTAAAGAGCACCGAGGGACCGTACAGCGGGGTCCGGTTCCTCCCTTGTTCTCTTGTTTAAATAAACAAAAAGAGAGTTAGTGGTAATGAAAAGCACTTGATATCAAGCTACAAGTTTAATAACCCCACAATAAATCGAGCGCGGGAGCAGAAGAAATAATGAAAATAAAGGGGGAGTTTGACTTGTGCAGGAAATGACCCGAAAGCCTGAAGGGAGGGGAAGAGAGAAAGACTTTCAGTTGTTCCACGTATGAGGGAAGCTGCAACAGCACCAAGACCCCGTAGTGTTTTCCAAGGAAGCTCCCCTTTCTCTTTACCTTTCCAGTGCTGTTAGAAATTTTTTAAGAGGCACATAAGAGCTCTTTTCAACTCATTCCTGCACACTCCGTTCAGGGTATTAACACTCAAGAATGGCTCTCCCAGCTGGCTCAAAGAATCTTACTTACTCTGCTGTCTCTCTTTCATTCCCCTCGGGCCTTGCGCTCGTTCTTTTTCCTCCTCTTTTTTTTTTTTTTCAGGAGGTAACTTGTTCCCCCGGCTCTCGTCACCAAAAGGTTTCCCATCTGCTTCCGATTACCTTTGGCTGCAGTTGGTTAGCCGCCAGCCATCTGGGCCTGTGTGGCGTCTCCGCTCGCTCCTCTCTCCCCAGACGGCACTGAGGGAGGGACGGGGGCTTGGATAGGAGAGAACTGGGTGGGCAGACTTTACTGGAGAATAGAAATGCTTGTTTTTTTTGTTTTTTTTAGGGGTTTTTTTAGCTGACACTGCAATCCATAGCCAGGAAACGAAAAGTCAAAGAGAAGGGCACCCATGAAAACGTGACTCTTGATCCTGGCTCTGTTTTTTTAATGGGTAGCGTGGGTCTGAGGAAGTCATTTTTCCATTGTTGTTATAAAGCAGACTCTCTCTTATGTTGGTTTTAAAGTATTAAAAACTGAATAGTGCTCAATTATGAAGGAACTTGGCGTCTATGTTTAGCGCTGGACAATTAAATTAGAAGTGTGGAAAAGACCTAAAAAGATTTTAATCTGTGACGTCTGGCCGGCTGAACTGTTGCCTTCAAATGATCATTGAGTGCTGTCATTTAAACTTCCCTTTCAGTATAAAATCGACTCACTGTCAGGACAGATCCCAGTCACAAATACGCATCGAGTGCTATGTCTCGCCATTAGGAAATGAATGTCCAACAGTTCCTTGCAACTGAATGACAAATGAGAGATTGTTATAATTAGCCCCCAAGAAACAGTTGCTCGTCTGTTTGCTTGCCTGTAGTTTATTTACATCCTCGTCGGTTAGAGTTAGATTGTTTCCTATAGATAACCTTGCAACATCTTTGAAAGAATAGAAGGAAACATGCTGCTTTTCAACATGAGAATAATGACAACAAACCGAGGCAGTGTTTGGACGTGGAATTGAGAACGCCAAACGAGAGCACCAGAGAGCACCGAGATGTTGATTGCTCACTGTTATGTGTTCAATGTCCTGGTCAATTTGTATCTTGGTCCTGTTTGGAAAAAAATGAAGAAAGCAAAAGAGAATTGTTTGTTTTAAGATTGTTTATTTAATGTGTTAAAACAAGGACTCTCAAAAACCCTGTATCGCTCAGGCTATGATCATCACGGCGCTTTACCCTTTGTCTCACATGTAAACAAACTTCATATAGGCCCTCGTACCATCCGTCTGCTAGCCAGGACGCCAGCCAATTAGTAAGCTGCACAGTCAGGCAGCCAGCCAGCAAGTCGCTCAGCCATACAACCGACCACCACAGTCAGCCAGCGAAGCAGTGATGGCAACCTGCTGCTACTCTGAAATTGGCTCATTTTACCCCTAGAGCCTCTGACATAATACCCACTTCAAGCCCTGTTTTGGGCATTAAGCGCAGATTTTTACAAGATCAATGGCTTCCTTTGTGTTTGAACTCTTTCCGGTGGGCAGGCAGCTTAAAGAGCGGGGCCTCAGGGGCCCCAGGTTGGGACCCGCTGTTGTCTCTGGTCATCAGAGTGAAAGACATGGTGTGTGCCCTTCGCCAAAGCCAAGATTGATTAGCTGAAGGAACAATGCAGGACAAGGCGGTCCTTCACTGGACGCTGAATATGAACTGGGTGGATTTGTCTTGCTAGACTGGGAACTACACGGGGTCAATGGGATCCCAGACCCTCTCTCTCTCTCTCTCTCTCTCTCTCTCTCTTTCGGTCGCCTTCCACTATATCTCCCTTCCCTATATTTTCGAGCCCAAGTCTCAAACACCCTTGTCCTGGCCTTCTTCTCCCTCATTGAATCGTTTCTTTTCCACAGGGCCACAGAGAGGACTCCAAACCTGCCAATGCTGCTGAGCCCCTCGCCAGATCTGTCTAGGTTTTTCATGAGGACTCGTCCAGGATCCATCACCACTTGCTGACCACCACCCTTCGGAGGCTGCCATGTCCGTCTGAGCCCACACATCCTTGTGCAGCCATGGCCCAACAGAGCACTGAGCTGTCCCGTTGCTAGGTGACAGGGCATCCGAGAGGGCAGAAGACATGTTGGGACGGAGGGCCGGAGACCACTGCACTGAATTCTGTTACTTTACCAACTACTGTAGTAACCATGGAAACGCTACAGAGGGCTGGTCTGGTCTGCATTGTCATCGTCATCACGGTTGCCACAGAGGTCGAAGGAGGTCAGAAAAATGAGTTCTCCCAGTCGCAAGGTGAGCGCAGGCGATTATGTTCTTGGCTCTGACATTCTCAACACACCACGGCCTGTTGTGAGCCGTTTCCTCAAGTTTGGCGATTGTAAAGTTGTAGGCGCATTATTGAAACACGTTCTATATTTACTGTATGGTGATCCTGTTGTTTTATAGAGACATGTTTTCCCACCAAAGAACAGTAGAGTCAGCTCCTCCGGTGTTGGAGCAGGTCGAGGACCATGTTGACCTCTTCAAACCAATCAAAATTTCAATGTCAAAAGAGTTTTAGAGACCTGAGTTAGAAATGAGCATGATATTAACAGCACAGACCTTATTGTCTGAAGTCTTGATGAAGAGTGCGAAAAAAGAATTGTTTTATTGTCTGTGATCCTGGCTTTATACCGTGGGTTGCTTTAATTATTTTCACTCTCTTGAGAGCAAGAGACCTTTAATGTATTTTATTGTCAAGGCGCCCAGATTGAAATCTGTTTCTCATTTCAGCATTCTTTGCTGCCCATGTTTAGAAATTTTGAATAAATACCCGTTTTGAATTTGTATTTAACTTAGTTTAACTGTGATTTAAGGATTAACATGTGTTCCATAGTTACCGTAATTGTTTTGAATTATAATTCACATGCACAGTGCTCAAATTGGAAAAACCTGTGTGAAATCAGCCGTAGAAGAAAACATTTCAGTTCGGAACCTGTCCTCTGACCGGCGGCGGCGCACTGCAGGCCTGCAGGTCCAGGCTGCTCAACTTGAACTCTGTGTCCACAAATTGTGTAGCTGGCTCAGCCACGTGCAACCCCCACCCCCTCCACCTCCTCCACCCACCTCCCCTCACCTCTCACCACACAGTCGCTCTCACACACACTGAAGCTGGAGGGACTGAAATCCGCCTGAAGATTACGGACTGTCCGTGTCTCGTCACCCTGAACAAGGCTGTGATTGTGTATTTCCTAAACTTAACCTCTAACCCCTCACAGACAGCTGTTTCCAATACTCTGCTGTGCTGCTTCCTTGAAAAAACCCACCCCTCAAAACCAGATGTGGTCCAGAAGCTGCGAGACATTTCTATAGTTACAGATAGTTTGGTCTCAGCTTTCACTGCTACGGACTTAATATTTAAAATGAACAATGTACCGAATAACTGTGTGTACTGTAAAAAGAGTATTTTGATATGATGACATGCTAAGCGCCAACCAACAAAGAGACAAACTTGGCAACTTGCTGGTGCAACAAAGTGGCGCATTTAGCGGCTAAAGAGCCAGATAGTTTACTCAGGAGTTGGTGGAGACCAAAAAAGAGCGCGCGATAACCGGCCACACATTGTTCTGGCTGAAGAAGGACCACGCCAAATGATAGCAGATGTTGCGTTGTGGTGGCTGGATGTGGAAATGGGCAACAAGCGCACGATATCATCTGTAAAGGGTCATTTAAATGATATGTTAGGATATGTCATATGCTCTCATTTAGTCACAAGGGCATTAGGTCGGCCACCGGTTTTAGGCGATGAGGCCTTCCAGCTCATCCCAAAGATGTTGGCTCAGTGAGAGCCAATCCAATTGTTTCTCACCTAACTGGGTAAACTACTTCTATATTAAGCTGGTTGTGCACACGTGTCCAGTTTTTAGCACATTTGGGTTGTCATTTCATGTTCGCCAGTCTTACCGGTGGAGGTTAAGTGTTGCAGGGACTAATTTAAAGAGACTTCCCCGCCACATTGTCACCTGGAAGCCGTTAGCCACACAGCGAAAGGATACAAAAGAATTTGGACAGGGCAGTCTGCATACTGTTGGCAGTGTACGTGCATGTGTCACTTCCTCGTGAATGCGACCCAGGCTGCACACAGCAGAACTGAAATGGAGGCACGGAGAGACTTTTTCGCAGTTCGTACGGAATCATCAGAGACCTTTCGCCTGGTCGAAGCCTGTTCGTCTGAGTTGGCATGAAGGTGTGTCTTGGACAGAGGGAGAGTATTTTCCTTCAGCTATTTTCGTTTGGTGATAACAGACGGGTGATGCCCTGCTGATGGGTGTATTCTGCTGTATGAAAACTCTTTAGCCTGGGAGTGTCTCCTGTTGAAGCTTTTTTCCACTCTCAATAAGGCTATTTTGCACTATTGGGCTAGTTTCTCCTCTTCGGTTAAACAGGAGGAAAAATAAATGCGTTGCATATATAGTAATACATTCATAAATGGGTAAATGCTATGTTGAAAAAAACCTCATCTATTCCTCATCTATCTTATTAAAAGTAATGAAATACTTCTATGTCTTTAACCACTTTGCTGGTTTTCGTTAGTCCAAAATGTATTCTGTGTGTGGGCTCGTTAATGTCCTCCTTGGAGGTGAATTATATCTACTTCATTAACACCCTCCCTTCATTTTTCCTCCAGGAGTTTTCCTGTGCTTCAAAGTTAATGGTAATACCACATGCCTGATTGCTCGCGGTGGTTTGTGAGAGCAGGGCGGATGTGTTGTGGGAAAACACAAACTACATTAAGTGCTTCTACAAAGCTCGTCCTTTTAAACAAGTTTGTGAAAAATAAATGAACAATTTACAGGTTGTTGATGGTTGTAGCAGAAATAGCAAGCTAAAGACATTTTTTTGAGTGTCGTTACATATACATAATATGAAATTTTTGCTTGTCAGGGCTCCAGAAATACACCTTCAAATGAATACTAATACACTGAGTATTTGTTTGACTAAATTTCCCATGTCAAAGATACAGCACGAAGGCAGCATTTGTAATCGTGCTCGCTGTTTGTTAAAGCCAGACCTTGCTTTTTCTGCCTACAAAGTGTTTTTCCCACTACAGAGCTCTCCAAGTCTGAACCAGGGAACTCTGATCTCTGGGTATTTACTCTGTGTGGGAAGGGGCTGCGACTCCCAACAACGGAGGCCAGAGGTTTGATGAAAACTGGGCTCTTACTCTGGTGACCTTTCCCCGTTAGTTAGCTGACGTTGGCTGTTTAGAGCTGTGTGTGTTTGGACAATAAATCTCCACCAGGCCTCGGCATAGACTGGAACAGACAGGAAGTATACAGTTTCAGGGTAGCCATGGCAACATCCCCTTGGCCTCATGTGGGAGCGGGTTTCGGAGTAGGACCGAGTCAGTAATGGACCAAAAATTGTGCACGTTTCTTTTTGCCAACAAGGTAACTTTCTCCATAAAAAGCCCCTTGGTGTTATTCTGAATACGCAGCCGTCTAATCCTCAACTGTATTTAATTAGAATCAATTAGGCTAAGCTGAATTTTGGCTTTAATAGGTTAAACTGATTTGTTTTTTATGTCTTCTTTATTACTCTCCGTCTAGCTGCCTTCCTGTCCAATCTAGGTCGTTATGAGATTGCCATCCCAGTACGCGTAGGACCCAACGGTGAGGCGCTGGACACAGAAACGCAGCCACATCACAGAAGAAGGAGCCGCAGCACTGAAGACGGACTGCCCGACTCTGTACTGCCATTTAAAATAGTTGTCCTTTCAAAATCTTTCTCTTCAGTCCCTGTTTCATTATAAGAAATACACTATTTCATCTACTTAATGTTTTGATCCAAGAGTTTTTTTTAACTGAACTGTGTTTTTCCATCTCTTAGCTCTTCTACCAGCTGTCCACTTCACGCAACAACTTCCTGCTTAACCTCACGCTGCAGGGAGGGCTCCTGTCGCGACAGTTCAGGGTGGAGTACTGGAAGAAGGGACGATTAGCCTGGAGTCATCCTTACTCTCCCCATTGCCACTATGTGGGACACCTCCAAGACCAGCCGCACTCCAGCAAAGTGGCCCTTAGCAACTGCAATGGCCTGGTAAGACTGTAACCTGCAGGTCTATTCCAAATCTAATACAAGCAGTGAGGTCACCAGCAACAATAGCTCTGCAAATGAGGGATTAGTAGTTTATTTATTTGGATCAAAGCATGACGTTTTAAGAAACGTTGGCTTCATGCTTTAACCAAATCAACGAGTGCAGTCCCCCAGGAAGGGACATATAATGACCTAATCCTTGGAAGGATTCAGCCTGAAACGTTTATTTATTTTTTCTTCATGCACACCAGCACTGATTATTTTAGCAATTAAGGATACTTAAATTACAATGCTCTCGTTCGTGGCGTGTTAATCAACACGTTATATGGACCGGATTGGAAAATATTGAACGTTAAATGAAGACTGTTTAATAGTTGGTTGTGTGACTTGGATTGATTTTGATTTGGCCACTGTTTAACAATTGAAAACTGGTATTAACCATAACTCCAATACAACACGAGCATGACATCAGTAGGTATCAGACAAATATTGTTTTATGACCAAATCCTTTTTGTGCTGCTCGACGGTTCAGCATCTTCAGCGCTCTGTTTGAAGTGTAACCTCCAACCCACAATGCATCATGTTCTGGCACCTCTTGGGGTTGTTTTAAAGACCGACAAGGAAATGTAAGAATACTATCAACTGAAGCCGTGGTCAACAAGGCAGGTTATGGGAACTATGGACCTTCAATCTTCTATATATTGTAACTGTCTTCAAAGCATTTCTTTCTCACTCTCTCATGAAGAAATCTGCTCGCAATGCCCCAAACTAGGAGATCAAAGTTACCCCCCGCTCTCTAAATCATTGGACTGGATGACTTGATTGTGATGCATCATTTTGTTTGCAGAAATGATTTTTCCTGCATTCGTATCACAGTGTATCCTCTCACTGCAAACCGCAAGCTCCACAAAAACAGTTGTATACACAGCTGAGGATTAGATGTGTTCACAAAGCGTTAATAAGCAGCACACATAATTACTGTTGGTCAGACCAGCATGAGCACATTCGCCATTGAGCGGGCGGCGTGTCCAGGGGAGCAGCACTAACTATATTATGAGATTAAAGGCACTTTGAGAGCCGCCCGCCGCAGTGAGTCCAGCGGAGACACTCGCTCTGAATGGGCCAACACATTTGGAGCGATTCAAAGAAAGTGTCATTGTTTCTCTCTCTGTCTGTTATTTTTCTCGCTCTCAGTCACTCTTTCATGCTCTCACATCTGTGTGTGTCTGCGTGTATATGTGTTTTTTTGTCTATTCGTGTTTTTATTGTGTGGGGTCCTGATGCTGTTCTCAGGTGGGTCAAGTAGAGAGCCCTTTTGAGGTGTTCATAGTGGGACAGTATACATACAAAGTGATATGATGATAATACTAAGCTTAGTAAATAAAACTATCTCTAATTATAACAGGATCACGATTGTGATGAACGCATTTCCTTAATAATGACATGTTGCATGCTATTGTGCTTTTAGGGATTCATTTTTTCGTCATTGCCGTCATCAGTGTATGTTGTATATTTTTGCCACAACAAAACACCATTGTGTTTTTAAACTTTCTGTGATGCAAAATTACTAATTCCCAAATTAATTTTAAATACTCTACAAATATTGTGTTTTACCGATTTACCCGTCGGTCATCTCCCCATCATCTCCATTGTTTTTTGCTTGCGCTTCTGTTTCTTCATTATCTATATTTGAATTGTGATAGTCAGTGAGAGAAGCCTCACTCTGGACTACATGTTTTTGCACGTGAGCTGTTAAATGTTTCATTTCTTTCCAAAAACGAATCTTCTTCGTCTCCTCACGCTGTCAGTTTTCTGACCCTTTAGCACAAAGATCCAACAGATCACAATCACTCTGCTCACCTTAACTTACCCTGCCTGCTTTATTGTGCATTCGTCTTGCAAATATCAAGAGTAAAAGTAATTAATTATAGTCGTTACATTATTGGAGCATTTTGGATCATCGGTATTAGTGGCTTTGCTGTTATTTATCTATTTATCAAGATGAAAAAGTAGACATCCGCATAGTGTGACGTTTGTGATATTTGTTTTATGAAAGCAATGATTCCTGTTATTCCATTCTCTTCTATTTTATTCTATTCTCTTCTATTCTGCAGCAGGGGGTGATTGTTGCAGGGGGAGAGGAGTACCTGATTGAACCCCTTGTCTCACCAGATAACCAGACCAGGACTGAGAAGGGGGAGGGAGCTGAGGGGCGTCCCCATGTGGTTTACAAGCGCTCATCGCTCCGCCATCAGTACAAGGGCCAATCCTGTGGAGTCATTGGTGAGAGGATAGATATTCTGGTATTTCTGGAAGCAGCACGGGTCCAGACAGGAGGAATGAACGAACCCAGGTTTATATGCATTGCAGCCAGCAGCAGAGGCTGGTTGTTGTGTCCAAGTTCCCAGTTGCGATTGGGTGCGACTGAGTCTGTGTTGCAGGGCATTGCTGGAGGAGCAAAAAGTATGTTCGGAAAACAAGACAAGCAAAATGGAAAAAAAATACTTTGTAATGATGAGCTTTTGTTCTGCTCTTCATCCAAGAAAAGAACAATTGTACTTGGTAAAGTAAAGAATAGATGATAATTTATGTCTTTCCCAGTTATGCCTTTAAGTGATTAGAGCTTTTAATGTATAATTGGCTTTCCTGCTGCTGGGCTGCTTTTTTTTTCACTAAATCAATAATTCCCTGTGTGATCTTCCTCAGATGAGAAGCCGCTGAAGGGTGCGTCATGGTGGCAGAGAACTCTGAAGACGCCGCCGCATCATGTGGGCCGCGGCCAGCTGCCTCTGAAGCGCTCAGTTAGCCGGGAGCGCTACGTGGAGACGCTGGTGGTGGCCGACAAGATGATGGTGGGTTACCATGGTCGCAGAGACATCGAGCAGTACATCCTGGCGGTCATGAATATTGTAAGTGTCACAACAAAAGATGCACATGCACAATATCTCAAAAATAAACGCTTCCGCTATTATCGGAGATATTGTTGAGGAATAAAAAAACAAACTAATTAGGCAAAGCTTCATGTCAAAGTGATGTTTTTAGTGTTTCTTAGTTTTCAGCCAATAGTCAATCATAACACTTGTTCAGGTTCAGTAATTCTCTAACGTTAGTAAATTGTTAGACACTAACTTGCATTCTGAGTCTGAGTCCAGAACACACACAAGTAATTTGGAATGCATTAGATTTGTGGTGAAATCATGGCATGTTTAATGCTAAGAGAGAAAGAAAGAAAAGCAATGTTTGAATCAGATGGGCTTAGTTTGGATGTCATCATCCCCGCACTCAGACTGTTACAGAAACCAGCAGCATTTGCACAGCGTTGTTGAGCAATGTCGCCCTGATTCCACCAGACTTCAATGACGTCTAGTCTCTGACTGCAGCTTTAGTGCTAGTTGTGGTTTAACTCTGGACTGTTTCATTTTATTAATGTTGTTGCTTTAGTTCTTTCATTGGACCTTTTGGATGCACTTACTTTCTAAACATCCTCACACTAATCCGTGACTAAATCCGTCTATGGCTTAAAATTGATCTTATTAGTGGCGCAAATAAAGGATTTGCTTCTTTGCAAACTGGGCCTCGACACATCTTAATTCGTGATGGTTTACTCCCATGTCTATTTCTAATGTCTGAACTCTAGTGTAATGTATCAGCTGTTTTTAAGACTGGTCTTTTCTTGTTTCCCTGGAGGTCAGGTTGCCAAACTTTTCCAGGATTCTAGCCTGGGGAATGCAGTCAACATTGTGGTTACGCGGCTCATTCTGCTCATGGAAGACCAGGTACATAGAAATAGTTGACCCACCCTCTCTGTATGCCTCTTTGTGTTCCTTGTTACCTCTTTGACTGCACAAAATTCTTCCCTGACCAGCATCTATGACTTCTTTGTAGTATATAATTCTTGGTTTAAGTGTGATGTGTAGGTGGTGGCCAGCGAGGAAGAGGGAGATGAGAACGGCTGAAAAGTCAGGATATGTGGGTTTTTTTTGTACCTGTACGACCTCTCTGACCATGGCCAAAAACCTGAATTCAGATCTACTGGCTGATGCAAAAAAACATAAAAATTCACCACATTCCTCAATGTCGTTTTTACCAATATTTTCTTGCCACGTTGTGGTAGGACGGTCCGCCACTTGTTCCAACACTTTTGTGCAGACCGAAACTTCTCACTGGACAGATTGCCATACGGTTTGTAAGGACAGTCGTTATCACCAGACTACAAATCCATCGAGAGATTCTCTAATTATCCCTCTAGCGCCACCATGAGTTTGACTCGGTATGGATATTCATCTTCTCCACTGGATAAATTGTGACCATATGTTTGATGACTTTTCCTGTTAATTACCATCCACAAACTACCTGCAAACTAATGAGATTCTCATCCGCTACAGCTGCACTCTGTGCTAATTAGCATGCTAACCCGCCGAAATAAGGCACCGAACGTCAGCTTGTTGGATTTGGGAATTGTAAGCAAGTTAGTTAGTATTTAGCTCAAAGACTTGGTGTGGCCGACCTGACTCACGCTATAAGTGTGGGAGCGGAGGTTAGCTAGAGTGCAGAATTAGAACCCACAACTGACCACAAGACAGGCTCATAAAAAGTGCACGACCACGCAAGCATAGCACTGGAGATAACTGGGCCATCTGGCTACCCAGTAACTGACCTTAGTAGCCCATCATTAACTGTGGCTCGGTCGCAATGTTTGTACTTCCAGCAATTTGAGAGATGAAATGCAGTGAATTAAATGGCTATTACAGTGTGGCTTTGGGATTTCCTCCACAGCCGTCTTATTAGGGAACATATGTGATTCATAAGGTTCATACTGCCTCAAAATTAGCCTCAGAATTTACAGCTTGGATGTGTTTGTAAATGTTGGGATCATTAGCGGTGGGCAGTATTATTGTCATTCATTCTCCGCGGGCCATCGAGGTTGAGGTCGGGACAGGATTGAAAGTAGTCTCGACCGGCGGTTCTGCTGCCGGTTTCCAGGTCTGAAAACGGCAAGCTGCCTCTGGAAAATTAAATCAGGCCAGCAGTGGGCCCAGAAATGAGGGACTGTGGGATGAGACAATTACTAGTTATGTCACCACATGCATTCCTGGGTTACGAGTTCTCGCCAGCTGTGGCCGGCAGAGAACTCCCTCCTTTACTTCTCCTGTTCCTCTCCTCTCTGCACTCTCGTAATACTCGAATGCGCCTTCACCCTGATACTGCTTGCAGAGTTGCTTTTCAATAGAAGAGAGGACGGTTTCTTAAGCGTTTTAATTCTGGAATCCAAATTTTTGAAATGTTTTTCTCACCATGCATGACATACAATTACTACTGAAGTTTCTATCCGGAGAAGACTGTGTGTATTAAAATCTTCTTTTGACCACCCAAAGTGCTCCACACAACAGCCTGCACCCATTAATACACTACTTGTAGGGTCTACCGTGCAGGGTGCCACCGGCCCATTAGGAGTCCAATTTACTTATTCACAAGCATTCATACGCAACCTTTGGACCAAATTTGTTGGATGAGGCACTACCGTATAATTATTGAGTTCGCGTTTGATTTTTGTAATCTCCCCTTGTTGGCACTGCAATAACCTCTTTAACCTCTCGTGTGAATATGAAATTGCTGGAGTTTAACCTCCATTTTTGTGTTTTTAAGATATAAATCTACAAAAGATGTAATTTGCTTTTGACTCTACGTTTCCTCCCCTTGTCTCTCTTCCAGCCAACGCTAGAGATCAACCACCATGCAGGGAAGTCTTTAGACAGCTTCTGTAAGTGGCAGAAGAACATTCAGCACCGGAGCAGCTACGGTAACGCCATACCAGACAACGGGATCGCTCACCATGACACTGCTGTGCTTATCACCAGGTCAGAAATACAAACAGGCAAACCTTTCTCCCAGGAGGAAGACTCTAACTCTGTTCTGGAGTTTTCTTCATATATAGATAAAGGTAATTTAGAATAAAGACGTTGTTTGTGTGACCAAAACAAAAGAGTTTTTGGTCACAAAGTCTGGCTGCAAGGGAAGTAGCTGTGCCGTGTTTATATGTGTAGAAAACCCCTCAACCTCCTTCTGCAACCTCTTAAATACAAGTATGTAAGTCTGCTTTCCTAATCATTAAAGGGTTAAACCGTTTCCTCTTAGCTAAATTGTTACATATTTTTGGGAGAATCAGAAACAGAGAAAAGGGAGGAGTAGGGTAGAAATTGAAGGAAAGCTGCTTTGTTTCTAACAGCGCTGCTTTCTCACAATTTTGTAATGTCTTTAAAATCTCTGTTTCTGATGCTGCTGCTGGAAACCCGAGACAACAGTGGTGGATGCGTATAAAGCAGATAAAACACTGATGCTATTGACAGAGGAATGTGCAACAGAAAACAACACAACAGTGCTTTGGTCAGAGTGCTGTTGGACTGGGCTGAATCAAATGCCTTCCTTTTCTTCCTCCCAGAATGTGAAATGAGCTTTTGTAAGTGTGAAGATCGATGAATGTCTTGTGGTTTAGGTGGTGGCTTTGTGGTTTTCATGACAGGATTTATCAAGCGGAGCGGATGGAAACTGTCCAGACAGATGACACCACAGTAACCGTCCATGATTTCCTGCAATTGTTCTTTTATATCTATATCTGTCCACTATCCCTGCTGTCCACTTTCTGCCCATAGTCTCTGTGTGAGCGTGTCTGTCCCCATCTGTGAGTGTACCGAATGTCCATGTCCAACATGTTTGTACGTGGTTGCATATTGTAACTGTAACTATAGCTTTGCTGATGCTGCTTCTATGTATGTGTGTGTGCGCGTCTGATTATTAGTTTAACAGCCTGGTTGATTTTCCTTCCTGTCTGCAGATACGACATCTGCATCCAAAAGAACAAGCCCTGTGAAACCCTAGGTGCACACATACACACACACACACACGCACACGTTTGTACTTCTCATGCATTATACTTACTGTACTTACTACTGACATAAAGCAAAGCCTCACCCCTGAGCTGAAACGTAACCCTCTCGAGTAAATACTTAAGCTCACCCCATACATAATACATAGTCTCAGTGGAACCCAAGTCTGAATCTCCAAAGTTTGAAAGTTAAAAAAACTGTATACATCTGAACAAAAATAGGTCTCCGGCTGCTAATGATACAAATCATCATAATGCAATAGAATACGATTCCAACCGCATACGTGTGTGCGCGACAGGTTTGGCTCCTGTAGGAGGGATGTGTGAGCCAGAGAGAAGCTGCAGCATCAATGAGGACATCGGCCTGGGGACAGCCTTCACAATCGCCCACGAGATCGGACACACGTGAGAAAAACACACGTGCAATAAACTTTCCACTTTCAGGGTTATCGCTCTTTTGATTCAAGTGAAAAACACTTTTGTCGAGCTGAGAGTTAGTAGCCGTTTATTTTCTCTGAGTCCCACTTTTTAGATGTGGAACTAGTTACATGTGGGGTCTGTGACGCATCTGGAGATGCTTCTTTTTTTTTGTTTTACAAATCTGGGCGGTCTCCAGGTGACTTGTCATCTATCTGCCTTGAAGCGTGAATGGGCTGTGTGCATTATGTCTGCACACAGCCCAGAGAACAACTAATACAGATAGGGGGTCATTTGGGTCGCGGCTCCCTAATGATTAACACAGGTAGCTTTTGAGTACTCCGACCACAAGGCCCACTGGCCAACATGAGTGTGTGCTGATGTATCAAACGTGTTTCCTCAGCCTCAAGACTATTATATCAATTGTTTTGACATCACAGTGCAGCATTAGATTAAATGCAGGCCTCTTTGTGGTAGACGGTATCCACTTGAAAAGACGAGACTGATCAAGACAGAACTGGCTCCACTGAGGGTTAGAAATCATCTCAGAACATTTATATTGCGTTCTCAAACACTGTAAGTTGTCACTGTCTCTCATGAATAAAAAGCACCAAATGGAACCACTAACACTGTGTAACATAATATACTGAGGGAAATTCCTTTAACATTTTTATATAAATCTTGAACTCTGTTAGCTTTCTATCCAGAACTAATAGTTCTCAAATATAAGGATCTGAGGGTTTCCTTTGAATAAATTATGTTTGGCTAAGCTGATTTCCAATATTTCCCAGACATGAATGCCTTAGTGGAAAGATAATCTCTGTCCTATGAGGATAATTATGAAACGTGATCATTTGTTACAGTTGTTGATTAATGGACTATAATCTTTCACATTGGGGCAATTTGATATTTAAATGTCAATAAGCATATTTATGATTCGGGTACCTTTCCTGCATGTTATTTGATTAATTTTGTCAGGAGTAGGAAAACATGTCTGCTCCTTAGATCCCACTCACTTATCCGCAGTGGTGTTTTTTTTTCCAATGTCCTTGTCGCTCCTGCCACAAGTATTACAGCCCACAAGGCCTCACAGAGTTGTCACTGTTTCATCACGGGCTTTAGGTTTGGGATGAACCATGACGGAATGGGGAACGCCTGCGGGCCGCGCAGCCAGGAGACCGCCAAGCTAATGGCTGACCACATCACCATGAAGACTAACCCATTCATCTGGTCCGCGTGCAGCCGGGATTACATCACCAGCTTCCTGGAGTGAGTCGGCCTTTCACATAACTGCAACACCACAAATAATTTGGTAGTGAGAGGTTTCAAGAAAGAAACATTACTTGAATTTCTGAGTAACATTTCGGATGAGACACAATCAAATAGATGGATTATGATAAGAGGAAAATCCACTTCAATTGAATTGCATGTAACCTGTATGTAACTTTACTCATCAGTTCTTGTCTTGTCCTTTTTCTCTTCTCTCAGCTCAGGAATGGGCTCCTGTCTGAACAACGTCCCTCCCAAGCAGGAGTTTGTGTACCCCACCACAGCACCGGGTCAGGCCTACGATGCAGACGAACAATGCCGCTTCCAGTACGGCGTCAGATCGCGACAATGTAAATATGCGGTGAGTGCTCCGTCTATATTTACCTACGTCCTGCGAATTCATCTTTCAGCTTACCTTTTCCTCGCGTTAGCTGCAGCAGAGCTAACTGCTAACTTCATCCTGTTACCATGCTTCAAAATAACATTTTGAAGTTGAGCAGCTATGTATACAAAGGGCCTTAAGTACCTTGTAACGCGCTATGCAAATATAATGTTATTATTACTTTTACATACAGGCAAATAAGAACGCCATCAGTTATTTCAGTTTGGCCGACCCACCACACAAGAGAGTGTAATTGCCATTCGAAGAGCAATGTTACTCCCAGTGACCAAATACATTCAACTTCAAAACGTCTTTGCTTTTCCAAGAGGCTTAGTCAACTGTGCCATAAAGCACAACTGATCTTTCTTCTTTGATGTTGTAGAATACATAAAAATGATTAATACAGTTCCCTTTTTAGATTTAGTACCGTCATCTTCTTCTTGATGCAACCGCGCTGACTTAATCCTTCTCTGTTAGCCGACTCAATGTCAATTAAAGTTATTTACTTCACGGCTCACTCTTGATATTATTTCCCCGGCTCTCTCATGTAGGTCGGCCTCCCTTGACAACGAGAAACATCTTGAATGTTGGCTGAATGGCATACACTTCATTGCGGTCAACTTTTATTGGGCCAGGTTCAGCATGAGATGAAGACATCTTGAACAGCGTACAGCTTTGTACTCATTACATAGGTACCATGTGGTCAGAGCACATGAACATAATACAACATAATCCTGTGTATTATAGGCATCGCTGTAGCAGAATGGAAGGTGAACAAGAGTGTGACTGCTCTTGTCAACGCAGGTTGCTTGTCTTCTATTTTGTAATTCTTCTTCTACACACGCACACAGGAAGTCTGCAGTGAACTTTGGTGCATGAGCAAGAGCAACCGTTGCATTACCAGCAGCATTCCCGCTGCAGAGGGAACTATTTGTCAGACCAACACCATAGAGAAAGGGGTAAATACTCAAATTAACCTTTTTTCTTGCATTATTATTTTGCAAGTTATGACAGATCGGGCTTACCGACCGAAATAATAATACAGTCACTGTTCTATCTGAACATGTGTGTAAACCAAACATGTGTGTCTGTGCCCCAGTGGTGCTACAAGAGGGTGTGTGTGGCGTACGGGACACGTCCGGAGGGCGTGGACGGGGGCTGGGGGCTGTGGTCTCCCTGGGAGGAGTGCAGCAGGACCTGTGGAGGGGGAGTCTCCTCGTCGATCAGACACTGTGACAGCCCCAGGTATGGGTTAACAGACCCATCACTCCTTTGCCTGCTCATTTCATCCTAGTTAACTACCCAGAAGACATTGTAGTTCTAGCATTGTTCCAAAATAAAATGCTTTTCAGGATGGGTAATGTTAATACTCACATGCCGTAGAAGGAGTTACTGGTCGTTGTAATCGTTACCTCTGTCTGATGCATCCAGTGGCGGGAAAATATCGAGGCCCCAAATTCTGCAAGAAAATGATAATATACTTAAATTCATAATAAGTCAAATGTTCATGCGACCTACAAAAAGTGTCTTTCCATTTAGAAAGGACACATCATTTATGGAAGCTAGAAGTTGTTGAAGCTTCATATGAAGAATTTAATTTTGTGATGGTCTGTGATTGAACGGTATAGAAAAAAAAACACAGAACTTAATTATTGATGTAATAGGGTACTGTGACGAAAGATTCAACGTACATATTTAGAAAGGAAAACATGTTTTACATTCACAAATATCACAATCAGTTACAAATAGTGTATTATATTATAGAAAAAAAGCAATGGTATTAGTAAGGACCACAGGTAACTAACCACTGCCCACCAAGTCAAATTCCTTGTATGTCTGACATATTACGGCAATAAAGGTTTTCTGATTCCTGATTCCCCTAATTTACAAATTGAAATTAGTATCAGCAAAGACAAATTCAGACATCGACATCCTGAGAAAACGATTCATGATTTTTACCTGTAATGAAACCGTAAGAAAAGGCCACCTCAGAAAGCACAAAGGAGGATGATTATTTACTGGCAGCAGCGCCACTGTTTCTATTACATGTGAATGTCTGAATCATCACTGAACAACTAGCATCCTCGCTCTTGAATCACAGTCACCAGATCCCTCATCTTGAATTGATTAAATTGATTAAACTGAAACCAATATTTGATGTTTCAAATGAATTGAACCCAATATGAGGCCAACAGTGTTCTTATGTATCCACCGAGAGCATTGTTTGCACATTTCGTTTGGCTCCAATCCCTTAGAAGTCGTTGAAAGTTTAGCAGAGGGAGCCATTTGACATTGGTTTGCTCTGGCTTCTTTTTAGTTCTTTTATTACATTTTTTTATGAAGAGGTGTTGTTGTGCCTCTGAAAAGCAATAAAAAAAGACAGACAGTGAGATTGGAAACACACATGAAGGCAGACAAAGCAGAGATCAGGAGCCAGTGGTGTATGGTGATGGGATGGAGGTTAGATATTTTAAAATTGTTGTCAGATGTGACTGACTGGCCTGATTCCCTTTGTGTTTGGTTGTAGGCCAACTATTGGCGGAAAGTATTGTCTGGGGGAGAGAAAGCGCTTCAGGTCCTGCAATATTGATGTGAGTATCGCTGTTCTTCAACAGGCAGTAAAACCACGAATTGTGCTTGGTCATTACACTGGACTCATGGGATTGCATGTATTTATGTATGTTCATGTGTGGATAACCGTGTTTGTTGCAGGAGTGCCCTGCAGGCTCCAGGGATTTCCGGATTATTCAGTGCTCTAATTTCGACAGCGTTCCTTTCCGGGGAAAGTTTTACACCTGGAAGCCATACAGAGGGGGTGAGTGAGTTACCGATCTCTGTTGGAGGTGTGTGTGTAACTATCTGCAGATTTCCTCTTTGCCCTCAACATCCCTCTAAACTGTAAGGAGTGTGTAAGCATCTTTAATTGTTTTTGTTTTACATCCAGCAACATTACATGTTGAACACTTTTACAGCCGAAAGATAAACCCAATGCTGCTCGACACGTTGGTATACAATTACATTTAAATGTATTAGTACTAATAGACCATGATGGTAATTCACAGTCTACAGCAGATTTTATGTTTCATTTTTTGTTATCATTATTATTACATCTTACACAGTAATAACTTTTTTTAATTAAATAATACATCTACATAAATCTACATAATGTAGTATTTTTACATTGTTGTTAAAACAACTTTTCCTTTTCCTGGTATTTCTACCACTTTTTGACTGTAATAATAAAACGGTGACAGTTATTGATGGGAGGGAGAGGAGTGATGAGGTGAAACATGAAAGTCTCCTGCCAAGTTAGAATCCGCAACGCTGCTATTAGATAGTCATCGGCTTGGGCCCTTCAGGCCGCCAGGACACCTGCTAATAGCTCAAATTACATCAGGTTCACAAACGGGCCACGCACATGTTTTTTAAGAAATGTGGATTGAAAGTCTTCTGAGATACTGGTAATGTAACATGTCATGTTGTCAGAATGTTCCTTCAACTTAAAAGAACCTAGCAAGAAGTTGATCAGGAGAATTAAAGGTGAACAGATGAAGACAAACAGAACGATTTGAGCCAAGAGTCAATTACCAGACAAAAACAGAAGCCAGGAGGGAAACTGTTTGTGTGTGTGTGTGTGTGATTGTGTGTGTGCATGTGCGTGTGTGTGTGAAGAGAGAGAAGGGAAGCTGCAAACCTCGTTCTGTCTGGCCTGCAGATGCTGGCCTGCACAGAGCCGTTCATTCCCACAATGCCTTGCGAGAATTCCTTGTTCCTGATGAGCACTACGCGGGCCGTAAAAGATAAATAGTTCAAATGACATAACTGCCTTTAATCTAGCTCTCCAATAACATAATGGCTTACAGAGATGGCCAGCCAGCCAATTCCAACTTCAGGCAACAAGTGCTCCTTTCATCAAGTCAGCTGATTTTACAATGGAAATCCCTTGCAGCTGTTAAAATAGGAACGGTGCCATAGACTCTGCCCTGCGTTAAGGCCGGATCACACCACCCAGCCCCCTCCATGTCTTCTGCAGCCCTCTCACACTCAAATTCTTTTTGCTCTTTTCCTTCAACTTCAAGCCGTCTAACTCAAACTTGCTTTTGATCTTTGTCATCACTGCTGTAGTCTGCTTGCAGTCTTAGGAGCCTTCACGTTCAACCCTCACACCCCATACAACACACCCTGCAAGCTATGATACACACCGTGCAGCAAGCTCACATTGCCCCGCCAAAGCTATGCTCCATGGGAATTGTAGTTTTCCATTTTCTGACCTCTTTATTGTGTGCAGGCTGTGCCAGTACATCCTCTCGTTCCCAGTACACACGGTACCTGTTTCAGCGCTGCCAGCACAAACAAGCACAGCCCAGTCGTGTCCACGTCTACGTGCGTAAATCCACCCAGTGATACATGGCGCAAGTGTGTACCACTTGGACTGCAAGAGGGCGTTTGTGTGCATATGTTTGTTTCCTCCATACCTGGGCTACATTTAGGAGTCAGGAGATGGAGATGTGTGTGTGTGTGTGTGTGTGTGTGTGAAAATAGAGTAATTTGCCAATCATTCTTAAGTGTCTCATCACAGGTGTGTGTACATTGATTCACTTCACTGTCTTACATCACTACCTAACGCCAGTGGAGCAACTGAATACTGAACTTCTATGCCTTTGTGATATATTAAGTAAAGAAGGAATTCAGCTCAAATCGAATGGTGATAACAAGCTTCATATGTCTCTATCCGATAATTAACCTTTACTTTATAGATTTTCACTACTTGTTCTTGTCACATTGATATTTTAAGGTTTCCTGTTTGGTGACAGTTGTCCTCTTTGTGAATTAGATGTTCCAAAACGTGTAAAAAACAGTAGATTAAACTCCCAACATGACTTGCAGAGCTGCTGGTGAACCTACAACTTGGTGCAGAATTTTTTTTTCTTGGGCAGAAGAACTGCAGGAGGTTTGACTGCTGTCTCAGTGAAAACCACATTGAATTCAGCACGGTTTGGAATATTTGTATCAGCTCAGACTGCAAATTGCTGGCAACAAGCTAGCAGGCTAATGCAATTTCAGTTCTTGGACAGATGTCTCGAAAGCGTTCATCCTTTTTCCATTACATTCACTGGGCAAAGATCACATTTGAGGGCCGTGGGGGGAACAGAGCTCATATAGTGATGTTTTGGCTTTAACAAAACAATATCCCTTCAATCTCCGTTTAGTAGCTGTTTGGATGATTACAGCTGGCAAAGTTATCATTGACTTTTTCATTTTTTCTTCAAGGAATTAGTTTCAACATTGACACAGCAAAAGTTTGAAGTTCATTCTTGACCTTGACAAAAGGTCCATGTAGTTGTCCTGTTGTGATGATATCTTGTCATTGATGTTTGTCCCAAAGTTTAATTACACATATACATTACCAAACTAAATGAAATACACAATTATTTAAAGATCTTGTGCTTGCCATTTGACAACCTTGATTGTGTTTGTTGCCACGTGTGTGTGTGTGTGTGCTATAATGTAGATGGATGTAGTGATGAATTAATACTGAATGCAAATGCTCCCTGTGTGTGTGTGTGTCTGTGTGTGCGTGTGTGTGCGTGTGTGTGCAGGTGGGGTTAAGCCCTGTTCTCTCAACTGCCTGGCAGAAGGATACAACTTCTACACAGAGCGTGCTCCAGCTGTGGTGGACGGCACGCCTTGCCGAGACGACTCTCTGGATGTGTGTGTTAACGGAGAGTGTAAGGTGAGATAAGGCCCTTCTGTGTGTGTTTGTAAGCTCCCACGCCAGCGTTTTATTGAAATACATTGGAGCCATTCGACATCTGCATGTGAGCAGACACTTTAAGTTGAAACAGCACAATGGGGGATCAACACAAGACTGAGACAATATTGTTTATACTCGCCGTCTAGACTCTGGACAGCAGCCACTGTCTGGTTTACACTCTGACTGCTGACGATCATCACAATCAGCTGCTTAACTGAGGAATTTCCTTAACTTTGGCAGCAATCTTGGATTCCCATTAGCGATGCGCCCTCTTAATCCCAGCTGTTAATGAAAACACAACATTTCACTGGTGCTCCTTCTGACGTGGCGACCACGCGGAGCTCCAACAGGTTCCTGGAACCCAATTTGACAAAAAAAAAAAACTAATGGTAATGAAGCAAAGCTTGCAGAGAGGCTGTTGATTCGCCTTCTGCTGTTAGGTCCACTTGATGTTTATTTTGGATTTAGCTCTTCTTCAGAAAGTAGGTCTGAGCGATGGGCGGGGAGGGAACGAAGTGAGGAAGAAGAGAAAAAACTTCAGGATCTCCAGCCTGTTGTTTTGCGGTGGCCTGCTGAGTACCAGGATACTTTATTCTTCAGCTCCTCATCTCCTGGCTCTTACCACCCATGATCACGCTTTATTTTAAGTCTCCGAGAGAGAGAGAGAGAGAGAGAGAGAGAGAGAGAGAGAGAGAGAGAGAGAGAGAGAGAGAGAGAGAGAGAGAGAGAGAGAGAGAGAGAGAGAGAGAGAGAGAGAGAGAGAGAGAGAGAGAGAGAGAGAGAGAGAGGCTGAACTTGTTGAGCAAGAGGGTTTTGTTTATCAGCATCTCGTCATTGTTCTTTTCTCCCATTGCACATAGTTTTTCCCTCGGCTTTGTTCTGCTCGGGAGGAACTCAGTGACCCTCCAGCTCAGCTGTCTGCACTGCAGACAGGCTTTCATTCACTGCAGTCTCTCTCTCTCCCTCTCTCTCTCTCCATTTTTCCTTCCCCTTCTGACTTGTTCTTCATTTCCCTCCTTTTTGTTTTCCTTCACTTCCTTTTACTTTAGCCTTCTTCTGTCTACAATCCAGTGAGATCATCTCATTCTGTGCGATCATCTCGCCTCTCGTAGGCTTCGTGCACGCATACAAATTCAAACACTCTGTGGAGGAATCGCTTACATTGGTTTGCTGCTGCATGCTGCTTTCAGTTCTAAGATTGGTGCCTGATAATGAGGGGAGAAACCGAATACGAGGATGTTGTGTTGGAGATACCTGGGAACAGATGTTCTAGTTGAACAACACATGGCGCTGGGAGGCCCTTTTTCCAGAGCTTATACTTGTATACAGGGCCTGATTCATCAGGAAAATGGCAGGACTGTACCTGAGTAGACTTCATAAGTGCAGTTCAAGGGGGAGGTTTTATATCAGAATGCTCAGAAGATAAATGATAATGTAGTGTTGAATACAAATATCTGGTTCCACTTGAACATTTAATAATAATAATAATAATAATAAAACATTTAATTTGTAATGCACTTTATATTTAAGAAAATCCCAAAGTGCTTCATGATAAAACAGGTATGTGCTAACAATAAAAACACACAGAGAGTAAATTTGATATCACTCGGAATTATTATTATTAGACGGTTAATTATAAGCTTAACTTTGCCAAACACACACTTAGAGTTTATTTGCAGTCTGTAGTGATTTCTCGGTTCACAGATATACACAAACCAACATCAGTACCTGATTCATTAATTCATTAACTGATGATTCATTGTGGTGTGAACATCTGTTGTTGTCCCATCTCTCACTTGAATTACATTACATTTTCCCTTATATATTACATATTAGCAGTTTTATTATAAGTCAAATGTGCTCTGGGAAACGATGTCTGCATGTAGGAACAAGAAGCTTCCTACTCATCTGGACCCAAATAATTTTAACTTTCAATAACTCACCCACATTATTTAGCCATGGGTTAACCATGGAGTGAATCACAGTTTCAACTCGGTATTTGGTTTTGAATTGTAATCAGTGTAAAAGTAATAATAAACCTAAGCTTCACTATCCCTCTCTACAATAAACAACTGCCATATGAATATACAAGTGTGCGAGCAGTTGCCATTCATTCCCTCCACGTTTGTTTAGGTTTGGTTCACTGTTAAAGAGTTTGAGTAAAACCACCTGCTTCGCTCATCATGAAACTTATTTATGTCGACAGCTATGAGTTTAGCAACCTAAGAGCATTATGTCTGCACAGGATCAGAAAACACATCTGGACTTACCATCTGATATTTCTGTGTTTTGGAAAAGCGGTCTGGAAGACATTAGAGGTAATCCCTCAGCCCAGCCTCTGACACCTCTCAACGTACTGACTGTGCCCCTTGACCCCATGTGACCCTGCAGCTCACTTGTTTCTCCCTTCTTTTTTTTTTTCGCAGCACGTAGGCTGCGATCGAGTCCTCGGCTCGGACGTCCGCGAGGACCGCTGCCGCGTCTGTGGGGGTGACGGCAGCAGCTGCGTGTCTGTGGAGGGACTCTTCAACGACTCGCTGCCGGAAGGAGGTACAGAACTAAAACACCCAAGCACTGGTCCTCGCGTACATTTTGGGAGTTTGCTGCCACAGGTTTTTCCACATGGAGATAAAGTTTTTATCTTTCCTGTTTTCCATTTGTAGGGGGGGGCGGGGGTTAAAGTGCATTTGGAAAATGCTCTGCTTTTGTAAACAATTATGTTTACGTGAGGCATTTAACATGAAGAAGTTCTGCAACATAATAGCATGGCTGTCCAAATGCACACGTAACATTTGGATTCTAATGCTCTGGACAGTGAATGCATTTTGGACAGAGTTATGATCCCTCAGACATTCAAAATGCATCCAATAATTGTCTGTTCTCATGCAAACTCCCTCCACAGCAGCATACTGTTGCAGTTATTTGTTTCCACAAAGCTGCAGTGGTAAAAGGACTGTACTTGTATAGTGCTTTTCTAGTCTTCCAACCACTCAAAGCGCTTTTACACGACACGTCTTTATTCACGGACTTGCGGACTAGTGGAGACGTGGATTGAACAGTCGATGCTCGGATTGACGGACGACCCTGCTCTCCGCTGAGCCACGCTAGTGCTTTATAGATATACAATTATGAAACAATTGGGTGTGAAGTCAACTCAATGTCCCATATGAAGGAACAACATAAAACCTTCCTGAGCCAACCCATGAGCTGTAAGAGAAAGAAATGCACAAATAGATGTGCACATATACATACCATATGTTGAATACACACACACATATATTTATCCAAAAGCCACCTAATGACCCGTAGCAGACATATTTAAGGGAGATCTGACCAGTGTGGTTTGAGGTCCGGCTGCTGGTGCTTCTATTCCGGGCAACATTTCTCCCTGCAAAACCAACTTTAGCGTTTCTCACCCAACTGTTAACACCAGTCACCCCTTCCAGGCTTCCTCACACGGGACGCACCCTGAGGAGGCAGCTGTGCTCTTTACCGCAGAGATCAGGCCAGTCTGTCAACCCCAGCTGAGGCCTCAACCAGCCTCAAAATATCTGCGATTATCGGTGGCCTAAAAAATCTGTTAGTAAGGCTGAAGCTGAAGGGTAGGTTGTCTACTCGTGTGTTTGCCGATCACGGAATCCACCGTGAGAGCTATTTTTAAAAAGATCCACTGCAGAAGCCTCGCCGGGACACTGAATGCACGCAGGCGCTGCATGCTCCACGCACCGGTCTTTGCATCATCCTCACCAGAAGGCCTACAAACAAAATGTACTGTCAAGACTCAAGGTGTCGAGTGTCATAATTCTACCTCCACCATGCAGAGGAGGAGTTGAAATAACGGTCAGGTTTTATTGCATATTCATAGACTTATTTACTTCCTTCATTTAATCCCTGTAAAGAGTGGCATGCATTATATAGAAACATAGAATCATAGAAAAAAATATTTACTCAAATGAAGATTGTGACAACGTCTCATTTCTTACTAAATTCTAAGCAGGTTTCAGAGGTGAACAACCAAGTGCCCCAACCACTTTGTGCACATCGGATAAATTCATCACGCCTCGCACCGTCTTTACTTGTGGTTCCCCCTAAAGGTGAACCAAGAACTTAGACTACAAGTTCATTCAGGACACAAAATAATAATCACTGGCAGAATCACATTTCTGTTAAAAGCCTCTGATTTCTTTGAACTCCTACGACCTTAAATAACAGATTTAAATACCGTCTTGGATTAAACCAAACCGCAAAACCGACACATAAAACAGAAAGAGTAAATACATGAAAAGGAAGTTGGGGCTTCTTAAAGCCGCTGCATTATTTAATTGTTGCCATGTGCTTGCAGCGAGTCTATTTCAATGAATCCAGCCTGTGACCGGTAGGCGCTGAGGGGTCGCTGAAGGTTAATAGCTCCTTTTGCGCTTTGTTTCCCAAACAGGTTCCAGATTGTTACCAGATGAACGCACTTTCCGCATTTGCCCTCTCTTTGTTTGTCTCTGAGGGCAAATACCTGAAGCTCTGTCTAATATTGTTCGACGCCTCCATCTAGAAACCCAGAGCGGGGTCAGTCCAAGCTCATCCAGCTCCAAACAGAGGTCACAAGCCAAAACCTCTCCTTTCCTCTTGTGGTCAAAGCTTTGAAAGGAATAGTTTCATTCTCTAGTGAGGCAAGTTATTTGCAGGGCTACATTGGCTGGACAGCAGAGCAGAGCTGGCGAATGAAGAGTGGAGGTGGGATGAACGTGACAAACAGAGGACAGAAGACCAAAACAGACGGAGGGAATAGAGAGAAGAGAAGCCGAGCAGCTGAGGCCGGCTTCTCTTCTCTGGCCAGGAATGCAGCTGGAATCTGAAGCCTCTGCTTAGTCATCGGCATCCCACTGAGCTCAAAACAACTTGTGCATCGCTCTTGACCCCCCCCGGCCAATAAGCCTTCTTCACCTCGCTTTTCTTTGTGTGTCTCCAGGTTATGAAGAGGTGGTCCGGATTCCTAAAGGATCAGTGTTCATCCACCTACAAGAGCTCAACATCTCCCTCAACTACCTAGGTGAGAGGATTTTCATGCTAATGTCAAAGTTTATAGAAATGTGTCATAGATTATGTATGACAGATTGCTTCTACTTTTTTATATATTTTGAGAAAGGTAACATTGACATAATAATTTGACATTGCAGCCGTTTGCACTTGTAAACACTGTGTCAGATTTATAGCTGTGGAATTGGTTGAAGCCTAAATGCTGTATAAAAACACAGGTATCAGGTGAATGTCATTAAAAATGTGGTGAACAGAGCCTTCTAAGAAACTACCCAAACTGTAAACGGCTGAACAGCCTTTTTCCTAAACATTTGTAGGATTGAGATCATTTATAGCGGTGCTTTTCTGTGTGCCAAAAACTCTTCCGCAAAGGATACACTACGACCTTTGCTTCTCCAGCAAGCCTCCTCCTTTCTCGACCCTCCATCCTCCATCCTCAACCCTCACTCCTTGTGATACGTTTTAGGAATTGAGATCTCTTTCAAGATAAGATTGAGGAGAAATGAATCGAGATCCATTAAATGACTTTTTTGACCTGTCATGACTCTGGGACAATTGAATAATACAGACACATTGTTATTGTTATAAGTAGCACCTGATCGTTTTCCTCTTGAGGCATTGTCTAATAATGATCTAACGCTCAGTAATACAACAAATAAAAAGCTTATGCTCCAAAGATTCCTCCCATGCCAATGATCTTGATGCAGTTGGTGACATTAGAGTACACTTTTTTGTTTTTCCTTTGACTTTACTGTTTTCCTTCTAAGTACTTCTCCTTCCCCTCTGTGTCCAGTGCTGAAGAGTAAAGGAGACCAGTATTTCATCAACGGGAAGCTGACCATCGACACGCCTCGCAGGTTCAATGTTGCGGGCACCACCTTCCACTACAGGCGGCCCACTGATGGACCAGAGACTCTCGAAGCCCTGGGGCCGACCAACATAACCCTGATTGTCATGGTAGGAAGTGAGAGAGACCCCACCTCTACGAAGAAATGCCATGTTCAATCACGGGCTGTGAAATGGTTGATTGGTTCTATGTGTAGGTGCTGGTGCGGGAGGAGAACCCAGGGATCCACTATCGCTTCAACCCCCCCATGAACAGGGAACCTCTGACTGGCTTCGCCTGGCACTACACCTCCTGGTCACGCTGCTCCGCTCTCTGTGCCGGAGGTACAATCACACAGAAACACAACGAGCCAGCTCGCACGTACAGAAGGAGGCTGTTGCATTGTCCTAACTATAAGTAAAGCTAATACAATCGTTGCTTTAACATTCATCGAAAGCCTGTCTTGTGCCCCACAATGCAATGATTTACCCTGTGGGGCACAAAGCCTTTTCCCGAGTTCTTCATGATGTGATTTCGTGAGCCGATGAATGGCCCTCACTTGGGGCAGATGTCACATAAAGGTTAAGGATTAAATGGCTAAAAAGAATCCGTTTGGTAACCCTTTTGTGTGTTTGTGGAGTCCATGTTGTCACAAAGCTAATTTTCTTCTGCGGCCTTTGTGAGTTAATGATCCATGATACCTGATAAGAGCAGATTTTCTCCTCTGATAAGTCATTCTGGCACATGGTAACGTTCTGTTGGAAGGAGGGTGTTTGTTTAGGTGTTTAGTTCAAACATCAACAGGCTTTGCATCATCGGGTAGGCAGTCCTCTCTCGGCTCCACACTGAAAAGCATAGATACGACAGATAACGTTGTCATTTTTTGTTCAGGGGACACATCTGTGATATGCCCTTTGAACATGTTGCCGGGAACAGAAGAAAACACTGGCTCGTTTACAGATTGATTCAGATAGCAATGGATGACAATAAATACATTCCAGACGTCCTCCCTTTGATATGATCTGTGATGCCTAATAATGAAAATAAGTCGCTTATTTGAGGGGGTCCACATTTATTACCAAATAACTGTAAAAATGCTCAGACATACTTGAACATGTTACATTTTAAACACTACTGAAATAATACAAATCAGTAATGTGGCAAGTTTTCTCGTTTTCCTTTCAAAACCCCTAAGAATGAATGTTGACCTACCTACATTTGCATCTTTGTCTCTGTTGGTCAGGTGTGCAGACACAGCAGGTGGTGTGCAGGAAGCAGGCGGATCACTCCGTTGTCTACAATCACTTCTGTGACAAGAAAAACAAACCCAAGGAGAAGAGAAGATCCTGCAATACCGAGCCCTGCTCCTCATCGTGAGTACTCTCTTGTTAAAATTATATTTTATTTGCATTTAATATGAGTTATGTAATGTGTACATCAGCTAGTGAGGCAAATCTTTTAAACGTTTTTATGCTTACATATTTCACTGTAATGCTGTTTATGTATCGGCACTTTTTTTACCCATTTTGTTTATGTGTTGTTGGGCTTTTGGGTCCTATTGAACTGGCGATTCCTGTTTTGTACAGTTCAATGTCCACACTATATTATGAAATGCAAATGAGGAAGCTGAAAACAAAAAGACCCCTTTCTGCCGCCAGCTGGTGGACAGGAGAGTGGTCGGACTGCAGTCGCAGCTGTAACAGCGGCTTGCAGACGCGGGAGGTGTTGTGTAAAAGGAGGATCTCTGTGACGGAGGAGAAGGTCCTGGACGACTCGGCCTGTACGAACCCGCGCCCTTCTCTCACTGAGCCCTGCAGCAACCAAAGCTGCCCCCCCGAGTGGCTGGCCCTGGACTGGTCAGAGGTAAGCAGACATCAGAGGCCCTCCATCTTGCATGTGGTTTGATTTTTTTTTTATACTAAACTCGTGGCCGAGTTTCAAAACAATTCTTCAGTTTTGTGCCGGATTCCTCTCGGGTGAAGCAATAGTTTATTTTGCAAATGAACGTCGGCGCAGAGCAAACGCATGAATCATGTTGATTTGTGATCATTAAAAGGTATCGTTACACTTTCCTAATCCTTTTTTCATTTTGAACCCTTAGTTTGAGCCATCTGATGGAGTCTGAGAGTGGATGTTATGTCATTACAGACATGGAAACCTTACGTTTAACACCTCAACCTCTCACCTTACTAGACTTTGCAATCACAGCTCAGTATAAATTAAACGGTGCTACAGTGTACAAATGTTCTCTGACATCGTGGCAATGTGGCAATAGCACAAGAGGAATTATGTCCAGCTGGCTTTCAGGAAGCAAGCAGGCCCTTGAATTAGTTTCTTAATCAGTTGCTGCTCTCTGCCGAGTGAATCAGGAAGATATCTTTTTTTTATGACCGCAATGACCCCGTGTTGTCGGGCCCCTTTGTCGGCCCCCTGCCTGACGCTTTTTCTCCCTCTTTTTTTCATCTCTCGCTCTGTTTGCAGTGTACGCCTAGCTGCGGTCCTGGCTACAGGCACCGTGTGGTCTTGTGCAAGAGGGGTGAGAGCGGTGACAATCTGCCAGATTCCAAATGCTCCAAACATGGCCGGCCCACCTCCAGGGTGCGCTGTAACCTGCAGCGATGCCCCCCCCCTCAGTGGGTGACTGGTCCCTGGGGAGAGGTAACACGGGCTTTTGGTTTATTCTTGGTCCTACTCATGTTTTCGTGTTTATAATGGGACATTGTTCTACAGCTTGAGTCCTTTTTGTACTTAAATACGACCCCCCGTTGTCTCAGTGTTCTGCCAGGTGTGGTCTGGGTCAGGAGATGCGTTCGGTTCAGTGTCTGACCCCCAACGGCCAGCCGTCCAATGAGTGTCTGGAACATCAGCGGCCGTCGGCCATGCAGCAGTGCAAGAGCAAATGTGACCTCAGTCTGCCCATCAGTACAGACAACCCTGAAGGTCAGAGGTCAAATCATTGCTCCACCTCATGTGTCATAGAAAGAACATCAAAGTCCTTTAATCAAATATCACTTAGGCACTTCTACCCCCACACTCAAAATGTAGTGGAGCCCATGAGCTTATGACCCATTGGTTAGTCAGCTTTTTCTTGTTGTTTTCAGTTGTAGTAAACATCAATATTAATGTTCGAATTCAATTGAATGGTTTTGTGGTCGAACTCAAGTGGAGCATTCAAAGTGTATGTTTATAGAACATTAGGATACAGACAACAATCTTAAAACATAGTACACACATATATACACACACAATGTGGCATATATGATTTTTCTCAAACATCAAGAGGATGATTAATTAATTATTTAATCCACAGGCCAAATGTCGGGAGGATTTATGTCATTCCATACAAGTCGTATAAGTCTGAACAATAAAGGTGCATAAAAGTGACAATATCTTGGTATTTTGATTGAAATCCTGCAATGTTTCTAAAAAAAGTCATTGTGAAACATTAATAAAGCTGTTTGATGTTTGTCTTCCCTGCAGAGTGTAAAGATGTGAACACTGTGGCCTACTGCCCCCTAGTGCTCAGGTTCAAGTTTTGCAGCAGACCATATTTCAGACAGATGTGCTGCAAGACCTGCCAGGGACACTGACCTGGACCCTGTGAAGCTCACAGCATCCAGTTTATGAGTCCTGCCCACACTCGCAGTTAGCCTGAAACCCTGAGCCTTGTGACAGCAGCCCTCACACTACCTCTGGCAGAGAAGTGTGAGATCTAACTTCGGACGGGTCCTTTTTACTGTAAGTGGGACCTTTTTTCCAGTCAGAATCCAACACAGACCAGGGCGACTCTCCGGGCCGAACTCTGCCAGAACAGCCAGAGGCGAGTTTTACGCTCCACTGGAGGGAGGGCTGCTTGACGCCTGGAGAGACGGATAGAAGGAGGAAATAACGTCCCTCCATCGTCTGCCTTTCTTTCACTCTGTTGTAATATTTGGTGCTACTATATTTCTCCTTGGCCGCAGGGCTGGTCGCAGTACTCTCTTAAACCTGTATGTGAACAGGTGCTATTTGTTTAGTTATAAAATCCACTTTGTAAAGAAAATAGTTTTTTCAGATTTGTTTGGTCGCGAGGAGGAATATCTGATGCTATAAAATGAAAGATTTGTTTCTACGTTATCTAATAGCTATTACTTGTCCACTTTGTTTTATGCCATGGCTTCGTTCCGTATCAATGTATTGTTTAAGTCCTCGCTTTTATTCCGCTGAAGTAAGAGCAGAGTTGGATTTGCACAGTGTCAGCAGTCAGAGGACTAACGTAGTAATGTGTTTTATGTTCACTTAATGTCTCTGTGGAAGTCTTTCATAAGAATCAAGTGGAATCTGTGGAAGCTTTGAATGTCTCACTGCAGTAAACGCGGCGTAGTGTTGCCATTTAATTAGTTTGCTTAAATGTTATCACCCCTTGGGTAAAATAAAACATACTTTCATTGTGCTCGGTCAACACCGATACACTGCCTTTAGTAATGTGAGTGATGTCAGTGCCGACTAACATTTTCAGATGGATGGACGCTGTTCTCTGGCTGCGGACTGTCAGCTTGGGCACAGAATCTGAACAGCTGGGCTCAGTGTCATTATCTGAAAATGCGTCAGCGCTGTCCTTGCTTTCTTCATGCTGGATCATTTTTGCCACATGTTACGGCTCATTCGAAGGTGCTAATAACTTAATGACAATATTCACTCTCTTTAGCTCTCTCTCTCTCTCTGAACTGCTGAGGGAAATATCTGCCTATTTAACTGCTAAATGCCCCCCCGGTCTCTAACTGTGTCTAGTGCCGGGTTGGTAGTGAACAGGAAGAGCTTTTCCACTGAAAACAGTTGCTGGCTGCGAACAAAATCAATGAGATCAGAAAACCAAAGCTGTAAAGTTATAGGCTGGTCAGCTAAACAATGAGCTGGAATAAAGTACCATAAAGTTGAGATCATTTGCAGACTCAGGTGATGATTGTCTGTAGATTAATCACACACACTTCCTCCTTTTATACATTGATGGTGTATAAATATTGATATTGCTGCTCTATGAAATCAAAGCTGCAAAACCCCTGTGTGAGTCCACGTCATCTTTTGCTAATCTAAACAGTAATCTGATTATGTCACCCTTAAAGTCATTAGAAAAAGGTCAAATCAGATTTTTTTTATTAAGGAAATACAAATGCAGATTCAGCTGTTTTCCACCGTAAACAATTTTAGAAATGCTTCCTAAGCTGCTCAGAGATCAGTCATCACTGTGTCTGTGTCTTCGGTCTTGTGGTGCTTTGGTTTTGAGTGGTGCTATCGGTTCACTGTTGTTGTCATTGTTATTATTTTAACAAGTGTGCTTTTAATTATTTTGCAATGAATTTGAGCTTTTTGTTATAATACTAATCTGCATATTTGGACCTTTACCTTTGAGGGCCATGTTTGGGCTCCATGGTTCATTTCTATCCAAATATATGCTTTTACTTTACACCCTCGGACGTGGATTATGTGGCCACTCGGGCCTCAAAATCCCCCAAAATACTGCACACCATGCAAATTGTAGAATTAGGTCAAATACCGGAACAATCAGAAGGGGCACTGTACAAAATATTGCCATTTGCAAGCTAAATTATTATTTTCTTTAATAATGAAAATGAACCAATGGTTGAGGAATCAACTTGTCTTTCTGGAATAAAAATAGGTTATGAGGATCTCACAGTCAGATGGTAGTGTGGTAGATGGAAGTGTATGACATCACTGTGTGCAGTCTAGTCAGCCACAATTTTCCATGACTGAACATCTTGAAATGCCATTTGTATGATTTTGAGTTGCACAAGTTTCAAGAGATTTATATGTTAGTGTCTGTTCTATGTATCTACCTGTGCTTATAATTAAGGTTAACACTAAGAAGTGAGTAAAAACGAGGGACAGTACTGGTAGTTGTTTTATTTTGTCACATGCTGATTATAACATGAAATGAACTGTATGTTTTCAATAGTATATAGATGACTCCATTTGCCCCCCATGTACATCTGTTTAAAAGGAAATATTAAATTGATTTAAACATGGTGCATTGTTGATTCAAATAAATAAGATCTGGTCATTTGAGTTATTTTATCCTCCGGTTACTTCTATTTCTAATTACCTGAAAGGTACACGACAATATCCAGTAAATGTGGAAATCATTAATCTATTTTTGAATCAGACTTCATGGAAAATTTTAAAAGGGACCTAATTATCAATATCACGTTTAAATAATGCATGCAGGTGCAGGACTTGGGGAAAGGCCCAGGGGACTCTGGACCAAACCTCTGCACACTTAAGATACAAGATGACAACAAAGAAACACACAATTAGAAGCAAACCGATCCCAAAGGGAAGCAGAACAAACTGAAATGCAGGGCGGCTTCTGACTCTTTACTTCGGACAGCCTTGCAGGACCACAGCCATCTTTGATCTCAGCCTTAATCTTCATCTCGACTACACTACATGGTTGTTATACCATGTCAACGTGTGGCAAAGTACTCCAAACTGCTTCTGTTTGTGTGAGTACATCATGGTGCAAAAAAAACCCTGTCAGCGGGACAGAGAGATACAGTAAGTACTGTATGTGGCTTTTCTGGTTTGTACTCTTTCTAATTACACGCGTTCACAGTCTTGTGCTTTTTATGACCGGATGAGACTTTTATCGACAAGCAAAACAAAACCTTTTCAAATCGATAAACATAGTTGTGATTCACGGCACAATTTCTCAGCGTGTATTTTTTCTAAAGCAAGGCCTCACGGTGGTCCGGCGGAAGAGGTCAGGACTTCTCCTCTCTAGACCTTCCACACACACAGTCCCGGCAGGTAACTGCTGATAAGGCATAAGGTGCTATTGTCAAGAATCGGGGGCTTTAAATGTCAACACTACTTATTTTACAAATGCCGTGGGGTTTGCTTTGTGGCGCACAAGAAGGAACTATCTAAATAGAAATTACATAAAGTTTGACACCTCCACACGCACACGCAGAAACATCTCTGTGAGCACGGCGCGCCTCTGCGTGAACCTGCACGAGTTGTTATGGGCGTTGGAAGCAGCAGCCTCTCTGGTGAAGCAAACACAACGTGAAATAACCACAGCCTGGGTGGAGCAAGAGGGCTGCTCACAACTGAAACACCGTCATTTGGGAACAGGCAGATGATAATTATCACTTTGTGGTTGTTGATGTCGTCGACTCTCGTCTGCCACTCTGCAGATGATTTGGATCGACTAATTGTGCCATTCAACCGTCAGATCTGCTGACACGGGCGCCGTCATCGTCCCGTTAGGTCATTGTTATTTCAGCCTCGCTCTGATGACTTTAAATATGACAGAAATACAGAAGCAGCAGGTTGGCTTTTTGTGGGTACTTTGCGTGGTGTGAGTGTGAGTGTGAGTGTGTATGCAGTTCTTGTTTCACACACTGCACTGCATGAGGAAGTAACTTTTTGAATGTGTCAGTGGATGCCATGTACTGCAGGTCGCTGGCTCGTTGGCTCTGACCGTCCGACCGCTCCGATGGCTGCAGTCTGAAGAGGTTAACCTGTGGATTTTAACAAGGATATTCATATAAACACACGCACACACACGCTGGACATTGGACCCCCGAGGAAGCGAGGAGGCCTGCTGGAACAATGGTAACGTACCACACCTTCATTTGCTGTCTCCCACAAACGTGTGTTTGTGCTCCTAACATTAGACCTGGTTATTTTATTAAGGGTATCATCTAATCTTCACATACATTTAAGATGGTCACAACAGTTTCCCCCTCGACGCTTCTGTTTCCCAAAACAGCTGCATTTTAAAGAGGCTTTTTGTAAAAGTTTTAACAGCTCATGATTATTACATTTCCATTTTACAGTTTACATTTGGTATGTTTAAAATGTAAAAGTCAGTTTTGTATAAAAGATGCGATGGCAGGTTTAAAAGGCAATCTCTTATGGGAAATCCAGCTCCTTCACAGCAACAGCAGTTTCCTCTTTTTCAGGATGATCCCTTCTATTGACAGTCAAGAAAGCTCAAATGCATTGATTGCTTCGTGTTACTTTGTTTTATTGTCGTATTTAAACACAAATATGGATTTTGACTTAAGCCACTTGAGCCAACAAAACAAATATACACATAATACATACGTACATACACATGTACATACACACTTTGAGTGAGTTGATGTTAAAATGGGAAGTAAAATAGATTATCTTGAACATACGTCTGCTGTTACTTTAGTTTAATCTCAGTTTAAAAGACAAATTTTGATTGAACTGCTTTGGCAGCCCCCCCCCTGTGAGCCGCCAGCCGATTCAGGAAGAGACCTGGTAGCATGCACAGCGTTCATGGGGTTTCACAAGAGGCAGAGACGAGGTGTGAGAGGGGGAAGTGGACTGAAGTAGAGGCCTGTAGTTTCTGTCATAACACTTCCTTCTCACACGCAGAGTGGTCCAAACAAAGACTTATTGCTTAAGTCCTCATGCAGTCCACAATTTATACTCGTTCAGTAGATTTAGATGCAAGATCCCCAAATTGTGTAGATACATGTGCACCACCAGTGTATTCTCTCACCACTGCATTCACTCAATCTGAAATAACACCTTGTTTTGAAAAACAGTTTCCGATTATCCGCATAATCATTTCGCCATCGGCGATTCGAAATGTAAGTCAAAGGTGAGATACAGGCATTTCTCCATTTAAACAAGACGGACATGTTCACAGAGAAGCAGGATCTCAGGCAAAAATATGGGTGTTAGAGGGTCAGATAACACAGTTTTGTTAGTTTTTTAGCAGAGGGTTCTTATTTTATGATACAGGCTTGTTTAGATCTCTACTGGTGTGACTTCTGCAAAACCGCAATACCTTGTTAACCGGAATCTCTCTGGTTCTCAAGGCTTATTTTTAACTCATCATCATCAAGTTTCTTGAGAGACTGTTTAGTGCCTAAAGAGTAGAACGTGTTTGTCAATGAAAACAGATTTCATGTTGGCGATTAAAAGGAATTCACTGAGGTAGAAAACGTTTGTGGGCAAACACGGGAAATTTTGCTTCGAAAATCATCAAATTCGCTCAGTCCATTGAATCTGGATCTAGTTAATTAATCTAGTGAATCATCACTCGAGCATTAACACTAAAAGTTAGTCTGACATATTTGGTTTTACAACTTTATGTTTGATGTTCATGCTTAAGTTGGCTACGTTTTATGATATTCCAAAAATATATATCTTTTAGTGATTAGTAGTTTTTCCAGAATTTTTTGGAAAAGAAAACAAATAAGAAGGGAATTAAGTGATGGGAAACTTCTAAACCCATGAACTCTGTCCGTATTAGAATATGGTACAAGATTGAGGTGTAACTAGGTTTCTCTCTCTCAAGCACATATATACCACAGACATGAATGAAACACATCAAACAGACCAGCATCTTTAAGGGAAAACAATCATTCAGCAAAAGTTAGTGTTGTGATCACATACTGTTCGTAATTACGTCGTTAACAAATAGTGCTTCTCTGAAATGTTTAACCTCATCAGTGTCCCGTTGCATGGCAACTGGCCCCGGCTTCCTCTAATGGGCAACCACAGTTTTTTTATGTTGTTAAAACCCATCCGTGCCTATGCCAAGCTAGTCATTACCATTTTGATGTGGATTATCTGTGATCTCTATCTATGTGAAACAGCGTGGCAGTGAAGGACCCCGATGCTGAGAGACGCAGTTAACAAAGGGATGATCAAAGGGGATTTCAACAGTCGAAAAACGGAACTAACACAAGTCCGAATATGATCACCATTAAGCGCAGACATCCACCGAACAGCAGGGAGACTCACAGGGTTTAAATACACTGGGGAGGTGCAGGTGGTTACACAAGGGAGGATAAAATCAGGGGCGAGGCCGACCACGCGAGGAAGGGAAAGGAAGGATACAAGAGGCACAGAAAAAAAGAATGAAGCAACAACCGCTAAAACAAAGACAACACCAGACTATCTCCATCTCTCTCTCTACATCTCTATCTTCATCTCTCTCTTTGTCACTTTCTTTCTATATAACTCTATCTCTCTGTCTGTCTCTGTCTCCCTGTCTCTCATAGTAAAGCCCGCCTGTAGGCTCATGTGAGTGCGTGAACCCGTGTGTCTGTTCGAACGGATCGCGTTTCCTTGTTCAAGCGCGTTTTAAAACACCGTACAGGCCGAGCTTTTTCAGACTTTGCCTCTCTTTTGTGTGATTCAGGCAAAGTACCACTGGCAGAGTCAAAATGTGAAGCAAAGCGGCGTGGACGACATGGTTCTGCTGTCCAAGATCACCGAGGACGCCATCGTGGACAACCTCAAAAAGAGATACATGGACGACTACATATTTGTATCCCGAAACCTTATTTTTTACATGTAGTAATTTAACTGCTGGGATGTTAAGAGATTAGCTACAACGCAAACTAATAGGAATAAAAACAACATTTTAATATTGTTTTTGTGGGCAGGAAGTAATAATGCTGGTGGGACAGGAGTCCTCAGAAGGCACCAGAAAATAGAAAAAACGAACAACAAACTCCTCATTTCCATGTCTAATGCATTTTTACACAGCTCACCAAGTCCTACGCTGGGACCCCATAACATTTCCCCCCCATATCAATTGGTAAAACAAATGTCAAAATACGGTCAAACAATCAACCAAACAAGGGCATAACTATAATCCATACACTCTTCCTCTTCTGCATTCACTGTGTGAGTCAACCGCTCACTTCCTCCGAACATAGAACTTCAAACCCATATTTAGAGTCAGGAAATGAGTTCACTTCATTTCTATACAAGCAAAGGCAGCTGTTATCACCACAGCAGCAACTAGTTATAAATTCACAGGATTCATCATTTTAATCGAGGATCATCAATCATTAACTACTAGTTAGCCATTTTCCTGCATCGAAAAAAACAACTTTAGAGTTTGTTGGATGCAAGTCACGGGTGACTCATGACACACGTATCCCCCCGCCCAGATAAGTAGTCTGTAATTTATCAGCCAGGCTGGAGGCATCACACAGCTGCCGATGTCTGTAGTTCAGTCTGAAATATCTCAACAACTGATTGGTTTAGACATTCACAGTTCATAC